GGCTTACAGCATTCAGCAACAGCTACACCGGCCTCTTGAACATGAAGCAATGATGCCTTGAGAATCATTAAAGTGATGGTCTACATCTCACTTCTGCTAGTAATCAGCTTATGCCTCTGGAGTATCTGCTTTGAAGTTAGCATCTATAGTTCTGTGGCTGCCAGTAACTTGCAAAATTGTTATGTCATAGCATTTTAACATATAAAGCATTCACCTCTAATCTATGCATGATACTGTTAGTGCATGTGACTAGTTTCTGTAATAGGTATGGACCTCTGAACATGGGTTTACTTCGATTTGAACTAAATCTGACCAAATATTCTTCTTTCACTGATTCACCAGTTGCTGACAGTCCAACTCCACCTCCACCACCACCTCCAGATGAGATGCCTTTGTTTGATGACTCTCCACCACCTCCACCTCCACCACCAGTGGATTATGAAGATGAGGAGGCTGCAGTAGTGCAGTACAATGATCCTTATGCTGATGGTGATCCAGCATGGGCACCTAAAACTTACATTGAGAAAGGTAAAGGATGAATATATTTGTGCTAAACATCTCTTTCCAGATTCCTTAGGCAGATTTAAGCCACATGTACCCCATTCAGATGATACCACCAACTGGACGACTTGACATAAATTCCTTTTTTTCAGAGTTGCAATACTCCTCGCTCCCAAAATTTTGCAGATCAGGAAATTAATGCTAACTAGATCTAAGGAATCATTTCTAAAGGTTACATTTAGATCTTGCTTGTATTGAAACATTATACTAAGTAAACAATCTATGGCCTTCCAGTTGTTGTTAGATTGCATATGCTGAGTAATATTGATAGAAACCCTGTAATTTCATAAGTTCAAAATCAAATGTAAGTATTAGAAATATAAACCTGTATCGAATTCTATCTTTGATTTTCAGCTTTATTTCCACCAGTTGTGTAACCAGCTGAATAAAGTTTTTCCTATGATTAACCTGTCTCCACCCTTGGGATCTGAACACTCTTTTTCTCTAGCAGAAGTGGTGTTAAGATAGGAATGTATCCACAAATAGGAATATCATTTATAGTTGATATATTCCTCTATTGCTGTGTACTTCGTATTAAACTCATAAAATGTTTTATTTTCAGTTCAGCACAGCCTTCCCAACATGGTGTCCTTTGCATGTGTTGGAATAACAATTCTCAAAATTCCTCTGCCTGTATGAGTCTGGGAGTTGAAGCCCCAATACTTAGAGTGTGCCAGTTTGGGAAGGCTTATTTTTAGCATATGCATGAATCCAGATTTTGTGATTGGTTAAATCATGTTTTTTAAAAATGTATAGCTTTGTTTAGTTAGCCCAAGTATTCTCAGCATACTTTGCATCTGTAAATTTGTCAGTCCTCAGATTAGAAATGGCCCTGTTTTTGCCACTTCATTTTATATCTAGTAAAATAATAATAATATATAATATATGGATATATATAAGTTAAGGTATCCTACTTCTGAATTGGTATGTAATGGAAGCAATACATCCGCTCTCTTCTTGTAACAAATATTTATTTTTTTCAAGTAAAACATACACTGCTGATTCACATTTCTGGGCTATGGGCAATTTTAACACAACAGCATTTGTGGTTGGAGGTGAATAAAGTAACGTCCCAGCATTTGAAGTATGTCTGTAACAACAATTAAAATTGAATTAGTAGCATGCCAAATTTTGTGGGTGGTGGTAATTGGGCTTTATTTTTCTAACACAGGGATAAATTTGAGGAAGGATGAAACTTCCTTTCACCCTTAGTTTATCTAGTTCTGTATGGAGTATCCAGAATACAGAAATCACCATGAGGCCTTGGGTATTTGATCCAGCCAACTCTTGAGGGTCATTTTATTTGAAATGTTAAGGATTAGATTTGGGATATACAGTGTATACTTTATTACTAGAATGCAGAAATAGTCATTTCAATAGTTCAGTCAGTCTGGTACTGACTGTAACTCTCACACCCACTTAACTTGTTTCTGCAAGATAAAAAATGTATGGTTAAGGACTATTTCCTAGAAACTACGAAACTGTGGAGAGTTCTAGTCCTATCCAGCTTGGGTGATTTTGGGTCAGTCCCTCTTTTTCAGCGCAACTCTCTTCACAATTGTTTTTATGGAGGAAACAGAAGGAAAAAAAGGAGCATTGGGAGGGAGGGAGGGACAGAGAGAGACAAAAATGTAAAACAAAAAATCTAAATTGACATGAAAACTCTAGAAATGATTTTTGACAAAATTCAATGGTACCTCTCTTTCCATTTTTCTAGTTGTTGCCATATATGACTACTCAAAGGACAAGGATGATGAGCTATCATTCATGGAGGGTGCAATCATTTATGTGATAAAGAAGAATGATGATGGTTGGTATGAAGGTGTATGCAACAGAGTGACTGGTCTGTTTCCTGGAAATTATGTTGAATCAATCATGCACTATGCAGATTAACTCTTTTTTCAGGCCAGGCTTTGCCTTCAGTCATGCCATAATGATCTACAAAGGGTAAATTAACACTTGTCTTAATGCTCCTTAAAATGTGCACATCCTTTCCAGGCCATACTGTTAAATGGCATGATTGAATGTTCATCTGTAAGCATCTGTTTCTGAAATTTGTAAAATGAACAAATGTTTTAGGGGTATGTAGAATGGAATGGTTTGTTCTCAGAAGTTCGGTATTTTCCCCAGAATGGCCTAGTCTGAATATTCTGGGTGAGGTTTGTGTTTCCAGAAATCTTTTTGGGGGGGATCAAGAAGAGAGTCATGGTGTTCAAGACATCTTTTGCTTCTAAAACAAGAGTTTTACAAACCAGTTCACGTTCTGGAAGAAACTTACAACCACAGAATGATTGGCCCATTTTAGAGGGAGAAACAGAACATTCCAAGAAAAAGCTATTCTGTTCTGCAAATAACTAAACTGTTTATTACTGATTATGCTTATTTACCTATGCGTTGTTTTCTATGACCAGCCTAAATATTCTGGGGAAGTAGGGTATAAACTATTTAATGACTCAAGATTCAAATCGTGCCATTGTTTTCTTTTCTCAGTGCAACAGCGTGATAAACTAACAACTGTTAAGACTAATTTTAAATCTGGTTGAAAAGTTTAATAATGCTGGTCATTTACCTTTATTTAGACTATTGCTCATCCTCAAAATATAGTATTTGTTTAAAAGCATGCATAAAAACTTATGTATTGAATTACACTTTTTTCTGAAAATCCAAGATGCTTCCAATTTGTTGTAATCTTTTACTGGAGTACTTTCACTAAGAGTCTATTCCAGTGAGTCCTTTGAGTCTCTTATCGAATATGTCCATGTGAATCAAAGATGGGTGGTCTTATGATGTGTGTGTAATTTGTACCTGAGTTTTTAATGAGTAAAATTGCATTGACTTTTCCATTCATAAATACATAAATGAACCAAAGGTCTTGTCCATTACTTTTGTTGGCTTGCCTTGCTTTGCAAAGCAATATTGAAGCATGTGACTTACCAAAATTTCCCCCTTGTCAACAGGGTTATTTTTAATTGCAGGTCCAAAATCTTAACACCCCAATAAAGGGAAAAGTACACTTCTGCAGGTTACCATATATTCAGATTCCACATTATTTGGCTTATTCGTTAGTAAAGGGATATGGAGACTGCAACCCATGATTTTTGAATAGTTATTATTGGAAGCAGAAATCACATCAATAAAAGGCTGACGGGAGAAAGTATAAAACAAAGTTGTTCTAGCTTGCTAAAATGCCCACTAGTTTTCTTTTTAGGTGACTTACCAGGTTTCAGTGACCTGGGAGCAGTTTTAGAACAGAAATCTGTTTCTCTTAGCTACCAGAGTATGGCCAGGGATGGTGAAGTTTATAGGTGAATTAAATATCACTTTTAAATTTTAGTTGCAATGGTACTTTTCCAAGCAGTCTTTTGCTGTAGAACTGCCTTGAGAAGAGGAGCTTTAATGACACATTGCAAAAATAGATGAACGTGCAGAAGATGGGCAAACAAACAATCCCAAGTGACTGTTCTGTTTAAAACTATGAAGTCTCTTGCTCTGCTGAAAGTATATTTTCATTCCTGGGGGATTTTCTACTGGTCCCCCCCTCCCCCCCCACCACTATATTTAAGCAGCACCTATCTAGGAATACAGCTCTTATGGGCTTCACAGGGATATATTTCCATAGCAATGCTGTTTCTAGTCAGGTATTCCACTAAAAGAGCAAAAACAGCTTATACTGAAAAAGACATAGATTGTCATGCAACCTGTTTGGCTTTAAGCATGCAGTAGAACATCTCCAGTTTGAGCACAAGGTCAGGTCGCATTTCTAGTTTTGGATAGTACACAAGTTAAATTACAAAGGGATTTGTTGCTTTGTGTAGTAAAGATTTATTTGGGCTTAATCACTGCCCTAATGGGCATTAAATGATGAAAAAAGCAAGTGTATTAAATACAAGAACAATAACATTATCTAGCAACATTCAATACTGAAGGATCCCTTGCCTTATTGTTCCTTAAATGAACCTAATTGCTTTATTTGCCTTTTCCTGATTGTTAACATGTTATTTCTGACATCAAACAGCAACCCATGAAACATATTTGTATTCCCTTTATAAATTGGAACACTTCTTGATTTGTATATAACCTGTTTTAATTATAACAAGTATGTACAGTCTTTTATAATAAACCATTCTTTAATTTTCTGGGTACTTTGAAATTCTAACAGGCAATTTAATTATTCGAGGAGTTGGTTATACTCCCAGCACACATGAGGAACTGCAGAAATAATTTAATACACTGATTGTATTTTATTGTTTGTGGCCTTCAGCGTCAATAGTGAACAGTGTAAACAAATTCCCAGATAAACAAGAAACTTCTTCATCAAAAACATAGATACCACGTGTTGCTACCAATTTAACAGACTGATTGTGTTTCACTGATGCATAAGGCTTTCTTCAATAAAAGCATTTCATAAGCCTAGTTACTTAACTAGGAAAACTTTTTTTAAAAAAATGGGAACTCCACCAGAAGCAAGCCAAGATGTTCTGAAACAGTTTAGGCACAGTCTGGTAAAATAGCTGCCAGAATCACCAGGAAGAAGATGATTATTTGTCTCGAGACAAGACAATCTCCGCCAGCTGCATAAGGGCATCTCTTTCCGGGGATGGTCGGAGCTTGCTAATTTCCTTCACTGCCTCATGACAATAGCGCTGTGCGAGGTAGTTTGTTTGCTGTATGCCACCACTCTAAGAAAAGACCAAAATATTAAAGGGGGAGTTAGTGAAACATACAAAGCTGCTGCTTCCCCATTCTGCAATTGGTTTTGTGAGGGTTTAGTTGACTCTTTTTTAGAATTGCATTTTATAGGTGCATACAACTTAAACGTAGACTTAAGCTACTTTGAAAAGTTCCCTATCTCCATTGTGTTTTATACTACCATGGATGCCATGATTTAGGAAAATGTTCCTTGAATCTTAAAAAACATCCAGTATACCCAACTGGCTAAATTGGCAGTCTGCTGAGAGAAGCTTGCATGAATTACCAAGACAATATTTACTTAATCCACTTTCAGTATTATCATCTGTTAGATCAGTGTTTTTTTTTTAACTTGGCAACTTTAAGATGTGTGGACTTCAATTCCTAGAATTCTTCAGCCAATTTGGTGGCTGAGGAATTCTGGGAGATGAAGTCCACACATCTTAAAAGTTGCCAGGTTTGAAAAACATTGTGCTAGATGTATATCCTTGCAGGAGCTAAAGGCAGCTTATATGGGAGAGGTAGATATCTCCCTTCCCTTTATTCCATACAACACGAGTATCAAACTCATGTTGTCACATTGCCATCACGTGATGTATCATGATTTTTTCTCCCCAAAGTGGGGGTGGGTGTGGCCTTCATGTAATGTATTCGGTCTGCGGGCTGCATGTTTGACACCCCTGCATACAACAATCCTTTGAAGGCTGGGGTAAAATACTTGGCCCAAAGTTATCCTTTGAATTTTAATGGCTAAAGATGGGTTTGAATTTGGCCCTCCTATTTTCTAGTCCAGTCCTTAATTACTACACCATACTGGCTCTGTTTTAAACATTGTTTAATCTGTGGTATTATGTAATAATTGCTGGACATGGATTTACTATAGATTCTGTAACTTGAATCTTACAGAATCGAAAAAAACAGACTGTCAATGCCAACATGATGGATTTTTTCCTAACTGAACTAAAAACATAAAGAGGTAGTCCTTGCTTAACAACTACCCTATTTAGTTATTTTTTGAAGTTACTACAATACTGAAAAAATAATCACAAACAGTCCTTGCATTTCCAGTAAGAAGAATCAAAAAGAGAAGCTGATAGTAAAACTGCAAGTCATGCCACGTGATGTCTCGCTTAATGACCACAGTGGAAGTGAGATTGTAAGCATCGTGGTCATGTGATGTCTCGCTTAGCAATAGTGTTGCAGGTCCCAACTGTGGTTGTTAAGCGAGGACCAGATGTACTTCAATCAGCATTGTATCAATTGATGTTTGGTATGCAAGGAAGAGCGAAATCATAAGAGTATACCAAATTTTCTTTAGGAACAACCACTATTTTTAATAAAGGTTTTATCTTACCTGTAGTACAAATTCCTGGGCACGTTGGACATCACCTGGGTATGTGAATCGCCTCATTATCATGGCATTAATTTCTGGGAACTAGAACAGAGAAAAGTATTATTGTCTCATCCTAGGCAATTCTTTGCCTATTGACACAATCAAAATCCAGGCACAGTTGCATAAGAGTCTTTTGTAGCTCGTGGGATGTTTTTTTTTTCTCAGAAGTTTTTTCTCGCTGAATAGTCAGCATACTGGAGACTCTCAACTGCAGGCTGGTTAAGAAATTGTGCTATCTGACAGTGTTCATAATTTGCTGTCAAACCAAGTGAAACTGAGTTGATGATCTGAAAATGTCAGTTTCACTTTAATTTATTTCAAGGACCCAAAGTGGATCATAATATATTTAGGAAAGAAATTGTCATTAGAAAAAAAACAAATACAGTGCTGGATTTTATGAGTTTGTGTATATGTGTACATGTGACAAATTGGCCCAAATGTTGGATATGAGCTTTCTTTTTTTCTTGTACAGTGTAATTTGGCAGGACTTATAAGCTTTAGGATCCTTCCCTACTAATTACAATAAAAAATTTACTGTATTCAATACTTTGCAATCCCTTGAATTCAATCAGATATTAAGCATAACTGAAAGGACATAGCCATCACTTTTATATTACTTTATGAATTTTCATATGTGTTGCAGTAAATGGAATAAATGATTTAGCAAAACAAGGACAAATCAAATTGACTTCACATCTACGGTTTGACTGATTTTGGCTTAGTGTGTTTTATAAAAGTAAAAGATTCCCCTTTCCAATCATAACTGACTCTAGGGAGCATTGCTTATCTCTGTTTCTTAGCCAGGGAAGTCAGAATTTTCCAAAGACATTTCTGTATCATACGGCAGCATGATTATATGCTGAGATGCATGGAACGCTGTTACTGTCCCACTGAAATGATATCTATTTATCTATTTGCATGCTTTCAAACTGCTAGATGAAGCTAGTAATAGGAACTCACCCCACTGTGCATTGCTCTGATTTCAAATCTGGGCTCTCAGCTTTCCAAGTTTTTAACCACTGAGCCATTGAACTGCTAGTGTGTTATATACAACAAGCCAAGTTTATTTTAAAAAAGCATGGATAAACCACAAACTGAGAACCAGTTTGGAGTAGTGGTTAAAGTAGAAGACTAGAGATGGGGAGCCCAGGAGTTCTAATCCTGCCTTGGGATTCACTCACTCTGTCTCAGCCCTAGAAAGGAGGCAATGACAAACCACTTCTTGAAAAATGCTGGTAGAAAAATTTTCGGGATCTGTGAAGGAAGCCTTCAAGAATTGTATACAGTTGAACTGAACCTCTACCGCCAATATGAAGGTTAAATGCAACTTCCAACTATGTAAAACTTTGGAATACTCAAACCCAGATAGGTTTCTACCATTAACTTTTAATGATCCAGTCGATAAACTTAACCGTGCCTTGTGGTGCTAATTTGAGGTAGGATAGCAATAAACCAATTAAGAGCTAGTATTTTTAATAGTTATTGCTTCTGATCTGAAAAGCATCTGTGGTGGCTACCTTTCCTTTCTGTAAGCATCTTCCTTTCTTTCCTTCAAAGCATGCATACACAACAATACTTTTAATTTTTAGAATGAATAAAACGCAACTAAACGTGTAATATCTTGGGAAGAAAATACAGTCTCTGGTGTTCATACCTGCTGGCAAGCAAATAAGACGGGTCCAGTGGCTATTCCAAGTTTAAGGTCCGCTGATGCAGGCTTTCCTAGCTGTTCGGAACACGATGTAAAATCCAGCACATCATCTACCAGCTACAGTAAACAAAGAATATACCATATAAAGTTTACAAGATTTCCTTGCAAGACCTAAGTAAAACATACATATATAAATGCTCCAAACTTCCCTCTTTTTAGCATTTTGTTTAATTGGTAAAAAAAACTCTGCGTCTTTTAAGTCATCATTCTTCTGTATTACCTGAAATGCTATCCCAAGGTTTTTTCCATATAGATATGCAATTTCATGAACTTTTGGATCAGGACAGCCTAGTACAGAAACCTGAAAAGGAAAAAAAGAACATAATCTTTGGTTACTTCCCATTATTCATATGTGCCAACAATGTATTGACACCAGACAAGCAGACATCAAATAGCTGCATTCTGCTCAATCCCTTTTTATATATGCAGAGTTTTTTAAAAAAAGTTATGGTAAAGACGAGCAACAGGACAGCATTAAAAACAGGGTCTTGCAAAGGTCTGGAGAGTTTGGGGAGTAGAGATAGATAGACAAATAGACAGACAGATGATAGTTACATACATAGATAGGCAGAGAGAGAGACATAGATACCTTTATATCCAAAATGGATTGACTTAAATATTAATATAGTTGCATTCATAACTGCAAACAATCTTAACATATATAAGATTATGATTGCAAAATGATTTAATTTTACAGTCATCAAATTTCATTGTAATATAAAGAAAAGCACTATAACTTATGTCGAGAGACTCATAATTAAATACCATTTTTATTAACATTACTAATAGTATTCTTTGCCTATCAGACAGCTAAATTGATGTATAATCAGAAAATTACCAATGTGCCAAAAACCTATGCAGTATTAGAAAGTCAGTTGTATAACCCTTTCTTTACTTACCCCAGAAAGCAGAGCAAGATGTATTTAATCAAAAGTACTATTCCTATAAATAATTATTTTAAATACAGTGGAAATCCTGGTCATGACCATAATTTGTTCCATAACTTTGGTTGCAACCTGAATTGGTCATGATCTGAACCTAATTTTACCATTGGATTGTATGTAAATACGATTAATCCATACCAGACCCCTACGAACTGAATATACAAATTGCTTTTTTAAAAAAAAGCAATTTTTGAGCACAAAAATGGTTAATTATGCCATAGAATTCACAGTGTACTCTAATAGTGAAATGTAAAATCCTTTAATAATACTGAGAAAACCTACTTTTTTTGCCCTGCACACGCAGTGGAGAACAGAACTGGAAAGCAGGCATCTTCAGATCGCCTCTGCCTTTCCCAAGCCTCTGTGTCAGCGCAGAATTACTTTTGCCCATCTCTTTCTGCTATGTGCCACCGCACAAGCATCCCACGAGCCTCCCATGAAATAGAGACAGGCGAAAGTTATGCTATCAGCTCAGGCAGTTTGCTCCGTTGTCCCTCAGCTGTGGAGCCTGGCCGGAAGGCCCCCCCAAGCCTTTCCCACCTCCTGCCAGCTTAACGTGCTTTCCATCTTAAGGCGGCTGTGCTTGAGGGGCATAGGCAGTGCTCTCCCCTGGCCAGGCTTGTGCACCAGATAAGCTTACCCCCCCCAACTCACAGAAGTAGCACTTTTCAATTCCTCAGAAACTGCAATTTTGGCCCATGGCAGGATTCTGAGGATCTTCCTCCTCTTCTGCACAGAAGAGCTTATTACTAGTAGTGAGGGCTTACGGAAAACGGAGGAACGCGCACCAGTTTTGTTTTCAAGGCAACTGATTTAAGAGCGTGGGAGAAGAGAGAGAGAAAGCCTCTTGATTCCTCTGCATATCTTTTCACTTAAATGTGTGTGGGGACTGGAGCTCTTGAGGGAGTGTTTGATCGCCACCCGAGTATATGTTCGTGACCAGATTCAAAAATTTTCTGAATTTTTTGGTCGGAACCTGATTTGGTCATGACCAGAGGTTCTACTGTACCTATTAGTCTAATGTCTGAAGAGGATTGTATATTATAGAAAATTTAATATGACAGACACTGGGCATTATGTATTTAGGGTGCCAAATCTTTTGGCTTTAAACCAGCACTTTTACACTATCCTTGTAAATAAAGTAGAAGCTTCTAAGTTATTACAAAATTGTGCGATCCACTCTATGAAATACACTTCTGAAAAATATTTGCACTTGCTCTATTTTTCAAGGGTTTCAATAAACCCTATCCAGAATTCACTCAGATGTGAATCCCTCTGGCCAGGTCCTTCCCAAGCATTCAAGAAAAAGAACTGCCTTCTACCAGGACTTTCCAAGCATACTAATGGTCTAAGAATCTACAGTCTAAGTTCTACACTCCTCTAATATTGATTTTTCATCTGGAACAGGGAATCAACAGGACAGGAGTGACCCTCCATCCATTAGTTTTGCCCATCTATAGTCTCAAATTCCAGGCAAGGTTTAATGTAATCTGTAATTTTTTAAGGTGCTGTGTGTGGCATTTGGTTTGGTTGCCATCATATATTTTTTTAAATGGCCAAAATTTCATGAAATCACCAGAACTCATAAGATATTGATTTTCTCCTCTGTGGTAAAAATTCAGGTGGGAACTCTTAACATCTCATGAGATTCCATGAACATTCAAAAAAGGCTGTATTTAGTATTTTTGCTGTCTTCTTGGAATCACCTGAAATAATGCACCACAAGGTGAATGAAAGAAACTTCAAAGGACTCCACTTACTGAAGTCCTAAGTAACACCTTGATAGCACAACTGTAAAACCATTATTTGCTCAGGGAAGTTATTTCCATAAGCCTTCTCTGAAACTGATGAAGCAGAAAACTAAATTCATCATAACTGTTTTGTGTTTTGAATTAAGCTTCTTAATTAATTAAGCTTCATTAGGTTTCTCTTTTATTTTTCTGTCTGGAAAATGAACCAAAGATACCACTGCAGCCATTTTGTCAAAGCCCTTTATATTCATAAGCTTGTTGAAAAAATGGTTCAGTCTTCTAATCTGTCTTTCCTCCATACATTAAGATAAATTTACAGAAAAGATGGAACGTACATACTGCTTTACAGCTGTGTGCTATAAGACTTGCAGTCTTCTTAAACGTTTTTTCGAGGTAGTGAGAAAATCTCTCATTTTCATTTTCTTTGGAACCCAGCTGGAGAAATTCACCTGTAAGAGGTAAAAAAGATCAACTGTGTTAGCAACTAATTGCCAAGGAAATAGAAATTCCGTTATTTCTAGTTATGTTGCTAAAAAGCCTTACCACGCACCAGATCTTCAATCACTTGCGTTATTAGAGAAAGGACGGTTGTGTTGCCAATACGTGCTAAAACTAAAGATGCTGTAGAAAGGATAAAATCACCAGCTAAGACTGCCTGGAAAAGAATAATTGAATTTAAAATATTTTAGCTGGCACCATTATTCAATTTACAGCTTTGCATACCATTTTTAAAAAAATCTTGGACAGTAGTCAGGGAACTTGCCAACAAAAAAAATCTGGAAAGCAACATCAGAAATGCAATTACAAAGGGCAGTACACATTTTATATTTTTTCTTAACTTATATAAAAAAAATTTTTTTTCATAAACCGTCAGCCAGAGTGATAAGACAATGAGATATTGGAAAGGAATTTTGAGAGTTGAAGCCTGTACACCTTAAAGTTGCTAAGGCTGAGAAAGACTGCTCTATACCCATTCGAGACTTCACCTAGTCCCCCTCTCTTGGGAAATTCAAGAACAGGGTTGAGGCTCCACTCTTTATCTTCTGCCAAGAGCAAGTTTCTTTATATAAAATTATCATATCAACGGCTATTATCTGCAAATAGTTAACAAAACTGAACGCCCTTATATCTGTGGAAATTTCAACTGCATGTACAAAGTTTAATTGCATCAGTTGGGCATCCAGCAAGAACTAGAGTTGTCTTAAAGAACAAAAATTCATATCTACTTTCAATTATTTCACTTTCCTTACCTAACCTGCTCCACTGTGACCTGGTTAGAGAAGGTGGTGAACCCCTTCACCACCCCAGATCAACAATCCTTCTGGGATACTTTAGGTGTTTCACTGATTGTTGATTTTTATCTGGGCTCTCCCTTGGACATATATTTTGCATCTTTCCTGTACTGTATTGCTCCATTTTGTGTCATGCAGATTAAAGTAGGAGATAAACTGATCAAGTAACCTTCCCACTCTAACAACACTTTCTATAGCTAAGATAAAAATACTTGCCTTCCTTTCCCCCCAGATTTGATTAACAGTAACCTTTCCTCTTCGTGAATTAGCATCATCAATTACATCATCATGAACTAGCGTAGCGGTATGGATCATTTCTGCAATTAATGCTATGGAGCGCTGGTTTGCCTTCACTTCTCTAAGATTGAGACGTGGGAAGAGGATAAGAAAAATGTAGCATGTCAACCCTGTCAGAATAGCTTGAACAATACATGATATCAATGCGTGACAATACGTGATATCAAGTCAGATTCAAAATTTTTGGAGACCATGCAAATTCTTGCCATATTCACTTATCTTCTGCAATAATACATGGTTTTTCTTTGAACCTATCCATTGGTCGTATCGACTGATTTCTATTCTTCTACTTTCATCAACCTTGTCTCACATAAACAGTTTTTAAATTAATTATCCACTTGTTCATCACATTCCATGGCAAGTATGCATGTTTCAGCTTGCTAATCTTCTATCGGTTGCCCTACTAATAATGAAATGGTATTCATGATTAATATTTGGAGTTCAGTTAATGTTTATAATGAAATTAATATTTCATATTTAATGTAGAAGATGAAGTATAGAATTAATACTGTAAATCAGGGCACAGTAGTACAGGGAATGCACATAGTGAGAAATTATTTTCTCTTATTCTAAATAAGACATATCCATTAAATACAAGAAGGTTGAATATCTGCTAAATCTTCTTGTTGCTATTTGCTTTTGTATGGGAACAAACCTTAACTGTAATAATTTAAAAATAAAAAATAGATATTTACCCAGAATTATTATGATGAAAATTGCATGCTCTGGCCATTAGTGCCACAATAATTGGTCGAAAGGCCTTCCCTTTACCATCAAAGTAGTAGTCACACATTTCTTTAAGTTCTGTAGTAGAAACCCGTAATTCCTGCAAAAAGGCAAACAAAGCCTGTTCTATATCTGCAAACCTAGACTTGCTTTATAACAATAAAGTCCCATCTCAAGAATGATCTATAATTAGAGCTTCTTACCGTACCACACCAGAAACATATTTACCTTTTTAATATCCTCATAGAGATTTTTCAAGTCTTTTCCTCCAAGTTTAAAAGGATCTTTGTATTGTTCATCACTGACCGTTTTACCAAAGCAATGAGTTTGCACTGTTGTATGTTGAAATCTAGCAAAACTTTTTGGGGAAGAAAGAAAATATTAACATAATCCCTGTAACTAAGGCAATTTGGTCATTCCTGCCCACAAAAATAACTCTACTGTTACTACTACCTGGGCATAAATTGTTTCAACTCCTACCCTCAAAACGACGCTATAGAGCACTGTGCACCAGAACTAGACACAAGGACAGTTTTGCCCCGAACACCATCACTCAGCTAAACAAATAATTCCCTCAACACTGTCAAGCTATTTACTAAGTCTGCATTACTATTACTATTAATTTTCTAATTGTTCCTATTACCCATCTATTCCCACTTAGGACTGTATGACTGTAACTTTGTTGCTTGTATTTTTACAATTAATATTGATTGTCTCCTATATGATTTGATTGCTTACTTGTACCTTATGACGATCACTAAGTGTTGTACTTTATGATTCTTGACAAGTATACACTGACAGCACATGCACCAAAACAAATTCCTTGTGTGTCTAATCACACTTGGCGAATAAGGAATTCTATGCTATGCTATACTATGCTAAGCTATGCTATTCTAATTGAATTTTAAAAGAAAATACATAAAAAGAAATAGTTATTCAAGCTTATCTACAAAGTTAAAAAAACATTATTCAGCCAATACTTGGATGAATGACATAGATTTTCTAAAATCATTGTTTGGAGAACTTGGGTGGATCTTGTGTTTGCATTAAGTGCTTCAGAAGCAATTATTTTGCAATTCTACTATCCAAAATGGATCTCTGTCTTTGCCCAAGTTTTAACCATGGTTAGGATAGAGACCCATCCAGCAAAATTATTAGTTTCTCATACTCCTATCTTGCATCAGCTATATTATAGAAAAAGATTAAATATTTAGGATCTATAAAGTTACAAAAACAGGAAAAATAGTGTAAGCATTTTTTTTCAAATGTACTATGTTATTATCTCTTTGAGAGACATAGATGGTTTCTAAATCTGATACATAAATAAAATAAATGTTATACCTTTGTGTGAGCATGTATATGGGGAATAAAGCAAAAGCTGTCATTTTGTATTGAATTAAACAAATTTTAAAAATCTTCCAAGCATTTCATTCTGCACAGTTATTTTCCTTCTTCTAAAACAGGAGAAGAAAAAACCCAGCACCAAGTTACCATACATGTTACATAAGATATGAAATTATTGTCACTGTTCCCACTAAATTAATTTCTGATGTTTGGTGATGCATACCAATATCAATAAATCACCATGAAGTACCTTATACTATGTATCCATATAAGTATATATCATATATATAAGTTTAAATCATATACACAATAGCTAAAATTGCAAGTGCTCACCAAGTTTCATAAGATTTTATCTATTTTGCAAAATTTTAGGCAAAAGATCACTTCATACAATTTCCTATGTGATTCTGGCTGCTTTAATTTTTATTTAGTTTGAAATATAATAGATGAGAATATTTGCTCTGATTGCTTCAGTTGCTGTATTAAGAAACATGCTTATATGATGATTCTCAAAAATTCTTATATATTGATTTAATGATTTATACTGAATGTAACCGTCACAAGACTAAATGTTATAATACATGCAATTTAATATCTCATTTAATATCGCATCCTTCACAAACTTTAAAAGATACTGAAGTTACCTACTTTAATATGACTATTTTTTATAATAGAAATATTTCCACTTACCGCCAACATATACTATACATTTTTGGAAAAAATAGACACAGTCTTTCCCCTAAAAAACTAGATTTCTGCTGAAAGAGAAGAGAAAAAAAAGGATATTTATAATCTATATTTTATGCAGAATTAAGGTAAAGTTAACAAAAGTTACTATGGTTGACAGTAGCAATTGGAATCAGAATTTCTGTTGGTAAATGATGTAACTGTAAGGTATGACATGACATGACTATATATTGATCGTAGCGACAGTAAGATTGGAAGTTCCAGTTGCCATCATAACCCACATTGGTTAAGTGAAGACTTCAAATGAACATGATACGGGAAAAGACGGAAGTCCCAGGAAAGCAAGCTGGTGGGTAAGAGTTATGGATGAGTGGATGGATGTTGTGGACAGAGGCCATGAGAACAGGTGGGTAGGTGCCACAGTTGGGAAGGCAAAAAAGTAGCAGGAGCGGGAACAAATCTTTATGTTGTCTTTATGGCAAGGCATTTTTCATTGCAAGCATATGGAAAGGAAACAAGAGAATGAGGCTAGTTGACTGAACAAGATTAGAGACCTAAATTAGACCCATTTGGATTAAGGGGTCAATGGATTTTATTGAACAGCTTGTATGCATAGGCAAGCAAACAACTCAACACTCCACAGATATTTCTCCTTATAACCATTTTTCTGCAGAGATGTTAAGTAGCATACAAGTGGCTCACATAACACATAATTGTGGAGGAAAGTTCCCTGGATTTGTTTCAATGGGTTTTAGCAACAGTAGAAGATAAAGAAGCGAATTATAATGAATTTATTTCATTTGGAAAACCTTGTAAAGAATCTTACTAGCTTAAGTTTCTTCTTTTCTTTTCATTTCTTTCTTTCTTTTGTTGATTGCTCAACTCATGAGTAATCCTACTTTTTCCTGAAGAAATTGTTTTAACAAGTATTGTGAAAGATATCTAAAATGAAATACCAATGGGCCGAGCAAAGTAATAAAAGCCTATTTCATCTCTGACATCTTGTACAGGCCAGTAACTTGTGAATTGATGAATCTGGGTGAAAAGACAGCAAGTTTTCTTAAACTTAAGTATGTGTTGGAACAACAATAATATTTTTTTATCCCACTTTTGTATACTTTGGCCAACTCAAGGTGACAAACATATCCAAAATACATGAGTACAATTTACTAGCCAGCATAGCCCATTGAGAATAATGCCCACTGACAGATCATTTAATATTTCCACCGTGTAAGCCTTTTAAGAGACACCTCCAAGACAAGTAAACCACATCCACACATCCTAGTGCAGTCTACCCTTTGTAACAGGATTGTGCAGCAGGAAATCGTTATTTTATTTTCCGCGGCCTGTGCTTATGAGATCTGCAACCTCTCTTCCTTTGCTTTTCCGCAAATCTTAGTCACTTATTTGCCATCCGGTGCCCTCCAAATGCCCCAGGCGACACCTTTCATCAACTGCACCCACAACTCCCCTGAAGGGGACTTGGGTAATTAACTTCCTTACTCGTCGCGCCCGGCTTGGAAAACGCTTCCCTTTCCGCTCCTCGTTTTCTCTTCCTGCCCATGCCATTTCTTAAGCATACCCCATCCCCACAAGCGATAAGGGGTCCTGGGGCATTACAATGGCCCCATATCTCAGGGCATCGGGGCTAGTAAACATCGCCTTGGTGGCTCTTCTTAGCAGAAGCTTTTCAAGCGCCGGGCTGCTACTGGAGGTTCCCAAAGGCGCTTCCCCCACGCTGCGCACGCGTCCTGGGGTAACCCGGTTCCTTCACCCGAGCGCCTCGAGTTTTCCCCGGGATCGGCTCCTCCACCGGGACCAGCGATTGCTGCGCCCATTCATTCCCTTCCTGACCTCCAACCGCCCCAAGTGCAGCGTTACTTACGGCCGTCTTCAATGCCGGCAGCGCCGCCAGTTCATCGCCGGGCTGCTTGTTGGTGCCGCCGCCGCCGCTGCTGTCCAAGCCGGAGCTTCGCAAGCTGCTCAAGAGTCTCGCCGTCCGGGACGAAGCGGCACATGAGCAACAGCAACAGCGAGGCCGACACCAGAGTGCCATGGCTTCCGATTCAAATCGGGCAAAGAGGCCGCCGCGTCTCGCTGCCGCTGTTTTGAGAGCCACTAGGCCCACCCCGCGATCGCCTGGGCTGCAGTGGCAGAGACAGCAGCAGCACCGACCCGGACGCGGAAACCCTGGTTTGGACAACGTGAGTATGTCTGGCAACGCCGCCTCCCGGAGTTCTTTTCCAGGAAACGCTTCAGGACAGAGAGGCTTATGAGAAGGCAAGGGAGTGGCGGGATGGTGCAAGTAGAAGAAGGAGAGAGGGGGTCAGTCCTCCCATGATTCTCCGGCAAAGGACGGGGTCGCGAATAGATCCGGATTTAACTCGCTCCCAGTTGCTCCCTGCGCTGGCTGAGGCTGCTGCTCCCAGCATAACAGCCGCCTCGTGAATAGAATCGCCTTCTTCTGTACAAAATGTCACTTGGGATTTGTATTAGAGAGGTGGGAAGGAGTAAGTCTGCCTGAAATTATTTCTGAGAAATATTCTTGCGTAGTGGCCAATAATGTGTAAGGTGATACACACCTGCAGCTCTCACACATGTGTTACTGGGATGGTGGAAAAGGATGTCAGTGAAAATTATAAGGATCAGCTGAGAGTAGAAGCTACACAGTAGTAGGTGGGGTGATTAAATGAAGGTGGACCCGAATTTTGTTCATCTGATGTGAGGGTATTATGATGGCCAGAATTTCAAGAACTGGTTGTAAATCCCTTTTTTCAACACTCTCGTAACTATAAATAGTTACTGAATGAATAGTCATTAAGTCAGGAATTTCTGTGTAAAATTATAACCCAATGAACAAAATAAATTGTATGATACCGTAACATCTCAGAATGTGCTAAATCAGGTCTTTTTAACATCTCTCAGAATTAGAAAAAGGGATGCAGTATCTGTTGAAATTTCAGCATGGTATCCTAAAACTCTCAATCCTTGAAGCTGTTTTGGGAGGAAAAGGTTGAGAGCATTTGAAAAATCAGAAGCTCATTCACGGCTAAGCCACAGTTTAGCACTGCATTATAAAGAAATAATTCAACTTCATTTTCATACATAGTTTAAAAAGTCAGTTGGCTGAAGATATGATCTGCTAAATAAAACCATAGCTATTTATACAACACGTGTGTGGCCAATGTGAACCTTATGTGGCCTGGGGAGCCTACTATTCCCACTGCAATTGTCAGAAACCTGCAGCACCTGCAGTTTGTCATTACTGTGAGGCATGTAACTTTTAAAATCTATTGTAGATAACATCTAAAATAGTTTTAACATCGTTAAAACAAAGAAGTGGTTCAGAATCCTACTCACACTACTTAGAGCAAAATGGTGTGTGTGTGTGTGGGGGGGGGGGGAAAGCAGAATATCCTGACCTTGCTCACAGGTTGCCTTAGGCACTTCACTTTGCATCATCATCCTGCATATTATGGTGTTTGGCTATCTGCAAAGGGTTTCTAAGTACTGGTTCCCCTTCCTTTCTAAAAGAAAGGAAACTGGTTTGCAAACTATAGCAACATTAGTAAAACAGTAATAAAACAAAAAAAAAGCCCTTTGGTTTAACTTAATCGTAGAATGTAAAGTCTGGAAGTGGTCTTGAAGTTCATCTAGTCCAGGAATGTCAAACTTATGCTGTCACATGATGTATCGGGACTTTATTCCCCTTCACACAAACCAGGTGGGCGTGGCCAGTGTGTGACACATCTGGTCTGCGGGCCGGGAGTTTAACAGCCCTGATCTAGTCTAATCTTTTGCCTCAGAACAGGAATCTTCATTCCATCATCCATCTATTACACTATCTCCAACAGACAGAAATCTTTATTTAAATAACTCTTATCATTCATCATCAGTTCTACTGTTCTACTGGCATTATGCGCAGTGGTTCTATTCAGGCATTTCCCCATTATCTAATTGAAATCAATTCCTTTAAATCCAATGGTTTTTTGTTTTGTGCCCTATACTGTTTTGCTTCATCTACATTATAGTCCTGATTCTTGAATAAATAAAATATGTCCAATCCTCTCTTTGGGTTTAAACTTACTTAGCACCTCTGACCATTTCTTACCAATTTCTCCTTCTCCATGTCACTTTGGTTGTCAATCTTCTTTCCAAAGTATGGCACCTAGAACTAGAGGCAATAGTCTACATGCCACTTATATATAATTACAATATTCACTGAACAGATTTGTCATTGTGTATAAAAAAGGCAAATAAAATAATTTCCCTAGAATTAAACAATCGTTGGCTGGTCTCAGTCATATCAACAAGCAAATGATAATGTAAACTCAGATCTACTAGATCAGTGATGGCTAACCTTTCCATCTTTGTGTGCCAAAAGTGTGCATACATGCATGCCAGCATTCATAAGGAAATCCATTCATGCTCCCATGTGCATGCGTGTGTGACCCATGCAGGCCATGCATTTCTGCACATGTGCGTGCAATCCCCTACACGCCCCGTGCATTTCTGTGCATGCGCATGGAATGTGTATCCTGCATATGCCCTGCTCCCGCACATGCGTGGCAGTTACCCGATTATCACCTGGCGGGTGGGCGGCGCGCGCGCCTGCGCAGTAGACCTGTTCTGGGTGACAGCTCATGTGCCGGCAAAGATGGCTCTGCATGCCACTTCTGGCACGCGTGCCATAGGTTCACCATCATGGTACTAGATGCTACTGATTAATCTGAAACTATTGTAGTTTGGCCTTGTACAGGATAAAAGCTTGAGGCTCCTTGACCACTGATAGAATGTCCTGTCTACGAAATTGCTGTGTTACTGTATTTGAGCTTCTTCCTCATTTTCATTGTCTTTGGAATTCTTCAATATCCTAGGGGTATTTAACTTTGGGGGCATTAGTTTATTTTATTGTCATTGCACCTCGTACAACGAAATCAAACATCATCTTCAATGCACATCATGACCATGACCATGAAAATAAACACAAACACACATCCTTCACCCTTCACACATTGAACCGAAAATCCCTGACACCTCACCAACACTGCACTATATAGCAGAATTCAAAAGAGCTACTGCTCTGGGATAGAAGCTGTTTTTCAGCCTATTTGTCCTTGTTTTTATTATTCTGTACCATCTGCCAGATGGTAATAGTTCAAGAAAGGGTTCCCAGTATGAGGTGGATCTTTGAGAATGTTTTTGAGAATATTTAACTTTGGTGGGGTTAGGATTTGTATGATGGTAATTCTCATCCTCTCTGTCCTGTCACATTCAAATGATGGTGCTGGGAAACTAGCACCATGTGGTGTTGGGTGTTATATCTGCATCACTTAGTGACAGAAATCCCTGTCTCAATCACCATCACTAACCAAAACTATCTCTTGTTTCATAGTGAGGCAGACTGTCTCTTAGATACTCAGGGTGAAGTTATTTAGTGAAGTCATGCCAAGCTAAAAATCAACATCTTGAAAAGAATCCAGAATAAGAACACAGATTTTTTTTTTTTACAAAACTGCCCAATTTCCAGTTGGAAATATCACCTTTATGCCAGGAAATAGTACTGATTTGCTTGAATTGATAAATCAGAATGTTATTCAGTGGTAAATATAGCCAAAACTTGATACAGCCACTGAAAATAATATCAGGAAAGATTGCCATTGTTGAAGAAAATGTAACTGTTTGCACAGGGACTTGATTCCATCATTGACTTTTGGTAATCCACGGTGATTATGTGAATACTTTGAGAGAAAACAGACTTGTCTGGTCTGTAGCCCTAGGTTAATGATGGTGATTGAGACAGGAATTTCTTTCACTACTTAGTGCACAATATCATGTCACTTAAACATGAGTCAGCAGTGTGCAGTAGGAGCCAAAAAAGCTAATGCAACCAATCCTTAGTTGTATAAACAGAGGCACAAAATCAAAACCATGTGAAGTATTAATACTGCTTTATAAAGCGTTAGTAAGGCCATACCTAGAATACCGCATCCAGTTTTGGTCACAAAAAAGATGTTGAGACTTTGGGAAAAGTGCAAAGAAGAGCAATTAAGATGATTAAAGCCTGCTTAGAAAAACATATGAAGAACGGTTGCAGGATTTGGGTTTGGCTAGTCTAGGGAAAAGAAAGACTAGGGAGGCACAGGATAGCAATATTCTAGTATCAGAGATTGCCACAAAGAGGAGGCAGTCAGTATATTTTCCAAAGCACCAGCAGGCAAGACAAGAAATAATGGATGGAAACTAATCAAGAAGAGAAACAATCTGAAATTAAGGAGAAACTGCCTAACAGTGAGGACAATCAACCAGTGAAACAACTTGCCTCCAGAAATTATTTGGGAACTTCATCACTGGAGGCATTTACGAAGAGAGCAGACTGAAATGGTATGGGGTCTTCTGCTTAAGCAGGTGTTTGGACTAGGAGACCCCCAAGGTCCCTTCCAGCTCTATTCTGATCGGACTGATTCAATTTTTTTACAAGATAAAAATAATAAAATATTAGAAAATCCAAACAATTCAATAATTAAGAATTTTTTTTAAAAAAAAGATTATAAAGAAGCAGTTTCCCATCTTTTTGATAATGATTATAAATACATTTTTATTCTATCCTCTCTCTAAAATTACAATACCTTCTTCTATAAGATACATTTCTAATCTTTAAACCCATAAATTATGTTCATTTTCTCATTTTTTTCCAGCAAAAAATCCATAAGGGATTTCCAGTCATTGACAAATGATCTTTTTATAATCAAGTAAGTTAATTTTGCCATCTCTGCTAGTTCTGTCATCTTCACCAACTATTCCTATATTGTGGTTATTTCAGAATCTTTCCAATTTTTGTCCATAATAGATTATTCTAATATGATCTTTAAAACACAACAATATTTTAACAGATTTTTCTTGGCTGTTAATTAATGAATGGAAAAATGGAATTGCTATTTGTTTAAATATGTATGAAATGAAAAGTGCCAGGGAGTTGTTTTTATAAATGTAAAGGCTCAGAGATAATTATGAACATCAATCACATTTGTTTCCCTACAGAATTGATCACGATTTAAGAAAAGTTGTGGGACAATATGTCTGGCTGCTGGGCAATTTTATGGTGGTTTTCATCGTTAACATTGGTATATCATTCCGGATGTTACCTCATTGACACAATTGCTGCAAATAGTTTTGGCCACTTGTATAATTACATTAATGCATCAACTTTGGATCAAGATTATTGTGAAAAGAAACTGAAATTAACTACTTTGGATGAATGGAAACTTTCCACAGAAGTGTTCACAGGTATTAATATAACCCTTGACAAAATATACATATTTTTGTTGGAAAGAATTATTTATATAATAGGGACTTTATCTGGATAAACAATTTGTCTAAGTGCTATTCTAGAGTAGTTGCTATCTAGGGCAGGGGTGCTTAGATCTGGCCCACAGAACTGCCCTGTAAACAGTGAACAACTGGTCTGTGATGCCTCTGTCAGTGAAAATGGTGCTCCATTGTTTTCCGACCTCCCAAGCTCCATTTTTGTTGGCAGAGCATTGCAGGAAGCTGTCATAACTGAAAACAGAGCGTGGGAGCCTATTTTTGCTGGCAGTGTGTTTGGGCCACCAAAGGTGCCCCCAACACATGTGACAATGAGCTGGCCATGCCCATTCTGGCCATACCCATCCCCCCCCGACGTCAAACACAACCCTGATGCAGCCATCAATGAAATTGAGTTTAGCATCCCTGATCTAGAGAAAGATGTTCGGATGAAAATCAGCAAGACCGATTACCTTATTCGGTCTATTTCATAAGTTAAGTGTGAATTTAGCTTGGCTTGTTAGCTGCTTTTATTTATGATTATATTTAAAACCTATGCTATTTTTCAGAAATTATCCTACTACTATAACTTTGAGCAGATCTTTGATATCTCCTAACTATGGAAAATGTGTTATTACATTGTTGACTTAATTTTTAAAACCTAAGTCAGGCAGTTTTATTGGACTATTGGGTATATTTGGAACATTGAGATATTGTTGTGGATGTTTGCCCAAAATGGCTGCTTTGGGGAAATTTGATTGTTCCTAAAATTACTGCCATTGTAGAAGCAACAAGTCACAATCACACAGAAACGAATGGGATTGCTCTTCAACCACTCTATCTTCCTCTCTCGCTCACCCTTTCAGAGCAGGGCTGGGCTGCTGCTACCCATTATTTTTACTTTCTAAAATTACCTGTTGTGTCTGTGTGGAGCAATCCTATAACCAAAGATAATGCTGAGGGAAACGTTTTATTTTGCAATGCAATAGTTTCACATTTTAATTCTTCGTTTTATTTTAAATAATCTATTGAACATTAAAAATTAAGTCAAAGAAAGATTTCCTGCGGATATCTGTGGGTACCAGAAGAGTTTATATGCTGTTAGTAAAAAATTGCTGACTGTGGATTTTGTAGCCGTAATCGGAAAACTGCAAAAACTCTTTAAGAGCGTTTGCTCTAAATCCTTAGGTGGGTCTTTAAGTGTGACCTCTCCATTGAACCTCTGATCTAGATTTACTGGGGACTAATGCAAGAGTGCTTAAAGACTCACCTAAGAGAAGGATTTAGGAGCAATGACCTTTAATGACTTTCTGCCTACTTAGTTAAGGAGCCTATTCAGATTAAGTAAAAAATGAAACTACCCTGAAGAACATTCATGGGGTCTCTTTACTAACTTATTCAGACTGAAGAAGCTATTCGGATAAGCAGCAAAATATTTCAAACCAAAAAAGAAAAGAACTCCAGTTGCCATGACTCAATTTCCAGACAATCAGAAACCTATTGTTTTTGCTGCAAAAGCACCTTTTTGAAATTATGTGTGAAATTAATTTACTTTTCCCCTTTAGCTACACTTCCCATTGATCATATTCAAGAGAATTATGTTCGTGAGGTTCAAGAATGTATTTTTTCTGTTGGATATCCTACACCATTTAAATCCAGAGTTCTACTTGTAGCTGTTTCAGAGGTCAGGAACACTTTTTTTTACTTTGCAGCTGTGTATCTATAAGAGAAGTTTATGAACATATAATCTATATAAATATTGTTATATGACATTCTTCTACTACATTCAGTCTACCACCTGAGTATCAGTGGATATTCTCCCTATTATTGAAGACACAAAAATGATTGAACTGCGCAATTCCATATTCAGGGATACGAAATCACTGTAAACTAGCAACTGTTTTATACCAAGTTAGCCCATTGGTACATCACAATTACTGTTTTCCATAGAGGATCTTCTCAGACAAGGTTGCTAAAAACTGCTGGCAGAAGATTCTCACAATTCTGAGACAGAAAATAAATAAAAGATGAAGTTTAAGCCCTTGAATAGATGTAATCTGTTTTATAAATGTTGGGTTCTTTTATAAAATAAGAAAGAAAACTTCATTTTGTGCCACCAAATAAAAATAAACAAAACAGAAATTCATGCAACTTATGTGATATGGCCTTGACAACTTCACTTTATTGCCTTGCCATTATAAAGCTTATTCTCCAAATACGTATTAAGCATGGCCCTTAGATATCGCCAGACTGCCATAATGGGCTATACATCTAAATGTTCTAACTCTTAATATAGTGATTTTCAAACCTGACAATTTTAGGATATGTGGACTTCACTCCCATAATTCCACAGCCAGTATGTTGTGGCCCCTCCAGCAGCCAAATCAGAGGAGGAGGAGGAGTCAGGGTCAGCATCATCAGGGTCAGCATGAGGGCAACCTGGCAGTTCCGAGGGGGAAAAGGGGATGAAGCTGGCAGAGAGAGAGGGGCGGGGGCAGAGCCTGGGCCATCTGTCACCCCTCAGATGGGGAGTCAATAGCCCCCAGGTCTGGAGGTGGTTGATGAAGAAGAAGAGAAACAGCTGGGTTCAGTGCTGCGCAGAGGGCAGAGGGGGAGAGAAGTGGAAAGCGTGGGCCAATCCTGGGGAAGGAAGAGCTGCCGCTGCTAGCGAGGCCCCACCCTAGCTCTGGGGATAAAAGGCAGCTATTTATCTTCCAGCTGGGTGGGCTTGTTAGCCTGTGAGAGAAACTTTTTATTGGGGCTGCCAGCATTCTTAATAAAGGAATCTTTTGAGTTCACGTCAGAGGGTTTGTCGTGTTTGGGGAGCTGATCAGAACACTGTAGTTGAAGTCCTCACATCTTAAAGTTGCTAACTTTGAAAAATACAGGTTTAGTTAATAGTACCTAAACCTAGTACTAACTCTACAAGAGCGAGATGTTCAACTTTTGGGGGCCATGGAACTTTTCCAGAACCCATGATCAAGATCAAAGCTCTAGTAACAGAAAATGGACTGCATTCGAGTGAATTTGTTTCCCTTTTAATCTCTCCTGGAACATCATCAAATTCTTGCAGAACTCTGTGAGATTTATGGATCCCAATTTGAAAACCGTATCCTAGAGATTCCTTTGCTTCATTGTCATACAGGTGTTACTTCTTACCCCTTTCTGATTTTTGAACCAACTAGTTAGCGTTTCATCAGCCCTGTCATTTTGAACATAAGTAATCAGCACCAAAAGATTGTTTACCATTATTGTTAGAAACAAAAATGCCATTATCACTGAAGATATTGCAAAGGTGTAATACTAATTAGAAACTTGTATCCAAAGCATAAATTGTACAAGTAATCACCTGCAAGAGCAAATAAACACTTGAGCTGAGAATATATCCCTAGTCTCTTCAAACATTGTTATCACATTAGGATTTTATCTTTAATTATTAATAGGATCCAGAACCACAATATGAATATATGAGGGAGAATTACACATGCATGTTTAATAACAAATGTAATATAACCAGGAAAACAACCAATTTGATGCAATTGTATCTTTGGGCAGTATTATACTGAAAACATTAGATGATGTTCCAATTTCAAAAACCATGCCTAGCTTTTATGTTATAGTACTCGATAATTACCTAATTAAAGTGAATTGTCCAAGGTTACTAAATTGGACACCTGTACTTTATACCGAATTCCATTGACTAAGTAGAATTGCGTATATTTTATTGTCTAAATGTGTAGGGACAAAGCTGGCAAGATAGGAATTACTACTGCTCTTATCAGAGAAAGCTACTGGTATATATTTAACAAATCCATTCCAAATTGAAGACTGAAAAATAATAATTAAGAATCTATTGACTTAAAAAGACAAGAAGATATTGACCCAGATATATAGCTTGATTTTGTGTTCAGCAGGTTAATCTACATATAATGTATGATTTCTTTATTATCTACAATAAAGCAGCTTATCTACCAGTGTCAAATCCATGATCTTTCTACTTGTTCCTAAGTATGGACTGCTTCTAAAAGAATATTTACAGCTGCCTGATCTGGAGTCTCACCAAACAGAATAACCCAAAACTACTAACATTCCCTGGAAATCGGAGTAGGAAGGCTGTAATTCTGAACTTTTTCTTGAGTGCCCTGCCCTCCAATTCTGGCTACTCTGAGTTGAGGTTTAGCAACAACTATACCTCATTTGAAAACAGTAAATTCTAATAGTCTGGAAAATAGTATGGGTATTTTGTGGCGAACAAATAGGAGGAGATCTCTAAAGTATGGATTTCTATAATGCACACAGCTAACATGCAAAACTTTTTTTTAACATCTTAATAATTTTCATAGATTGATATATTCCTTCTATTTCAGGAAGTCCTGGAAAAAATTCTGGACTTAGACATGTCTGCCTCAAGTTCAGATGACTTTCTACAGCTTGTCAGTGGTACAAAAATAATCTTTGGGTCTCTACCCCTAACTCACAGATATGGTGGCCATCAGGTTAGTTGTACTACTTGTTTTCTAATCAGATGTTATCAGCATTTTCAAAGTGATCTTACATGTGTGTGTTCTTTCCAACTACTGTTCTGATCAAGGCTTCCTGAGACACCAACAAAGACACCTTAAATCCAAAACCCTTTTATTTTAGTTCAATGTCATTCACAGCCCGTAATGAGTCTCAATCAGTTATAAATAGTCCCATGGAAGTCTACCAAAGTCCTTTGGAAGAAGTCTGATAAGAACACACCTTTATCTTTCTTCAAGTGCTGCCAATGACTAAAATACCAATTAGTCTTTTGAAACCAAACGGAGCATAAATTCACCACGGAGCTGTCAGGTTCCAAACAGACCAGAGCGAACAACATTGCTTCCTGCAAAGGTTCCTGTTCCTTTGCACTTCCTTTATATCTTATGGGAGGGGCAATCACCTCTGAGCCTTACTCATGAGTTGCCCCATTTGTCTTAGCTGCTCTTGTCTTCTGGCAGCTCTGTGCACACATGCACTGAGAACAGGCTCCCCTTGTTCCTCTGCTTGGCTGCTGTCAGATTCTGGAAGCTCCGGAGTCAGCACATAATTCCAGATGGCCCTGGCCCCATCTCTGTATCCGACACCGCACCATCGTCCTAGTCCTCCCCAGACTCCCAGACTGGCCCATGTTCTTCCCCACTGTCCGATTCTACTGTTATTTCCGCAGGCTGCTGGCGGACTACAACTACAAAGGAGAATTTTTCTTAGGCTTTACATGCTAAAACTGATACATTCTGTAAAACACTAGGGTTTTTAAGTATACTCTGAATGGCAGTGATATTCGGTGGTCAGTCATTTATTTGTAATTCTCTTGTAAATCGGTAAATCAGTCAAATAATCAAAATGCTAAAGCATGCAGATGGGAACAATGTTGGCTAATCATGGTCTCCTTTTTTTTCTTCAAGATTGTTGTCCTATATTTTATGGGTGAACAATATTTTCAACATCAGGCATTGCAACAGGCATAATATACTTTCTCACACACATACATGAGCACAGTTCATTTCATCCTTTCTCTTATTTCCAGCGCTGTTGAACAGAATGCAAATCATAGCTGTCTTTAATTTTGAGGCATAATATTCTTATTCCTCCCTAATGACTCTTAACAGGTAGCTAATATCTGTACACTAGTTGAAAAACACAATAGCTCCTTGTGGCTCCAAAGGCAGCCTTTATATTTTTAGTTGGTGGCAAAATGGCCTGGTCCAAAACACTTTCTGCAAAGGTCGGTTGCTAAAGCAGAGGGCAATGATAGCTGTTTTATTTGCTGATACTATCTCCTCCCACATAACTTAGCCAATTCATATAGTAGGTACAGAACACGAGAAAAATTGATTTAGAACATAAGTATGATACAGTCATCTGCCAAGAATTTCCAGTTAATTCCAAAGAAAAACACCCAACATTTTTAATGTACGGCAATTTCATATCTTCCGGATATACTTTTTTCAATTGCAGTCTATTAAAATGCTAAGCAACCTACAGTGGTATTTTTAAGCTGCGAACCCTTTCGAATGTTCAATATTTCTGCATAATTATAACCTGAAATTTCCCGTTTCCCACACAAGTCCTAAAACAAGTGAAGGAGAACTTTTTTTTTGCTGAGTTTCAGTTCCTCTGTGCTACTGATGCAAATATAACATAAAGACCAATTTTCACATTCACAACATAGGGTTGTGCTAACATTGTACCAAACTGTTCCTGTGCCTATTGCAATTACTAGTAAAATGTACAGAGAATATTGTTTATTCAATCATGTTGAATCCCAATTTAGCGCCATTTCTGAATAGCGAATAATTGTTTCACATTTTTATCTCAATTCTTCATTTTAGTTTGGTAGCTGGGCAGGACAGCTGGGTGATGGAAGAGCCCACCTGATTGGCGTTTATACAAACAGGTACTGCACATCTCGTCTTAAAAGGCCTGTCTCTATTCAAGTATGTGGTTGCTGTTGATAACTCAGAAACTAAAATAACAATGATCGACAATGACAGTATTAATCAGACTTAGGATGTAATAGTTTTCAATACTCCTAAGTATTTCACATATATTATTTTGTAAACTTTATACTACAGAATACATACATATTATTTCTCCTGTGTTACAGGTTGGGTTGAGGGTTCATTGTACAGACAAGATTTATATTAATGATAGTTTGGCATAAGGTGTTCTGTTCCGTGCTGCACCAGTTGTTCACATTGCTACTGCTAACCTTCTTTCTGTAGATTTGGATCCAGATGGGAACTACAGCTCAAAGGTTCAGGAAAGACACCATACTCGAGGTGTGTTACATCTTAGGTGTAATATTTTTTAAGTTCTTGATATGTTTTGGATAAATTTCAACAATGCATCATAGCATCCAAGGACTGGAAGAGACTGCGGTTCAATTCCCTCCCAGACCATCTTACGAAATGGCTATCTAACTTGGCATGGAACACTCATTACTCAAGGAGGTGCTGTTCTGTTTATATTTTTCATGGACCAAAAATGCCTCCTTATTTCAAGGTTGAATCTCCCTTGGCAAAGCTTCTACCTTTTAGTTCTTGTTCTACTCTCAGTCATTACAGAGAATAAATGTGCATCTTTTTCTTTTTGAGTTTTTGAAGTCTTCTATCATGTCTTTATGACTGTCTTAGCATCCTTATGGTCATGTGATTTACTTTCAGATGCTTGATAACTGGTTCAGAGTTGATGATTGCAGGGTCCCGGGGTCATGTGATCCCCTTTTACAACATTTTGACAAGCAAATTCAATTGAGGAGCCAGAGTCATGTTTACAGATTGTGTTACTAACCTAACAAATTAATACTAACTTAATAACTGCAGTGATTCACTTAACAAATGGGGCAAGAAACATTGTAAAATGGGACAAAACTCAATTACCAAATTTCTTACTTAACAACATAAATTTTGGGCTCAATTGTGATCATAAGCTGAGGACAACCTGTAGTCTTTGCTACAGAGATAAGTCTTCACATATAATATGTCTGAATAGGATAATTTGAACCTCATCATTTGTGTGTTGAACAAGAATTCAGGGATTTGTTTGATGATCCCTTTGTTTGTTTTCTTGATTGACCACAGTATTCTCAGGAGTCTTCTCCAATTCCAGAGTTCAAAAGTATTAATACTCTTTGCATTTTGCTTTCTTCAGAGTCCACATTTGCCTCCATAGAGCGTCACAGTGAATATGTAGTATCTACACAACATATTGTCATGTGTTTCTATTCACAGTTTGTGATGTAAAAATTATATGCAATGCTCAATAGTTGGATGGTTGGATTTTTAGCATTGTGATTCCTTAGTTCTGCTTTCTAGTGAAGCATTCATATGTGGCCCTGTCTAGCATGTTATATTTGGCTGTCATTCACTGATTGAGTGCGTACTTTGCATACCAAAAGCCACAGGTCTAATCCTTCGCATCTCCAGAGATAAGTTAGAAAACTCCAGAGGTGGGATGCTACTGGTTCTGCCTAGCTCTGTAGAACCGGTAGCTCTAAAGAGCAGCAGACACAGAACTGGTTCTGTGTCTGCTGCTGTTTGGCCCACCCGCCTGCCTGGGCTCTTGCCTGTCCTTTATTTCCTGCTTTTTCAACCTCAGCTGCTTTGTGCGGCACAGCTGAGGTTGAAAAAGCAGGAAAAAAGGCGTTTTTCAAATGCTATGCACCCGCATGCAGCGCTTATCACCTGTCCGGGAGGCACAGCTTTTGTTGTATTACACGCACACGAAGCGCGCATCTGGTGCAAAGTACCAAACCGGTAGTAACATTGGTTGAATTCCACCCCTGGAAAACTCCCATCTGAAACACTTCAAAGAAGATGAAGCAATGTAAAATTCAGCCCAGCACATATTCCAGTGTTACCTTTATTTCCATTCTGTTTCCTTGTTTATCAGTATCTTTAAGAGGAATTGTATCTCCCTCTCAACAAAAAACCTTTGGTTCTCTACAATAAATCCATATTTAAATATGAATTTTTGGCACATATTTAATTTGTTTCAACTGTCAACATTATTTGGACAAGTGCAATATACACAGGTAGCAAAATGTGCCAATCACATCAACTAGTGCAAGGATTTGCTAAGTATGTTTTCTTCCCAGTGTAAAAAAGTTAATAATAATATCTATGTTTCTTGGTTTATTTTTTTCTATAGGAGAGGAGATGGCAGAGCTGTGCTTCGGTCTTCTATACGAGAATTTTTGGGAAGTGAGGCCATGCATTATCTTGGAATACCTACAAGCAGGGCAGCTAGGTATTTTTTTCCAGGTTTATTCTTTATCTGCATTGAGCAGAGATATGCAATCCTCTCCTTAAGTCTCCTTGAAGTTCTTTGTGCTTGAACTGCCAGGTTTTTGAAGCATGATTGCTGAAAATTGACAGTGCCATTTCCTACACTTTTAGAACACACAAAAGGGTACTGCTTACTGCTAACAAAACTAGCAAATAAATTCTTCAAAACTTCCGTGCAAGAGAACAAAGAGATAAAAATCTAACTTCACTTGCCCTGCCTGAGCCCTTAATGCAGCATAGTTTCCATTGCCACCTACCTACCTCTCCCTTTTATAAAAAAACTAAACATAGGCCCCAGTCTCCCAAAGATTTCCACCATTACCCTTACACTTTCTGACTTTCAATGACATGAAAAGGAGAAAGCTGCAGAAGTTTTACAATTTGTTTTGTTAGAATTTTTTGCTAGTTGATGATTCAGTGTTATTTCCTATCAAAATGCTAAATCTCAAAACAGGATGATGACAGATAACTTAAACCAACAGCAACTATTTGCAGAGCCAATAAAAGGAGAGTGTTGCTATTTACTCTCCGTCCCAAACTAGACAAGTTTATCTTGCAAATGGCAATTTTTAGAGCTTTTCCTTACTAGATTCTTCATACTGAAAACAGGTTTGGTTGGGATGAATCTTATTGGGCCAAGTATATAATGGGTATAAGGGTGGGCAGAGGAGAAAATATTAAACAACCTTCTCCTTGACCAATTTTTCTACCTTGCAAATAATCCTTATGCTCATCTTTTTCTAAGCTACTATTTCTCAATTCCAGAAACTTTCAAGATGCATAGACTTTGATTCCTAGAGTTCCCTAAACAGCATGTAAAAGTTCATTGACGTGATTCATGATTCTTGGCCAAAAGTCCATGTGAACAGATTCACCCTGAAATTGATCCTCTTCCTGATTTTATTTTCTATGAATTGGCAAAATGATGGACTTGCATTTGCCAGTGAAACAAATTAATTGCCCTCAGAATGGAAATCTTAAGCTGATTCACAGTCCTACACCGTAACTTCAACAGAATGCCAATTCACTTCCACATTTCCAACCCATGAGATTTGTTCATTGTCTGGGAAATAATGACAGCAGGTTACTGGAGATGAATGCTTCACTTTAAAGCATTCTGAGTTTCATTTAGACATTATGAACTGGGGAGTCATCTCCTATGGCAGAGCAAGACTTTCAATGAAGCAGGAAGACAGAAGATTAATCACTGCTTCATCCGCCAGGAGGGCCACCTACTACAACCTCCTAGGAATACTTTGGGACTTGATAAACTTCTGATCTTGAATTCCAATATTTTATACCCAAAGATAGCCCTTTGACTTTAAATAAGAAAAACCTAGTACCCAACATACTGTAGATATTATAAAAACTACCTAGATAATCTGAGAAATGTTTATTTAAAATCATTATTAAGTATTTTTTATTTCTACTTAATATAGTCAACATTCTCTCATTCATACCTCTGTCACTTCCACACATTTCATAAATATTTGGGTAAATTCAATTGACAAATTATATATTTACAAACCATTTATATTTCCTTATGTCCTACCCATTCAGTATTGCATTGGAAACTCATTCTGGAGATTCTTGAGTCTCAACACCATCACACGTTGGGATGGTTTCTCTATAACAGATGCTTGAAGAATTACATAGTATGTGGCTTTCCCCCCCTGCTATACAAAGGAGGGTTGGGAAGTGACTCAGGTTGTTTCTCCATTTTCCATCTTATTATTGAATAATAAGAGGAGGATCTTTTAGTGCACACGAATGGCTTTTCAAGAGCGTGTGAAGTTCTCTGTGTGCATCCAATTTATCTGTCCTTCTGCCCATATACTAAACTAGAAGAGTACCCGTGCTTTGCTACAAAACTATGTGATCGGGCAAAGTTTTTGGAGATGAAAATAAGGAAAAAAATTCTGCCTCTGTCTACCACCATCCATTGGTATTCATCTGGCTAGTAACCAGTCAGTGTGTGAGAAAGCTGAGGGCTGTTTGGAAAGTGAAACAGTATTTGCTGTGTGAGCAAGAAAGAGACAGCAAGGAGCCTGGGCATGGCTTAGATCAACTGCAGTTGGAACAGATTTCTTTTCAGGTGAGGTGGGGGAGTAGAACTCCTTAGCATCAGATTGTGTTAATAATAATATATGAAATACTGATTCTCTGATAGTCATTTTGAAAAATCTTCTTAGTGAGCACCTAGAAGCCAAGAGGAACATATGTGCCAAATTTAAAGTTTGTAGGCTTTATGGTTCTGGAGATTTTGTGATGATGCGTGAGTGGTATTTATATACACTCTAGTTAAAAAAATAAAGGGAACACTTAAACAACACAATGTAACTCCAAGTCAGTCACACTTCTATGAAATCAAGCTGTCCACTTAGGTAGCAACATTGACAATCAATTTCACATGCTGTTGGGCAAATGGAATAGACAACAGGTGGAAAGCATAGGCAGTTAGCAAGACATCCCCAATAAAGGAGTGGTTCTGCAGGTGGTGACCACAGACCACTTCTCAGTTCCTGTGCTTTCTGGCTGATGGTTTGGTCACTTTTGAATGCTGGCAGTGCTTTCACTCTAGTGGTAGCATGAGACGGAGTCTACAACCCACACAAGTGGCTCAGGTAGTGCAGCTCATCCAGGATGGCACATCAATGCGAGCTGTGGCAAAAAGGTTTGCTGTGTCTGTCAGCGTAGTGTCCAGAGCATGGAGGTGCAACCAGGAGACAGTCCAGTACATCAGACGTGGAGGCGGCCGTAGGAGGGCAACAACCAGCATCAGGACTGCTACCTCCGCCTTTGTGCAAGGAGGGACAGGAGGAGCACTGCCAGAGCCCTGCAAAATGACCTCCAGCGGGCCACAAATGTTCATGTGGCTGCTCAAATAGTCAGAAACAGACTCTATGAAGGTGGTATGAGGGCCCGATGTCCACAGGTGGGGGTTGTGCTTACAGCCCAACACCGTGCAGGACGTTTGGCATTTGCCAGAGAACACCAAGATTGGCAAATTTGCCACTGGCGCCCTGTGCTCTTCACAGATGAAAGGTTCACACTGAGCACATGTGACAGATGTGACAGGGTCTGGAGATGCCATGGAGAACGTTCTGCTGCCTGCAACATCCTCCAGCATGACCGGTTTGGCAGTGGGTCAGAAATGGTGTGGGGTGGCATTTCTTTAGGGGGCCACACAGCCCTCCATGTGCTTGCCAGAGGTAGCCTGACTGCCATTAGGTACCAAGATGAGATCCTCAGACCCCTTGTGAGACCATATGCTGGTGCAGTTGGCCCTGGGTTCCTCCTAATGTAAGACAGTGCTAGACCTCATGTGGCTGGAGTGTGTCAGCAGTTCCTGAAAGACGAAGGCATTGATGCTATGGACTGGTCCACCCGTTCCTCAGACCTGAATCCCATTGAGCACATCTGGGGCATCATGTCTCACTCCATCAACCAATGCCATGGGGCACCACAGACTGTCCAGGAGTTGGGGGATGCTTTAGTCCTGGTGTGGGAGGAGATCCCTCAGGAGACCATCCACCACCTCATCAGGAGCATGCCCAGGCGTTGTAGGAAGGTCATACAGGCACATGGAGGCCGCACACACTACTGAGCCTCATTTTGACTTGTTTTAAGGACATTACATCAAAGTTGGATCAGCTGTAGTGTTTTTTTCCACTTTAATTTTGAGTGTAACTCCAAATCCAGACCTCCATGGGTTGCTAAATTTGATTTCCATAATTTTTGTGTGATTTTGTTGTCAGCACATTCAACTATGTAACAAACAAAGTATTTAATAATAATATTTCATTCATTCAGATCTAGGATGTCTTATTTTTGTGTTCCCTTTATTTTTTTGAGGTGTGTGTGTGTGTGTATGTGTGTGTGTGTATTTGTTTTCTTAAGTTTTTGTGGGTATTTATATGTATGGTATTCAGCTTTGTTCGGATATTTTCCCACGTCATTATAATTGTGCTTTTAAAGTTGTAGCAGTGTTTCGGCAGAATCTCATCTGCCATCATCAGGCTTCTGTATAGTGTTTGTCTGTGAGTCAGACTTTCATTGCTGTTTCTGTTTGAAATTTGGTGTTAGCCTATGCTGTGCCAGAATGTTTTTTTCTTCATCCTGATTGGTTGGGTGTTTTGGTCTGTGTTTATTGGTCCTGGAGTTTCCTGTGTTCTGCTTGATTGGTGTTTCTAATATCTTCTATCTGTTTTGTAGCTTTTTTTGTCTTGATTGGCTGGCAGCATTGTGTTTCCTGTATTGGAGGCTTTTAGTGCAGCTTGGCTCCGAGTAAATGGACGGCTATCATTTATTAGGAAGCTAGGTTTCACCTAGGTGCCTGGTTGGGGTGTGTTTGAGCTGGAGGTATCAGGGGGGATCTGTTTGTGCCCAGGTGTTTGCCTGGCTTGTGGTGTGGAGATTTTTTTGTTTGTGAGTGCAGGCTTCCAAATAATTGACAGTCTGGTGGAATCGTCTCTTTTATTTATGCTTTCAGGTCTTCTTTCAATCTCTATGGCTTCTCTGATAATTCTGTGGCTGGGGTTTTCTTTAGTGGCTAGGGTTTTGGTGCCATTGAAGTCGATGCTATGACCTGTGGCTTTCACGTGTTGGACTAGTGAGGAAATGTGTTCCAGCTTTTTTACTGCATTTTTGTGTTCATCCAGGTGGGTACTTATTCTTCTATTGGTCTGTCCAATGTATGTCATGAAGTCCCCTGTGCATCATGCCCTGCCACATCAGAGGTGGTTATATCAGAGGTGGTATTCAACCAGTTCACACCAGTTCCAGAAACCGGTAGTGGTGATTAGGCATGGTTGCTGAACTGGTAGTAACTTCTGGCTGGCCACGCCCCTGAACCGGTTCCCTGGTCGCTGGTCACTTAGTTGTCCCACCCACCTGATGCTTGCTCGCCCGCTCGCTGCTTGCTCTACCCAGTCGCTCCTCCCTTCCTTTGTGGCACACTGGGAGCTCATGGCTTGCCTAACCTGACTTTTCCACGTGGTGCCTGTGCCCCAACTGAACAGCTCTGATCTGCCTGCCCTGATCACATGTAAGCCTGTGTCGCGCTAGGCCCTTGCCCACCACCTGGGGCCTTTCCGTGCCTCCCCACCACCACCCAGGACCTTTCTGGGTGGGGGGGGCGGCCAAGGGGAGGAGCCATTTTGGGGCCAGTACAGAGTGTGGGGGGGGCAGCGGTAGCGGCGGCGCAGCTATGGGAAGCAGCTCCAGCAGTTCCCGGCGCCCCTTTCAGGGCACCTCCGCTGCCTTTCTCAGTCCTAGCACAGCAGAAAAAGTGAACGGAAAGCTGTTTGCTTTCTCCCTCCCTTTCGGGGCGCCTCCTCCACCCCTCTCAGCCTCAGCGCAGCACAGAAAGTGAACGGAAAGCTGTTCGCTTTCTCCCTCCCTTTTGGGGCATCCCCATCTGCCCCCACCGCCGCCCATGTGCTTCGAAAGGGAGGGTGGATGGATATTCCAGGGCTGCTGCTTTCTTCATTGTCCTGCTGCTTGTTGCTCTGGAGTTTGCCCAATAAGTTCTTCTCAGAAAAGGTGTGTGTGTGTGTGAGATAGAGACAAGGAAGGGAGGAAGGGAGGAAGGGCACGAAGGAAAGAGCAAGAAAGGAAGAAAGAGCAAGAAAGAAAAAGGAAGGAGAGAAAGAAATAAAGAGGAAAAAAGAAAGAGAAAGAAAGAAAAAATAGGAAGAAAGAAAGAGGAAGGGAGAGAAAGAAAGAGCAAGAAAAAAAGAGGGAAAGAAAGAGAAAGAGGAAGGGGGAGAAAGAAAGAAAGAGAGAAAGAAAAAAAAGAAAGAAGATTTATTTATCATATATTAATATTTTGCACTGTCCCTACACCTGGAATGATTTTACTGCCTTTCTTTTGCCCAGGTATTTTTCAGGGTTTACATATCAATAGTCCAGAGCATAAATACAGGTACTTTTAACAGAGTTGAAAGGGACTGTGGAGGTCTTCTAGTCCAACCCCCTGCTCAGGTAGGAAAATTCTGACTATGCAGAACTCTGAGTAGGGAAAGGTGTCAGAATAACAGAATAACACTTAGAAGGGACGTTGGGGAGGAACTCTATACCATTTCAGAGAAATGGCTGTCCAGTTTTTTGTTAAAATGTTCCAGTGTTGGAGTACCCAGAACTTCTGGTGGCAAGCAATTCCACTGGTTAAATCTTCTCACTGTCAGGAAGTTTCTCCTTACTTTTAGGTTGCTTCTCTCTCTGTTCAGTTTCCATCCTTCTGATGCTTTGGAAAATACATTGTTTGCCTTCTGGTTCTTTGGAAAATACATTGCCCCTCCCCCTTTCTGGCAGCCCCTTAGAAGCCTGTTGCCTATCACACTCTTGGGCAAAGCATGTGAGCCATTTCCTCCTTTCAGTGGTCCATGAAAGTACATCTATAGTACGTAGATAATAAAGTCAAAAAAAGTGAACAACATTTTTACAGAATTATAGATATGTTGAGGCTGCGTGTGACAAGGAATGGCTGGGAAGGGAGGAGCCAAGTGAGGCACCCCTTGACGTGAATGACATTGAGCTGGCCACACCCATCCAGTCACATGACCACCCCAGTCACATGGCCACCAAGCCAGTCATGTGACCCTAAGCCACGCCCACCAAATAAGCCACACCCACAGAACCAATAATAAAATTTTTTGAATCCCACCACACACACACACACACACACACACACACACACACACACACACTGATATTCTCTCCCAGGGAGAAGCTAATTGATTTGCAGAAATGGTACTCTTCCTGTTATTGCTATCACATGAATTGCAGAAAATTAGAATTGCATACTCCATGTAAAAGCAAGCATTTTAGTTTAAATGGAAACCTGTATTCCAGGAATGCAATTTAGGGCAGTTTATTTGGAGCAGAAGAAAGGGGAAGAGTTGACATAACATTTCTCCTGCTTGGCATATCAGTGGGATGATTATTATGGAAACACATTTTTGCTATTTTTATCAAATAAAATTAACCCATTCCCAAAATTTTCCCCCACATAGTCCCCTGCTGTTATATGTAGTCCCCAACAAATGCTATCTCACCCTGCTTTAGTTTCTCAATCTGAGCAGGAAACATTGGTGCTTCAAGAGTTAGTTTCATTTCTTGTTAAACTGTATGCCTTGCCAATTATGGAGGTTAATTGTACAAAAATACAATTAAGAATAAGTAAAGAATTCCTACAATTGGAAGTCTTTTTAAAGAACTGTATGTTTCAGTTCTTTTAAGAACCAAGCAAGGACATTGGGCCCCTTAATGCAGCAGGAAGCTGTAAAATAGTACAGAAGTCTTGACCCATATTTGCTATAACATAAACCCAACAAATGTTCCCTCAATACATATGTGAATTCCTAGTCTATCTTAGAATCAAGGAATTTCCTGGTGGTTTTGCCATCTAAGAATTAACTAGATCCTACTCTGCTGAGATTGGGAATCAACTGAAGCCCAGTAGATGCTCTTCCATAGCTAGTCTTCTCTGTTACATGTGTACTGTAGGAATGCTTTATATGTCTAGTTGAATCTCAGACAAATAGCCTTGCCGAGGGTTTAAGACCATTATGTGTTACATCCTACTTGTTTGACAATTGTACGGGTCCTCCTCAGACTTTTAAGCCCATTGTCTGTGGAATTAGGTGTATTAAACTGTGCTTGGTTTTATTTATCTTTCTTTTTTCCCTTAAAATATCATATGAATTTACTTTGTCTGACAGGATTCTGAACTTCTTCCAGTCTGCCTTGTACTAATCCCCTAATTCCTCTGTTTTCACAGCTTAGTTGTAAGTGATGACAACATTTGGAGAGATCAGTTCTACAATGGGAATATTAAGAAAGAAAGAGGTATTTTTTATCGCTCTTTGATAATTTTATAGTTAACTTTTCTCAGACCACCTGTTGCCAATCTGCTTTCTAATCTGTTGATGTAAACCTATGCAATAGTTATGCTGTTGACTGGATTATGGGCTGTGGATAATAGTTTTCTGCTCAGAAGCTGGCTTGCACTTGGAAGAACAGTGCCTCATGTCAGATGCAGAACATTTCCCTTTCAGGACATTACTTTCCTCCCTTTTCTCTTATATGCTCAAATGAACATAATTTGACTTGTCAAAATCTAAGGTCAGTTTTAGTTTTTGTATTTTGTATTTTATTATGATCTCCTGAAGCATCTTGATTTATTCATTTAATACTGCATGTACCTGGAAAATTTTTCTTCAGGTTTCCTTTTTTTAAAACATACTTTTCTAAAACTCTTTTCAAGTAGCTCCAGACATTAATTAGCAATAGTTTATTGCCTCACAGCATTATGACTAATAGTCCTTAGAAGCCACTGATTTGATTAAATTCCTTTCAATAAGATAATTTTCCCTTTAGTTCTTCCAGAAATGGACATCAGACTTCTCCATCCTGTCTCTTAGCTTTTACTGGTCTGATAAAGTAGTTTTTTGAAAACCATTTCATAGTGCAAGAAGTCTCTTTCTATCCATTAAGGGGACACTTTCTTATATATTCCAAAAACTTCTTTTCCCACCATAGAGTAAGCCTTCATGCTAAGAAGTTATGGATGCATTAGGAAGTATATTAGGAAGTAGGACAATTTTGAAAGGCATTAATTTGTAGATATTTATTTTCAGGTGCAATTGTGTTACGTGTTGCAAAATCATGGTTTCGAATAGGATCATTGGAAATACTAGCTCAATCTGGAGAACTGGATTTATTAAGGTTAGATTTAAACCCTTCACTCAAGATTTTCATTTCTGTAACTAGACAATAGAATAGCTGGTCCAATATAAACAATACAAACTATATTATCTGGAAAGTACAAGAGAGATTCTAGATTGGCATTCCGTAAGATGCAAAATTTGGATCCTAACTCTTATACATTGCTTCTTTGGCTCTTGGGTAATAGATCCTGGAAAATCTTTAAAAATGAAAGAATTACTTTCTTCTTCCGTTTCTTTAGGCCATTGACTGCATTTGAACAGATTTGTAGTTCCCCATTAGTACATTATGGTAATGACCAATATATTGTGGTGTCCATTAGAGCAACGGTGACAAAACCAATAAAATGCAGTGTGGCAGTTAAAGCCCCTTTGTATTTACATGGCACTTTGATGGACATGTTGAGGTAATTCCCCATTAGGAATTTAATCATTTTAATTTTGCACGCATTGTCTCACATTTAAATATCTTAAATCTGTGTGTTTTGATCTTGTCTTAACAGTGAGAGTGCACACAGGGAGGCGTAGTGAGAGTGGTGAGGAATAACACACGACCAGCACACAGATACACTGAATAGTAAAATGTAGGTTTTTACTTCCAGTAAACGGTTAAGCAAAGTCCAACAAACAGTCCTAGTCATACATGGTTAAAGCAATCAGTTTTCAGTCCAGGGATAATCCAAATAACAAAATCCAGTATCATGCACAGTTCAGCAACAGACTTAGAGCAATACAGTCTAGGCAATACAGGGATTACTGGTGGATTTCCTGTTCCACCTGCTCCTGTTCTTCTACCTCCTCCTGTGCCTGTTCTTCCTCTTTAATGGCTGTTGATAGTTTCAGTTACAACATCATTGCTCAATTCTTGTTCCAGTTTATGCCACCCAATGTGCTCAAGAAATTTAGCGCTAGTGCTACAGTAAACATAAGCTGTGCCCGGATCCCAAATTCTAAACGATCTATGGTTGGCCTCGTAACCTACGAAAAATAATTTCCTAGCTCTACATTGCCCTTTCAGTCTTACTTGTAAGGGAATATGCACCCATGCTGGAGCTCCAAATGTGTGTAAATAACTTACATTTGGTTTTCTGCCATGCCAATGAGTGAATGGCAATTCACCAGTTGTTGTTTTCACTACATTGTTTAATACATGGTTGCCACACATTATGGCTTCATCCCAAAGTGTTTCAGGCAAATCTGAATCAGATAACATAGTGCGAGCCATGGCTTGTAACGTTTTCCCTCTTCATTCTACAAGCGAGTTATGTTGTGGCCTGTAAGGTGCAGAATGTTTATGCTCGACACCAGCCAATTTTAACATAGTTTGGAATCTATTGTTAATAAATTCAGTCCCATTATCAGTAACTAAAGTAATTACTCTATGTTTCATTTTTCTCTCTGCAAACCTTAGCCAATTAAAGAAATGTTGGAATGTTTCTGTTTTGTTCTTTATGAGATAGCAGAAACCGTACCGTGAGTAATGGTCCATTATACTCAAAACATAGCAGGCACTTCCCAAACTGGGATTTTTTTGGATCAATTATGTCAGCAAACAACCTTTAAAGGTTCTTTGGTCTTAAACATATTAAGTCTGTTTGCTGGAGTAACCTTGCTTTTTTTTTGGTTACAGGCATTGCAGTTCAAGTACTTACTACAGGGTTTTAATTTTACTCCCTCTGACAATTCAACAGTTTGTTTCAGCATTTTGAAATTAATGTGTCCTAGACGTCTATGCGGTAAATGTATACATTCGTCATGTGACTTAACATTGTTATAAACCGAGTTAGCCATCTGCAACTGGTCATCATGTATCACATATAAAACATTCTCTAAAGTAGCATGAACACTTTTAGCCTCTTTCTCTGTTATACAGTTATCTTCCCTAAAGGTTACAACATAACCAAGATTAACTTACTGATAACAAATTAAATTTCAATTTAGGTTCATATAACATAGTCAAATGCTCATTTACACATGAACAATATGCAGTACCTTCACCAGATGCCTTCATCTTCCATCCACTTGCCAATGATACATGCTGCTTACTCGTGGACATCGTTACAAACCTCTCTCTATTTTTAGTAATGCACTGCCATGCTCCACTATCAACTACCCACAAATCATGGTTTATAGTTGAATTGCTAGACATAGCTAAACTGACATTCTTCTTAGTTTTCTGGAAATTACCAGTATTCTGTCATTTTTCCTTCTTACAGAATCTAACTATATGTCCCCTAGCCCCACAAGAATAAAATTTCCTAATAGTATAGGCAGTTGAAGACAAATCCTCTTCTTGTGGTTGTTTCTTCCACAGTTGGTCCCTATCCAGCCGTCTTCTTGCCTCTTCTAATAATCGTCCGGTTATGTCAGTCAATGTCAGTTTATCTCTGGGTAGAACTTCAGTGAAGATACGTAATCGTCATAACTTTCATCCAATGAGGAAAGAATGATGTAAACTTGATGTAGCTCTGAAAATGCCAGTTCCTTTTCATGTAGCTCCTGAAAAGTTCTTTTCATGAAGTTCAAATGAGCTAACATATCTCCACCTTTCAGAAGACGTGCTCGAAACAGTTTACATGTAAGATGTTTGTGTGCACCTACACTGTCACGAACATAAATCCTCTTCAAATTCTCCCAACGCCTAGCAGCAGACTCTTCTCCACAAATACGGACTAGCTACTGGTCACACAGTGTTAGTCCAATTTACCAAGAGCTCGTTCATTAATCCATTTAAAGTCAGCAAGCTTCTTGGCATCGTCCTCATCGTCTGTCTCCCAAGCATTTACATCTGGTGGATTCTGAACTGCAGCCCATATCCCTTCTCTACGCAGAAGTAAACTGCACTTCATAGACCAGGAAACATAGTTTGTTCCATCCAACCAGGCTATCAGTGATAGACTTGTTAATGGGTCTTGTGCCATTTTTATCAGGACAGTAACCCACAATTGAACAGTAAACAGCTGTCTGAATACGGTACTGTGTATTCATACCAACTCCCAGTTATCTGAGCCTGGTATGGCCTGGGCCATAACCAGTGTTGAGGTAATTCCCCGTTAGGAGAATGAGTGCACACAGGGAGACATAGTGAGAGTGGTGAGGAATAACACACGACCAGCACACAGATACACTGAATAGTAAAATATAGATTTTTACTTCCAGTAAACGGTTAAGCAAAGTCCAACAAACAGTCCTAGTCATACACGGTTAAAGCAGTCAGTTTTCAGTCCAGGGATAATCCAAATAACAAAGTCCAGTATCATAAACAGTTCAGCAACAGACTTACAACAATCCAAGGAGAATGATGATCAGCAACAGTCAATAGGGAAAAATGCAGCAACCAAGAACATCGAACACCAGAATATCTAGTAACTAGCAACTAACAACAGAACTTACAACCCAGGTTTCTGGCTCCATCTTATGGCCATTTGAGGAACCACACCCAATTACAGTTTTTAGCATTCCCTTAAAGATTCAGTATTAAATGTCTAGCATGGTTTATATATTTCCAACCCAGCTGTTAGGTGACTATGAATTCCTAACAGGACATACAGAAAAAGTGGGGCTTGGATTGTGGTGCCATATGTGCCACCTGGCCCATTTTAACCTACCTACCCCCCTTCAGACAGTAATGCATAAATAATAAAAATAAGCAAATTGCTGTTGTTTCTCAAGTCACCCTAGCCAGATATCTCACTGTTAAGACCTCTTCCAAACTTCAACAATCTTACAAGATTTTTTTTTTGTCAAAGTATATGATATTTTTTTGTGGTACAATGTTTCCTACTCTATGTTAAGGTATTTCTAAAATATTTTCTCACAGTAGGATGATATCATGGACTTTGTTTCTCATAACAAAATGTGCAATATCATTTTAATTTAATTTAGGGTAAATTTTAGGAAATATGCAAATCATTCAGTGTTTATAGTGATAGTGTGTTTAGTATGAGTCAATGAAGAATTTGTTAGATAAGTTCTTAAAACAATTGCTATTCTATATCATTGGAGCTGGACATACTTTCCTTAGGAGTGCAAAGAATTTCTAAATACTGTAGGATATGTATCTGAAATAACAGCTGCTAATTTGAAAGGAAAATCAATAACCTTTTACTTTGACATTGACCAAACTTTCTTAAATTATAGAGTAACTGAAGAAGATGGGCAGTTAAGAAATATGAACTATAAATAAATAAATATAATTACAGATTTATATATATATAACATCTAATTCCAGCTTTTCTGATGAGCTACTTAGAATTATGTTTGCATAATAAGATTTTTGGGGTTTCTTTTCCTTCTGTTTTTTGCAAGTGTTACTTTGACTTGTTATTAGTTTGTCAGTAAGCTATGATTAAAATCAATGTTGTCTTACATGTAAGCAGAGCTAAAATTCTTTTCTGAAAGATACAGTACATAACTTTTCTTCAGTTTAGTTTACCCTTAGCAACAAATAGGGTTCAGTTTAAATATTTACTTAAATGTTGTTTACAATTCTTCTTTGATAAAAGAAACTTTTACTTTGTGGGACAGGATGCTGCTAGATATGGTCATAAAAGAACACTTTCCAAAAATAAACATAAATGATTCAAATAAATATCTGGTAAGTAATTTTTTTTTAAATTTCCATATACATTTATGTCAGTCCAAATAGGAAACATTTGTAAAACACTGTGATTATGTATTTTTGAAATATTTCATAATCTAATTTTTAAGTGTAATTACATTTTCAACAATTGTTTTACATATTTATAGTAAATATGATCTAAATATTCTGGAATATTACTACTGTATTTATATGCTGAATGTAAAACTTTGATTTTAGGCATTTTTCTCTCAAGTAGTATCTGAGACGGCACATTTAATTGGCTTGTGGATGTCAGTCGGCTTCGCTCATGGTGAGATTAAAAGGGGGAGGGTTGTTTTGTTTGATTTGCATAACGTATTTCCTTTTGATTAAAGATGGATGTGACACATAGATACAGTAGATGCTGCATTGTGCCAAAACTTATTCCCCAACAGAGTTCATTACTAAAGAATGTTAGGGGATAAGTGTGTGGAATTGAACTATTTATAGTGATTCAGGGCCAGGTTCATTCATCAAATCAAATGGTGGTGTATCTTAGCCAAAGTGTAAAGTACAAATTCTGATCCATAGGTGGGTTCAGACATTGTACAAAGCTAAACCAAAACCATTCATAGTTTAACTTAATGTACTCAACTCACTCTGTTATTCTATAATTGCACCTGGATTGAGTCTTTATGTATTTACTGCTCCTGTAGGGGTTCAGAGCTCTATAACAGGAAAATATTTTGTTCTGTATGCTGTGGTTAGAACTTTCTTCCTTCCTCTTTCATTTTAGTGCTATAGCAGCGTTCAACCATAGTCAGATGTATTGAGGAAAAGGTTGATTTCAAGCAACTTGGCCATGCTATAATTTCATCAGTAGGAATTTAAAATATAAGAGGAACAATGCTGAGGATGCCTTTGGAAAATTTCAGTGCCTTTGTTGACATTTCTTTATAATTTACTTTCCTTCATATCTCCTTATTACAGTAATTCCTCAAGTTTTTGGGGGGGATGGGATGGAGGGAACTATTAGACAAATATCCATAGCTACGTAAGTAATGAAGAGATCTATCAATTTATTTCACTTCCTTGTTGTATGGAATAACTGAACCGATTTTGTTACTCCACAACTGGTGATAGCTGAGGTGAATCCTGGCATTTTTGGCATTTTCCTATTGTCAGTGGATAGAAAGAAAATGAGCACTGGGTGGCTCATGGTGATTATGTTTTAAAATGCTCAGAAGTGAAGACAAAGTCAGATTCAATTTATTTAGGAAGGGGAGAAATTGCTACTGTGAAAACCTTCTAAGTTAAGTCATGAAAATTTAGATTTTTTTTCTAAATTACTTTTAGAAAAGTAATTAGAAAAGTAGTAATTATTCTAGTAGCAAAATGGTACTAGATCCCTTCTAAGCTGTTGATCAGCATAAGTTAATACAAGGAGTTAATTGTTGAAGCTGGAGCATTACAGAAATAGTATTTTTCATTATGATTTGGTTCTAGGACTGTTCCTAATCCTTTGTCACTACTGTGGCTTTTCAAAACACAGACTTATTACTAGATTGTAAGTACACAGGACTCTGTAGCTAATAAGCTTTCCTTTTCTTTCCAAACTGTATAATGGAAAATAAGAAAGAGAAGCTGTATTTCTTCTGAAAGAATTAAAAGAATCTCAGTTTTTGACACTGATCTTACAAACTTCTTAGCTATGAAATGAGGGGTTGGATCTGATTTCCAAATTGCTTCTGAATAAGTTTCCATACCAGTACTATGTACTGTTTTGATAGCCATGTTGCTTTATGTTTTAGGAGTATGTAATACTGATAACTTCAGCTTATTATCCATAACCATAGATTATGGTCCATTTGGCTTCATGGATTCATACAACCCAGGTGAGTATAACCTAAGAGAATTCAGGATTTATTATTTTGAAGACAATGAAGCATGAAATTCTAAGCCATGCCTTTGTGTTTTTTTATTTTTGACTTCTTAGATTTAAGTGAGACCAAAAGGATTAAAAGATTGGAATGTATGGGACTCAGAGATTAGAACTGGAATTGGCTGGTTGATGGATCTTAGAGAGTTGTATTTAAAATATGTCTAAAATTAAATTGATATGTTAGGTATGGATAAAATCTTAATTATGTCAATGGAACTATAAGAAAGTATGCTAGTTTTTGTAGAAAAAAACTGAGGTCAACATTGTACTGTAAGTTTTATCAAGGGGATATAATTTTGTTTTTTGCGTAAGAAGGGCAAGGTTTTGGCCATGGAAGATAGCATATTCATTATCAAGTTTCTTTACATTTTCTTTCTTTACCCTGAGAGAGTTCTATTTTGAGAGCCTTTAAAAGCAGAAAGCTATTACGCTTTGTGCCATGAAATTAAATATTCATTAGCATAAACAGTGCATCTAGGGTGAAACTATGGAGTGCAGATATATCTCATATGCACTTACATCCCACATACATTCTGATATGGGTGCATTATTATTAGTCATTATTATAATTTCTGTAAAGTATAGTCATAAAAAATATTGGCTGTTAGTAAATGTGTGACAAAGCAGTCTGGGGAAAAAGCCCCAATATAATACATATGTATCTTAAAACAAAAGGAAATTTTATTTTCTATAACAGGCTATTTGTGTCCAAAAACATGGTTAATATGTAGTCCTCAAATTATAGTTGTTCATTTAATGATCATTTAATGTTACAATGGCACCGAAAAAAAATATTTATGGCCAATTTTTACACTTAGGACTTTTGCAGCTCAAAAGTCATGCACTCAAAAATTGGGCACTTGGAAATTGTCATGTATTTATGACAGTTGAACTCTCCTAAGGTTGAACTCACCATCTGTAACTTTCTTAACTGGCTTCAGACAAGCAGTCAATGGGGAAGGCCAGATTTGTTGAATTACTGCATAATTTAAGAATTGCAGTGATTCGCTTAACAACTTAATTGTGGTAAAAAGTACATAAAATGATACAAATCCCAATTATGAACTATTTTGCTTAGCAACAGAAATGTTGGGTTCAATTGTGGTCATAAGTCAAGGACTACCTGTGTATTTAAAAAATAGATAGTTTACACCACTGATTTTGGTTTGCATTTGGGGGTAAAAAGATACATTGCAATTTTAGTGGGTTATTTTCCTTGGGCTAATCTAGCCTAAATAAATACGCTTGCATTTAGAAATTTGGAGGTGTCTGTAGTTATTTACTACTTGTGTAATTTTCCTTCTTTTAAATCAAGATGAATGAACGTGGATGGCTATTTCAAATGTTCCACTGTAGTAAAAATAATGTTTTGTTTCAGACTTTGTTCCAAACACATCTGATGATGAAGGACGGTATAAAATAGGAAATCAGGCAAATGTTGGAATGTTTAATCTGAACAAACTGCTAAAGGCTTTAAACCCTTTATTTAGTCCAAGACAAAAGCAACTGTAAGTAATCCTTTAAAATGTCTTCTTATTTAAAAGAGCTGATGAGATGATTATTCATTTCAAAAAGAAGACATTTTCCTGCAAGAGAATATTTTAAAAATTGAAATTATGTTTTACAATGGAAGTGCTTGCAAAAGAATAAAAGTTTTCAATAGATTTATGGAAATGACTATTTTATAAAGTAAAATTTTGTACTCTTGCAACTAGGAAACTGGGTTTTTTATTTTTGTCTTTTTGCTTTAGTTTGGTCAAAAATTAAAAACATGCCTAGAAAGACTTTTTTTTTCTGAATATCATCTGTAGTTTTAGAGACAAATGGGAAAGAGATCATTTGAAGCACCAGTCACTTTCATTATTATTATAAAATTGTTCAAAATGCATTATTTAGTAATATCAGTTCAGCTTGCAATATACAATTGAATCCACAAAAAAGGCAATGAGGATGAAAGAGATGGACCATGATTACACCAATATCAAATGTTTGATAACTATTTTGTCTCTTAAAAATATTGAAGAAGATACAGTATCTTAGTATAAGCCAAAAATTTAGGCGGTGATTCAGCTTGGATGCATTCCTAATTTCATAAACTATGGTTTAGTAAGCCAAGAAAGAACCTTTGCCTCAAATGCTGTAGTCTAGCTATTTCTTTCATTTTGTAATGTCATGCACCAGATTCAGCAATGGGAGTTTTTTTAGACCACTGTTTCTTGGACAATGTATAATACCCATGAACTTAAATCACACATTGCAAAATTAAAACTTGTACATAAGAGGAGGAGATAAGGATCCAAAAGCTTACTGCAAGTCCGAAATTTATGGTATATTAAGTATGAATGTTATTTCCAAAAAGAAATCAGCAACCTTTTCATGCTATGAACACCATTGTGTTTGGGTTTCTTGTTATCCTCCTGAAGATCTCAGAATCTTGTGAGATTTCAGTTCTGTAGTCTGTCGATGTAGATGTGACAAGATTTGATAATCTTGTAAGATTCCAGCCATAGTTTTATTAATTGTGAGAGTATATTAAAATTTAATAAAGGGAGGCAATAAGTCCTACTCTTTATTGAGTTTTGATCCAGATGGGTTAAAAAGACTCTAGGCTGAAATCCAGGAAAATCATTGCGGTTGATTTACAAACAGTTCTGAGTTGGTTGTATTATAGTTCTTCTTAGATTACTTACCTTCTGTTCTCATGGGAATCCCAATAATTCCTGTTGAGTTCTTAGTGTTCTTTGTGTTTTTCCCCTTGTAGACATTTCATTGCCATGCCAGGAAACCTGGGTTTGAGGGAAAGTGAAGTTTGCTGACAGTTTATATCGTAGCTTGTCCTGCCAGTCTTGGTGTCTTTCTTAATAGTTCATTGATTGGAGGGTATTTCTTTTTCTTTTTAATTGTTTATGGGGTGCCTCTTTCTGCTTGTCTAGTGTTGGCTGGGGGAGATGATATGTAATGGATTGTTTCCTTTCTTGACTTTTGGTTGTATCTTTTAAATGGCATGTGTAGCTGTGTTTATCTCTGTGTATCTTATTGGTAAAACCTTAAAGAATAGCAAGAATAATGAGCTATAAATATTCTCTACTCTTGGAATTTCTGCTGAACTGATTAGAAATTACACAAACCAGCATATCAACCATCCAACACAGTATCAGTGGAAGAGCTATGGCTGGAATTGTCTATCTCCTTGACCCCCCCGCCCCCAATCCCTCCATGAAATAGGTGTGTTAATCCTATCAGAACTTAACCCATCTATTTTTATGTTTACTGAGGGAAAAATGCAGATCGGACTAAAGAAAGATCAGCCATTTGCTGCCAAATGTTAGCAGGCTGCAAATGCAGGATTATCCATCTTATTAGATCATCCAGGGTAGCATGTCTAATACCTAAATATCTATGGATATTCTCCATCATCCAGGTCATGGTTGTCGCAGAGGTGCTATTTCAATTGGGTTTTTTTCTTGAAAACATTTCATTTCTCATCCAAGAAACTTCTTTAGTTTTGACTGAATAGGTCAAATTTATATTCTGAGGAATTTGGAGGAATTTATATTCTATGCAGTCACCTACATGTTAGTACGCTGAGGGTCAGCCATTAGCTCTCCAAGAATCATTAAGACTACTTGGAGGTTAATCTTTATCCTCGGAGTCACCTGAATGAGAGTGCAAATGAATGTGGAATCTCCTTGGGACTGCTGAAAGGATTGTGTTGTAAATAAGAGATAGGTGGTGGCTTATATTCTTCCCCCTCTATTGAGCAAGGGCTGTTCAATTTTAATATAGATGGCCTCTTTGACCCTCTTTCAAACCAATGCCCTTCTTTGCCCAGCATGTGAACTTTGCTATTTCCAGAAGAGTGGCTTTGTCTAAGAGTGACTTTGTCTTTCGGTTGCAGATGGGCTGCTGAATGTTGTCTTGATCAGTTTGTTTTCCTATGTTTTGCCATGTGTTTGTGTGAAGTGGTTGTTTTGTTTCTCCAATGTACAGATTTGTGACGAGCCCTACCCCTTGGGAGCACTTGTTTTACAGCGCCGGATGTCTCCTTTCATCTAGCACTGGCTGCTATCCTGCTGATCATGGTGGCATCTTCCAAGGGGCTGGCTGCGTGGGGGAAGGATCCGGAGGCTGATGATGATGACATGGTGCATTGCGATGCCCCGGATGGGCACTACAATGGCGGCTGTTAATGGCCTTGTTGGGACTTAAGGGTGGGGGGGGGGGGGGCGAACAGGATGATTGTCTCTGAGGCTGCAATGACGATGCCTCTAGGGCTGTAATTGCTGTTAATTGCTCAGGGCTCGTCATAGGAGAGGAAGGGGCTTCTGAGATAATGAAGCTCAGTACTAGCAAAAGTCTGAGTGGAGTTGAAGTAATGCTAGCCAAGCTTGCATTAGCAACCTCCTTAGGTATTTACAGGGAGGAGATGGGGGTTAATGACGCAATAATAGCATGGGTGTGTATAAAGGGGGAGAGGAATTGTTACTCTGTAAGGCTGTTTTTGTGAGAGCATTGTTTCTACATGCCCCATTTCAAACCAGTTGCCTGACCGTAGCCACCATTGACAATAAACCTTCATCACTACATCTGGTGTGAAGAGTTACTTGTAAGTAACTATGGTTCTGGTCCTAAGGGCTTTGAGAATTTGCACATGTCTTACTACACTGTACTACACATATGACATTGGTCAGTTTGTTTTTGAATGCTTTATCCTTGGGGTGGACAAGCTACTGTCTTAATATATCATGGGGTTTAAAATGTGCACATATATTATGTTGGTTGAAAATCCTTCTGAGCTTTTCAGATATTCCTGCAACATATGGAATGACACCATTGCTCTATTTGTTGTTCTCTTTGTCTACTATGGAGAAGTTACTGCTGGATCTTTTTTTGTATTTGATGAAGCCCAGATAGGGTAGCTTTTTGATGTGTTTTTGTTCTTTTTGTTTTGCTGGTAGGTAAACTGTCTGGCTTTCCTGTGCAGTACACATTAAGAAAGGCATCGAAGTGTATAGAAAACCTGCACACATTTACATATAATAGAGCAGAAACTAGGAGTGATTTGAGTGCTAATGGCCAGATGACTACAAAGAATATAAATCCTTCCACTTGCCCCTTCTTTAAGAAAAAAACAAAGAAAGTACAGCTGCCTTTAGGAAAAGCACCTGTCTAAAATCTGAACAATAACATCTGAAAATGTTATTAAATGGATTTTTTTTGCTGAAACATTTGCACCTTTTCTGAACAGGGCTTCTCAAATACTTGAAGAATACCCTCAACAATATTATAAAGGGTATGTAATTATTGGAACTATTTTTTTAACAAAAATGCACATATTTCTGTGACATCAGTTTTGCCATGCTAATACATTTGTTTTATTACTCTTCAGCTTTGTAGAACTATTCAAGACAAAATTAGGTCTGCTAGGAGAGAATGAGGATGATGACTATTTGATTGCTTTCCTTCTAAAAGTGAGTTGTTTTCTTTGATTAAATATTTATTCTGTACCTTCAGTTATCAGTAAAGCGTGACACAAAAATGTGGTCCTATTTCTTAGCTCATGGAAGATACAAGGGCAGATTTCACAATGACTTTTCGGCAACTCAGTGAGATTTCGGAAGACAAACTCAAAGATCTCAACATTCCTAAGGTATTGATACATCATTGTTAAGAAAAAAAATGAGTTTTCTTCTTTTAAAACAATGGTTTGTGAAAGTGGATAAAGCACAATGGATCACATCCAAGTTGTTCAGCAAGTCATTGAAAGGCCTTGCCTTTGTGTACACCTTGCCTCTGTGCATGGCTTTCATCGGCTACAAAAAGGTGTTTGATTCAGTATTCCAGCAAACAATAATTCATGCATTGCTCAACCAAAATGTAGTTACTGCTTAGATCAACTTACTGCAATCAGTAGATGAAAAAATAATGGAGACAATTTGCCTTATTGGTCTTAAAGTGGAAATTAACCTAGAACAAGGTGAAGGACAAAGAAATACAATATCACCCATCCTTTTCTCAGCTTTCCTTGAAGAAGTATTTCACAAACTAGACTGGGTGAAAGATGGAATAAAAATCAATTTTTAAAAAAGGCCTTTTTAAACCACCTAAGATTTGCAGATTGATTCACAATACCCAGAACAGCTACAAAGACACATAAAAGAGTTTCACAAACCAAGAGAACAATTTGGCTTAAAAATAAACCTGAAAAAAGCTAGGTTATGTTTAATAAACTTACCAAAGAAAGAAAAACATTAAATCTGGAAAAGAACTAGGCATAGTAGACTGCTACATGTACATTGGCCAACAGATTTCAATGGAAGGTGATATAATAAATTGACGGGCAGATTAAATGTGGTTGGCTGGCATTTGGCAAACTGTGCATAATTTTCAAGAGCATCCCCCCCCATGCCTAAGAGTTTTAGATCAGTGTGTTATCTGCTCCAATGTATGCCAATAAAACATGGACACTAACCTCACAATCGATACAAAAGCTAAGACACATGGCACAAAGAGCCATGGAAAGATACATGCTCTGCATTAGAAAACAAGATAGAAAGATTTGCACATGGATTAGAGAACAAATGAAAGTATACCATATCACGAGAGTAAAAGAATTGAAATAGGCTGGTCACATAGCAAGAAGAATTGATAGCAGGTAGACCAGGGCAGTCCTAGAATAGGTCCCACCTGGTAAAAAACGCCCATGAATGAGACCTAAAACAAGATGGATCGATGACATCAACAAGTATTGCACGCCCATTTGGCAAAAGAAAGCTCAGCATGTAAGTTGGATACGTTGAAGAAGCCTTTGTTCTGCAGTAGATTGAAAATGGCTAAAATGATAGTGATGGTGATGATACACACACACACACACACACACACACACACACACACACACACACACACTATATTTGCTGATGTTGTCTATCCATCTGGTTTTAGGTCTCTTTCATGGGCACTTTTTATCAGGGTGGGATCCATTGTATGGCTGCCTTGGTCCATCTGCCATCAGTTCTTCTTGCTATGTGACCAGCCCATTCCCATTTCAATTCTTTTACTTTCTTGATGATATGGTATAACTTTTGTTGGTTCTCTAACCCATGTGCAGGGCTTTCTATCTTGTCTTGTAATGCCAAGCATGTCTCTTACCTCACAGTATTGCTGTTGTGGAGAAAGTAGTATTAAGACACATTCACCACTTTTAGTCTTTTATAGAAATAATTAAGGTGGGAGACATATATCTCCTACACATGGTGAATGTTCTTAGTACTACTTTCTCTTCCTATTTTCTCCACAACAGCAATCCTGTGAGGAGACTTGGGCCGTTTCCTGAGATCTAGGCCAACACCTTAACCATTAGACCAAATTGGCTTTCTGATAAGATTGCAGATCTTATGTCACAATCTGGCTAGATACCAAGTTTTAAAAAAATAATGTTTCAATGTTTGGTTTTTAGAAGAAAGAAGAGCAGAATTGGAACAGCTGCTTGTTCCAATGTCTATTTTTTTTAGGTTTCCATGGTAGCAAAACATTTATGACCCTGATAGGTTTCCTTTCTAGAGGAACGGAAATGCTTCCCAATAGTGCAAAAATCCTAAGGAGTTTAGAGTTTCCTTATATGAGCATAAAATATTCCAGGATCTCTAGTCTGTTCTTATTCTAGATGCCTAAGATTGTCTATAGATTTTACCTGATTGCAACAATAATTTGGCATCCTCTTGATAATTGAAAAGTCAATCTGTTGCAGTGATTTCCCTAACAAAAGTTGTTTTCTTTATCAGCTCATCACAATCGGGATGCAGCCTGGCATTATCAGTATTGTTTTATATATTCTGTTTGACAGTGGAACAAACTAAGAAAAGTGGGTTTTAATTTCAAGAAAAATTCTAACTCTGATCCAGGCTGTTCAAATTTCTGTCTTTTGTGTGCAGAGAAATATTTGGCTGGTGGTGTGTGCTTGGGACATAGTTCTTTTCAGATACGTTGGTTATCTTAATCCCAAGTCTATCAAGGGATTCTACTATTTTTTAAAAAAATATTGATTTAACAATAGTTGCTGGAACTAAATATTTACTGCAGTCCTATACAGGTCTATTCTGGAATGTTAAACTTCACTGACAAGTTTAAGAATTCCTGTGTTTTGTATTGTAAGTGTTCAATTATTTTCATACAGGAATTCTGGGCTTTGCAAGATATAGCTAAACACAAGAACTTTTCAACATGGATTGCTATGTACCTCTTGAGATTAAAAGGGTAAATATAATGGATTTAATTTACTATAATTATGATTACATATTAAAGAAGAGGAACATTAATTTCACTAGACATTTTCTATGCAACTCCTTCAGTTATTACGGTCTGAGTTCAATTACTCAACGGTTACGTAGCAACATTTAAAGTAATTTTAAATAAGTAGATCAGAAATGACGAATGTGCCAACCATTCTGTGCACAGAGCATTCCATACCCAGATTAGTCAGTATTGAGCCAACTGTGTATGGATTAAAATACAGGTTTAATTTTATGTGTTTAACCTGTGCATGGCCCTAGAGCAGTATTTCTCAACCTTGGCAATTCTAAGATATGTGGCTGGGTAATTCTGGGAATGGAAGTCATCAGGTCTTCAGGCTACACAAATGTTTTAACAAAAATTCCAGGATAGGAGATAGAAAAAGGAAGAGTAGGATTAGAGGTTAGTGGAATGGATTTGTTGATTACGTTTAAAGAAGTTGGAGGAGGTGAGAAAAAAGCAACATGCAGCAAGCTAGCTCCATCCTCAGGCTCCTTTTCTACCTTAGTAAAAATCTCTATTCATCTAAATCAGGGATCTTCAAACTTGACATCTTTAAGACTTGTGGACTTCAACTCCCAGAATTCCTCCTCTACTCATGTTAGCTCAGGAATTCTGGGAGTCAAAGTCCACAAGTCTTAAACTTGCCAAGTTTGAAGACCCTTGATCGAAATGATCTGGGGTTCAATATGACTGCGTTATGACAGTTAGAATGATCTGGCCAAACATATCTTCATTCAATGCGTGGAACAAACTACATTTTTCATTTTGCACATCTCCAAATATGTTGCAAAATACACAATAATTTACTCATGGTTGAAGATCTGTATCTGCTCTTAGGAAACATTGCCTGAAAATCAGCCTAATCTATATAAAACAAGTTTCAAACTGAATGTCTTCCATCTGTGTTTATACGCTGTATAGGAATGTAGGTGATTCAGACTCTGAAAGGAGGAAAAGAATGAGCAGTGAGTATAGTGATCATTTGTCCAGTCATTCAAAAAGTTCATTCCTCTTCTTATAGATTCAGCTTCTAAATACCTGTTTGTTCAATAAAATAGATCTGCTATGATGTATATTGTTAATATGAGAAGTATGAATTTTTTCATTCTTTTTATTTAGAACACACACAGGTTGGAAAGCAATGGAGTTTCACTGTAACAAGATTAATCTTGATCTTCCTGTATTTGCAGTTTTCAATGCTGAATTTTGTGATTCCAAATTCAACAACAAATCAGACACAGTTGTCTATTACACAAATGCTAGAAACTTTCCAAGGTCTAGTTGGCTGTTTGTCCTTCCATTTCTTTCCCTGAAAAAGGGCTATTGACCCATGGCACAATGTGGAACAAATGTGCCCTATTCCCAAATGGTAGTCTTCCCAGGTTTGTGCTTGATATTCAAGTTGCCACACTTTTAATGACAGAACATAGTCCCAGCTGTTCAGCCCCATGTTATCAGAGGAAAGTCAAGAAGACCAGCCATACCAAACCTTCTGTAATTTGCCAGATGTTTATAAAAGCCAATCAAGCCAAGCTGCATTTCCTGCCTGTTCTTGTTCTCGTTGACTGAACTCTCAGAGGCAGTTATTCCAGCTCAGTAACAACTGCAGAAGCAGCAGTTGTGACTGACCATTAGCCTCTCCAATGAAGAAGCAGAGTGCAAGAAGAATGTGCCCAAAAGGGCATGCTTTGTAAGCATGGTTGCAGAAACTGGTTACTAGAGGATGCCAATCATCTTGAAAACTCCATGCTTGTCAGTGGACTATAGATTTGAAAAAAGTTGGAAATGTCTCTAGAGGCAAAGAAGGCCTCCTGTGTGGCAGAGGTCAGAATTGAAGTGTGGTATCTTTTCTGCCTGAGCCATTATTGTTCAAGTAAGGAGAAATCATGTCATGGACAAAAGCAGCAAGATTTCAAATAAAACATGGCCACAACTCAATGGAAGGATGGTTAAAAGCTGCTTCTGGAAGCAAGTGCAACATAATGAGGATGAAAAATGACATGTTTTTCAAGATACCAGGACTTAAATCTTTTTGTAAGAATTTTCACTGATCCCCCAGTTCAGCTGAAATGGCTGGAATTGACAGAGATTTAGGTTCACCATAAGACATGTGAGAGAGCCTACATGTGTGTCCATGAAGGCTATAAAAAGAGGTGATTTTCTAACTTTTTGGGATTAATATTTTTATATCTTGCCTTTCCTCTCAGAGGTTCAAGTATCATGAGTAGCATTGACTGGATCATCTTCAAACTACAGTAATTTTTATTTTCCAAAAATCTGAAACAAACGATGCAGCATTTGGTCAAAGAAAGATTTGGGAATCTGTAATAACTTGAGAGAACATTTCTCAAAGGTTATAGGTCAGGGCTGTCAAATTCGTGGCCCATGGACTGGATGCATCACGCACTGGTCACACCCATGCTTAGTTTAGCAAAGGGGAAAAAAATCCAAATATGTCACGTGACGCCACCATGATGGCACAGGTTTGATACCTATGGTATAGGCCAACTCCCAAAGAAACTGAAAAATAATAAATAGTGGGCTACCGGCGTATAATTTTTTCACAGACCAATTACCAATTTACCAATCAATTTATCCATTTGATTCAAAAATATATTCTAGTCTCTCTGAGCATAAAATATGTATGAATCCTGTATTTTTAACACACTGCATTGCTTTCAAATTACATTGAGATTAAATCACATTTATATCTCGTGAACAGTTTTTATGCAAAATTCTGGTATCTGTTCTGAGGCTCAATTTCTGAAGAAGTACAGAAAGGAAGATAAGCAGACTTTCAGTCTAGAAAAACAACTTAAAAACTACTGGTGTTTTGCAAGCTGTGCATTTTAAGAATTGTTTTAGACAAGTTCATTTAAGACAGAGACATTCTTCCCTTCCCTTCCCTTCCCTTCCCAACCCTTTCCTTTCTCTTCTCTTCCTTTCCCTTCCCCCTTTTTTAATAGAATGAGAGGGTTTTCTAAAATGAAACCTAGGACAAAAATTAGCTAGAAAAATAAGGATGTGCATCTCATTAAAAATAAAGCTTAAATGTTTATTAACTTTTTACATTGAATGGAATGGTTTTAGTTTGTAAAGTTGAATGATTCTATTGTTTTTTTCTATTTGACGCAGAGATTAAAATGCAGTGAATAAGTGTAAACTAAGTGTTATTGTTAACTCTTAACTGTAAAGAAATAGTTTTATTAATTAAGGGGAGGGGGTTCATAAATTAATGTTATCAGTGAAAAGGGTGATATAAATTTAATAAATATAGCATTATCATTTCAGGAATCACAATTTATTGTTTTCTATTGTTGCCTAATATAACGGTGTTGTACAATTATAATATGCCCTAAGCAGATTTTGGGGGAAGTAACAATAAAAAAGGCTGCCACCTTTAGTAGTTTCCAGTTTAGAAAAAAATGGGGTATTTGGCGACATCTTGAATTGTTCTAGTACAGGTTCAGCATAAAATGTACTATGGTAAACAAGGGCTATTCAGCTTTATCTTTTTGTTTCCATTCAGTTTCAGATCTTTGAAATCTGTATTTTTATTCTAGCAGTGGAAAGGAAGTAGATTTTAGTGTAGCAAATATATAGTTAAACACTTATGTTTTGTATCTGCAATTCATTTTCTTTTTGGTTGCAGGTGTTAATCCAAGATACGTACTTAGAAATTGGATGGCAGAATCAGCTGTCCAAAAGGCTGAAATAAATGATTTTTCAGAGGTATGTTTACAAAGTTGCCTTGATATAGTCCTTATACACAAGAGACTCTGTTTCCTCTTGAACAGATCAAAGGCATCGTTTAAGCATTTTCAAATCTGCAGCACTTGTTTTTCCCTTTTGTTTTTCAGGTCCGCTTCTTGCAACGAGTTTTGCAACATCCATTTCTGGTACAGACTCTGGCTGAGAGAGCTGGTTATGCACAGCACCCCCCTGCTTGGGCTGAAGATGTTAAAGTCAGTTGTTCATCTTGATGACAATAATTTATGATTAAATTAAATTGTGATATTTCCCCATCATATTGTATTATTGTTGAATTACTTTTTTTCTTTTCTAGATTTCTGTAATACGCTAGGCTAGATTAACATGGAGTTTGTAGATTTCATTTGGTTGAATTTTTTTGTTTTTGGCAAACTTCTCCCTCCTATGGGAAGCTAAATTAAATTATGCCTTTTCAAAAAGCACAGGACAAAATAAAGTCTCTTTGTGCTTCTCTCTTTCCCCCAATGTCCACTCCAGAATCTGTATAGATGTGACCAAACAGTCTCCAGGCGTTTTATAGTTACAAAATCCTAAATATCAAACCAACGCTGGTCATGTTCCAACAAGACAAAGAGGTGGATGGCCAGGTAGCACATAATCATAGTGGGCACAATTACTACCTCTGTTCTTCCATTTCCATTGTCCAGTTTAGTCTTCCTATAACTTTGGCTGTTTCTAATACTCCTTGAATTACACTATACTATACTTCTGGGTCAGAAGCACCAAAACATTCCTATGGTGAAAGGATGAACTGGTGACATCACCTTTGCCTGAGGAATGCTCATTTGGGGTTTCCTTTCATGTCCTTGTTAAGTTTCCTACTAAAGTGGTACCCTTCTATGTGTTGTGGCCTACCAGCTGCCAGCAGAATAGGATGATGAGAAGGTTGGGAGGAACTTAGGCCACTTCTGGAGTCTGGGGAAGGCTCTGATGAATGTTGTGTTAGCCGCAGAGATAGAACCAGAGTTGTCCGACATTTCCCAGCCACCAGGAAAGAGAGACAGCCACCGGAGAGGCAGTTGCCTTTGGAGACTGAGATAAGTGGGAGGAAGAACAGCTGGAGCCTGTGCAAGATGTGCGTATGTACAGAGCTGCTAGGAGTGGGGAACAACGGAGAAGGGGTTGACTTGGGAAGCAAAGCACACATGGATGCTGAACGGCCCCTCCTGCACTGGGGAATAAATAGAAGGAGAGTGTATCATAGGGGACAACAGTTCATCTTTCTAAAGATTTTGCTCATTGTGTTTCATGCCAGAGACTGCCAGAACTTACAGTTTTTCAGCTGGGAGCTCACGGCCTTGCAATTATCCGCAAGGAACTGGTAAGATAGGTTGCTGCCGTTAATTCTTCGAAGGACTATTGCCTGGACTTTTTGGTGGGTGAATGCAAATTAATTAATTCACTTAATTCACAAGAGATAAAGCGGGTCTTTTTGTGACAAGGAGTCTGTTGCTTCTGGCAAGGCTGGGTCAGAACACTATCTACTCACGATCACCTGCTTTAGCATTGTGGGTTGAGCAGGACTGGACCAAATGATGGGAACATATCCCGCTGCCACACAGCAACTGGGTCTCGAATGCCTCATGAGCCACTGCGCTGCACTCCTTGATATACTATATAGTTTATGTAATTATATATTTGTATACTTATATTTATGTTGTACTACCTATACTTTAAGCTGTCTAGAATCAAAGAGATGGGTGGTATATATTGAGCCTAACATTTCTGTTGCTAAGTGAGACATTTGTTAAATGAATTTGCTCCTTTTATGATCTTTCTTGCCACAGATTTTAAGTGAAACACTGCAGTTAAATTAGTAACAGTTGTTAAGTGAACCCAGCTTCCCTAATGATTTTGTTTGACTGGTTGCAAACCTGGGACACTGCAAGCGTCATAAATATGGGTCAGCTGCCAGGCATCTGAATTCTGATCATGTGACTATGGAGATGCTGCTATGTTCATAAATAACTTTTCCTAGGACTGTTGTAACTTTGATCATTAAGTTAACTATTGTAAGTCGAGGACTACCTGTAACTAAAACTACTATGACCAGTAGCTCAAAGGATTCCAGCACTTTCCTTCCTATTTGCCTCTTTTAGTCATTGACGGAGATGATTCCTGCAGAGTATGACAACACTACACCATTAATGCAACTTGTAAAATTCACATTATTTGTGTGTGGTGTACATCATGTATTTGATCCTCCTGCTTGCCTGGTAAATCAAAGTCCATTGAGTCTTTGTTGATTTAATTTTGTACCAGTCACCAATGGTTCACAGGCCAACTTGTAATTAGAGCTCAAATGTTGCAGCTAGGAGAATCCGCATTTTGGAGTTTACTAAACTTGTAGATGTTATTGAAAAATGAAAATCCAAAATTCATCGGGGACATATTTGTATTGTAAACAGAATCTCTTATTGGCCAGCAAGTTCATTGGAAGGTTATTCTGTTATTCTAAAGAATATACAGTATAAAGTCCCTGGATTTTGTTTTGGGGTCCCAGGTTCAGTTTTTATTGTGAATTATGAAAGGGCTGAATCCTGGAATACCGGGGAACTAACTACCAGAGGATTGGAAAAGAGCTGATGTGGTTCCCATCTTCGAAAAAGGGAAAAAAAAAACAGACCCAGGAAACTACAGACCAATCAGCCTTTATGGGTCTAAGTCCACATGGAGGGAAGTAAGAAGTAGAGTGCCACAAAGTTCTGTCTTAGGCCCAGTACTCTTTAATATCATTAACGACTTAGATGAGGGAATAGAAGGGGAACTTACCAAATTTGCAGATGATACTAAGCTGGCAGGGAATAGCTAACACCCTAGAAGATAGGCTCAAGATCCAGGTGGATCTTGACAGACTAGAACACTGGGCCATATTTAACAAAATGAAATTCAATGTACAGAAAAGTAAAGCCCTACACTTAGACAAGAAAAACCAAAAACACACATATAGATTGGGTGAAACTTAATAGCAGTAACTGTGAGAGTGATCTTGGAGTCTTAGTGGATAACCGGCTAAATATGACCCAGCAGTGTACAGCAGCAGCTAAAAAAACTAATGCAATCCTAAATTGCATTAACAGAGGGATATAATCGAAATCAAGTGAGGTACTAATACCACTCTATAAAGCCTTAGTAAGACCACACCTAGAGTACTGCATCCAGTTTTGGTCACATTATAAAAAATATGTTGAGACTCTAGAAAAAGGGCAGAGAAGAGCAACCAGGATGATTAGGAGACTGGAGACTAAAACATATGAAGAACGGTTGTAGGAACTGGGCTTGGCTAGTCTAGTAAAGAGAAGGACCAGGGGAGACATGATAGAGGTCTTCCAATATTTCAGGGGCTGCCACAGGGAGGAAGGGGTCAAGCTATTTTCTAAAGCATCTGTAGGCCAGACAAGGAATAATGGATGGAAACTGAACAAGGAGAGATTCAACCTGGAAATAAGGAGAAACTTTCTGACAGTGAGAACAATCAACCAATGGAACAGCTTGCCCTTGGAAGTTGTGGGAGCGCCATCAGTTGAGACTTTCAAGAAGAGATTGGACTGCCACTTGTCAGAAATGGTGTAGGGTCTCCTGCTTAGGCTTGGATTAGATGACCTACAAGGTCTCCTCCAACTCTTATTTTAAATATAAAATTCTCCAAAATGCAAAGGAATGAGGAGAATTGGGATTGCCCGATTTTAAATTGTATTTTGTGGTCCGCTATTTGATTTGGATGAAAGAATGGTTGTTGCTAAGAAATAAAAGAAAGTTATAATTGGAAGAACACAAACTGAGATTTGGGTGGCATTTTTTATGCACAATAAAATTAAAACAAATGTAGATTTCAAAAATCAGTTAAGTTAGGAATGCCATATTAAGAATATAAAACAAATATAAACTCAGACTCTGCCTGAAAATACTTTACTGGATTAAGCCAACAGTGGCTTAAGTGTTTTGTAGTGAAGAAACGATGTAAAAACAATGATTAACACATCAAGACTTACAAGTATAGGAAACTAGATAACTTAAAATGAAATCAGAAGAACAATGGACTGCTGAGGGATTCATTTTTCAAAAGGAATGTAATTGAACTGGCAGAAAAAAAATAGCTTGCATTTCTTCTTGTCTCTTCATGCAGAGCAGAGATACTGGAGGAGATATCAAGAGAGTACATGATATAAGTGATAATTATAAAACGTGTATTGAACTGTTTGAGACTCATGATTTAATTGGCTTAAATGCCGGAATCCTGACAATAAGCTGTTTGTATAGCATGCATAGGATTCCCTGGTCTGTCATCACAATGAGACTGAATAAAACTTTTTTTTACAATAGAAAAGCAAAGAGCATGTTCTATTGAAACTCTTCCTCTTCAATCTCTACTCTGCGAGGGAAGGGGTACAGGTTATATACTGTCTATAATGGTGATCAAGTAACTGAAGGATGCTGCAAAGGTCATAAATAGTTGTACATTTGCTGTAAATTTTAATTTTTTTAGCACCATCATAACTTTGACTTAATGTAAATTGCTGTGCCTGTAAAAATTGTTGTTATAGAAGCCATAGCATAAAATAAACCATGGCTTAATATAGGATATGAATCCAGCCATTAATTTCTAAAGTGTATGCTTTTCATTAATTTAGACAATGGGTTGAAGAAATAAGTTTTATTCATGAAGATTGCAGTAAATAAAGGAGAATAAAAATGAAATATACATGATAAAATATAAGTAAGAAGAAATAAATTACTTTCTTTTGAAATAAACATTTTTAGATATCACCTAGTACAACCACTACATTTGTAGTTGAGAATGGAAAAATTAAAGCTGTCTCCAAAAGAATTATCCTGTGTTAAACCAAATAAATAACCACAGAGATTGCTTGCAGATATTACCACTGAAAACAAAATTCACTGTCTTTGAAAGAAACTGAGGATACAGCTATAATAAATTGCAAAACGTTCATAATAAAATTGTATTTTTCCAAAACCAACTATGCAAAACAAAAAAGTAGAAGGGACAGATAGGGGGCAGATTTTGACCACATAATGAAAGAGGGAATTTACAAAGCGTGAATTTGTTATTCAATGTTATATCCCTTATTTCTGCAAAAGTGTTTTAGCCTATATTTAGATGAGCCAAACTGCCAAGGTCTTATCCAGGCTATTGTTACATGCAAGTGGTGTGTGGGGAACTCTGAAAAGAAAAGCTTTTTGTTAAACTAATCAGCTTTTAAATTAATCCTGATTTAAAAAAAATTCTGGATCAAATCAAACAATTTTTCTGGAACTTGTTTTTCTTCAGGATGTCTGCTATGCTTGATTGTATTTTTCAGCCTTCAAGCAAAGAGCACGGGAATTGACCCAATAATTCTTGGGTCTGTGTCTACCATAATTTTTTTTAGCATATACTCCTTTAGATCGCCTGATGTTTGAAACTACTTAGTTCATGATGACTCACTCCTTTTCTTTTGCAATGCTCTCATTAGATCAGACATGAAATCTCCTTGTTCAGAAGCATGTCCCCTTGAAATTGATCCACTTTGTTTTGGTCTTACGACTTGACAAGCGCCTTCTTCTTGTCTTCTAGGAGGTGGTGGTGGTTTCTTCTTGGTTGCAGGAGGAAGACCAGGGGCAGAGAATGAGGGTGGTGGTGGTGGTAGTTCTGCAGAGCCAATGCCAATAGGAAGAAAAGGAGGCGGGGGAGGAGTGAAATCAGGAGGAGATTCACAGTATTCAGGTAGCGGTGGAGATGGTGGTGGCGGCGGTGGCGGCGGCAGATCTTCCAAATTGGGAGGAAGTGATATAAATTCAGGGGGTGGTGGAAATTCTTCATAATTTGGTAAGAAAGTTGGATTTTCTCTCTCAGTAATGCTGGGTAAATCCAGTGTCGCAGTAATAGCAGAAGATCTTCTTTGAGGAGGGGGAGGAGGCTGAAAACCACTACGTTTGCGGATCTGTTTCACCTGTTGTACAGGTAGGGATGATGTTTGACCAGCATTGAAAGTATCATCTGGCTTTTTAACCTTAAGAATTATTTAAAAATGATTAGCATATGAATAAGAAATTATGACTTCCGGAATATCATGGAAGAGTATTCAATCAAGAATTCCCAATTGGTACATTGTCTATTATTCAAGAATCAATCATTTGCAACATTCATTCAACAACTTTAACGTGTGGACTTCAACTTCCAAATTCTCTAGTCAGTATGCTGGCTGGGGAATTCAGGGAGTTGAAGTCCACACATCTTATAACTTTTGGGGTTGAAAAACAACTATTTAGATCAGGGGTGTCAAACACAAGGCCTGTGGGCCGAATTTGACCCACTCTGGAAAATATAAGGGGCTGGCCCGCATTGCTTTGGCCTGGTCTACCAATGTGGAAACATTGCGCCAGCATGGCTTTGGCCCAGTATACTCAGTGTGAAGAGGAAACATCACAACAGCGTGAGTTCAGCCTGTTCTACCCAGTGCAAAGAGGAAACATGCCAGCAGTTTGGGAAGTGGTGGCAAGCTGGCCATGCCCACCCAGTCAGCCTCACCCACCCAGCCCCCCTGAGGTCAATCATAGCCCTGATGTGGGCCTCAGTGAAACTTGAGTTTGATACCCCTGATTAAGATGCTCCCTGATTTTACTAGGATTAATGCTGATAAAAATAAACGTCTATCAAATATTTTTACATTCACCAGGGCAAATGTTTATGTAATTCAACTTACCTTTTAATTTTTCATACATAAATCAATACGGAACTGAAATCTAGTTTGCTTTAAAAATTGTTTGAATTTTACAATTGCTAAATGCACACATATACAACACACGCACGCATGCACACACACACATACACACAGAGGTAGAGAATTATATAAAATGCACACCTAATGAAAATAATGTGCAAACATGTATCATTTTAAGAGGAATTGTTACAAATGTTAGTAGAAGTATATATATATATATATAATCATTTTGTTTTCTGAGGTTTCTGAGGAAACCCCAACCAAAATCCAAGACAGAGAACAAGAAAACGGCAAAGCCCTCCTCCCATATATAAAAGGCACTACAGACAAAATCAGCAAGATCCTCCAAAAACACAACATTAAAACAGCATTCTGCACAAACAGAAAAATATCCACCATCCTAAGAAACCCCAAAGACAAAATCGAATTAGAAAACCAAGGAGTATACGAAATCCCCTGCACTGCCTGCCCTACCACATACATTGGACAAACTAACAGAAGAATAAGTGCACGCATTGAAGAACATAAGAACTCAATCAAAAAAGAAGAAACGACCTCTTCCCTGGTCCAACACCTCAAAGCCACAGGACATGAAATTGACTTTAAAAATACCAGGACTATCGCCAAAACCGAACACTTCAACAGCAGAATAATCAGAGAAGCCATAGAGATAGAAAAATGCCCACATAGCATGAACAAACGAGACGACACCTCCCGCCTTCCAGCCATTTGGAAACCCGCCCTCATGAACAGACGAGTACCTAACATGAAGAATGACACCAGACCCACACCCATGAGAGCCACACAAGATGCCACCACCACACTTCCATGTAGAAAACAGACTCACACCCACTCAGAAGATGAGACACGACCATGGACCAGAAGCTGCACTGCAGCTGCATCACTACCCACTTCAAACCCCTCCGAGCCATACATGAAGCAAACCGACACCCACTATGAAGATGCAGCACGACCACGAACTCGAAGCCAAACAGCAAGATCACAGCTCACCAACTCAAATCCCCCAGCAACTAAGACTAACCTGAGCACAACCAAGCCCCCACCTGAACAGAACACGCCTCCAACCAATCAGAACACGGCCAACCCCCCAACCAATCAGAACACAGCCAAACCCCCTACCAATGAGAACACACCCCCACCCAATCAGAACACAGCCAAGCCCCCACCCAATCCCACCCCCACTAGCAGTTAAAAGGAAGAAGCAGCTGCAATCTCACATCACTCTGAGAAGCAAGAGCCGAAGACAGAAGCCTGAAGATGATGAATGAGACTTCATTGAAACGTTGCCTAGATACTTCGAATCTTACGCGGGAGAAAACCCGAACAACCAAAGATCCACATAATCATTTTGGTATAAACTTTTTTTTAAAAAAAATCAAACTAGTTATAACACCAAAAATTATATTTAAAAAAAAGTAGAAGCATAAGGAGAGACTTAGCCATACCTAACATTCACCTGCATTCAGTATTTCTAATACCTACAGTATTCTGATTACTAATTTTTTATGCTACCCCTCCCCGTTGTGAAATGTTAATTCACAAAGAGACTTAATGGAAGAGATTGGAAGCAAAATTTAACATTCTTTATAATGAATTAATGTGGAGTAGAAGGGACAAGAAGGGTCTGAAATTAAACTCAAGCAAGGTACAGGTAATCCTTGATTTACAACCAGTTGCTTGATGACTATTTGAAGTTAAGATGAACTCTCCAGGAGCCACTTACAACATTTCCAAAGTTTCAAAACCCACACTCATCCCTGTGGACATTTGATTGTCTTTGAGTGTTTGGCAAATGGCCGTTTGCAACATTCCAATCACGTGACCACAATTTGCAATGTTTTTTACCAATTCCCAGCATTACCGTATTTTTCGAAGTGTAAGACGCGGAGAAGTATAAGATGCACCAAGCTTTTGGTGTGGAAAACAAGAAAAATAAATTGCTTCCTCCGAGCAATTTGCCTTCTTGCAGCAAACAGCCTGTTTTTCAGTCTCAGCACAGCCTGATTACCACAAGCAGCTGATTGTTGGTTGGATCAGCCTCCCAACATCAGCTGTTTCAGGCTGCAGGGATCGCCATAGCCTATTGCTGCCTCTGCGCGCCCCATTTTTGGCCTCTGCATCCCATTTTCAGCCTCCGCACACCCCATTTTTGGCCTTTGAGTGTCCCATTTTCCACCTGTTCCAGGCAGTAGGAATTGGAATGGGCAGAAAATGGGGCGTGAGGAGGCAGAAAATGGAACGCAGAGGCTGAAAATGGGGCACGCAGGCGCGGCAATAGGCAAAGACACAATACCTGCAGCCTGAAACAGCTGACTGTCAGGAGGCCGATCCAATCGGCAATCAATTTGTGCTAATCAGGCTATGCTGAAGCTGACTAGGCTGTTTGCTGCAAAGAGGCAAATTGCTAGGAGGCAGAGGCTGAAGGGTGGGGGCCAGCGGGGCTTCGACATTTTATAAGACACACAGACATTTAAACCCACTTTTGGGGGTGGAAAAAGTGCATCTTATATTCTGAAAAATACGGTAATTTCCAACTTCTGGCAAGGAATAGGACTTATTCAGAAAAAAAAAAAAGACCACTAGGTTTGGGAGACCCTTTCTTTTCAAAAGGTAGGAAGGACTGCAGTTTTTGCATACTTACATTAATTTCTATCTTTGGCATATCAGCAGATTTTCCAGTTTCTGCAGTGATCGCTGTATTAAGAGTTATGTTTTGGGGAATTTGTCCATTGGCATGAAAGCTACCTATAATAATACAACAAAGAAGAAAGAGGAGATTTGTTTGCTTTTGCTACTAAAAATAATTAAACAAAAATAATCTTATTCAGTATCATCAGTAAGAATTGAGATTGGCAAGGCAGGAACCAGCAAACTCAGGGAGAATCATGCTGCAAAAACATATTTCAAATACTTTTCTAGGCCATCTGTTAACTTGGAAGAAACAGAGAAAAGGGCCTAATGTCAGCATTGCTGTACAGATTTAATTTTTTTGCATTATTTTGGACAATCTACCCTTGTTCAGACTTCTACTGAACCCTGCTGTGAAGACAATATGTCTTCCATCTCATTAAAATAGCGTATAAATTGGTGGCGGTGGATGAATATTGTTTATAATTTCCAAAAGGAGCATGGACATCAAGTCGCCCTCATGATAAACTGGATCAAAGGAAAACATGTACTTCTGTGTACAATCTTTAAGAGCTTAGTAGGTTAGGAAAATGATCTGTTATTCACCCGTTTAAGTCAAGGATATTTAAAAACCGAATCTTTGAGAAAAGCAGTTCTTGCACTGGAATATCAATTCAGTGTAATAAATGAGAGAACAAAATATAGTTGCTTTAAAATAAATATGATGCAGAAAGTTTTGACTGATGGGGAAGGCGGTTTCAAACTCTTTGCTATGCTGCTTTCGGCTGTTCCTGAAACCAATTTAGCAATCCTACGCTGGATTGTAGTGTTCTGGTAATAAGCCTGAGCTAATGAAATACAGAAAACTGACAGCAAAAAGAGACCCAGTGGGTCCATCAAGTCCAACATGGCTATCGTAGTACTTGATCGCTTGATTCTCTTCCCATACAGGGAACTGTAGCACTTGCCAACACAACGTTTAGGGCAGGTGTCTGCAACCTGTGGCTCTGGAGCCATATGCGGCTCTTTCAGCCCTGTACTGCGTCTCCCTGTCTGATCCCACCACTGGCTTGCCTCTCTCCTCCTCTCCTTGTCACTCCTCATCTGGCCTGGGAAGGTAAGGTTGATGGCAGGGGACGGAGACTCGCTCCATATTCCAGAGCAAGAGTTGACTGGGTGGGAATGAGTGACCTCAAGTTGGCCACACCAGTTATTAAATTATTGGCTTACAGTGTTTTCTTTTCTGTGGGAAATGGGTCAAAAATGGCTCTTTGGGTGTTTTAGGTTGCAGACCCCTGGTTTAGGGATTATTCCTTCCTTACCGACTGGTAACATGTATTTTTTTTCTCTTTTCCGTCCTAATTGTAGCATCACTGCTCTGGGTGCTACAGTGATAAAAAAGAACAGGTGTTCCTTCAGTCCTAAATTTTGCTGCAAGTTGATAGAAACTCTCTGTAGCAACGAAGAATCAGATTAATAGAACAAGAGAAGTAGAACTCCTTCAAATTCGATAGCTATGTTCTGTGCCTATACGTTTTTAAAAATAGAAAAGAAACCAGTGCAAGAGATAAGGCACGAGGTAGGAAATAAGGCAGAGCATGCTTCCTCTGGACTGGGAAAAAACTCATGATGGTCACTGAGGAAGGTAAAAGTACTACAGGTGTGTTCTGGCATAAGAGGTAAGGAAAGTGGCAGGAGAATCAGTCTTTATAGTCACTGTTAGATCAACTGGAAGAAAAAAACCCAACAAGCTGACCAGTAGAGGATACAACAGCCCAGCACGAAGTAGCTTTGGAGGCAGTGACCTGTCATTGGAAGGGAATAGGATACGAAGCATTATAGCTCATCAAAGCTGAGGATGTCCTAGACTGGAATAAAGCCTGGCAAATAAACTGCTCAAAAGGGCTTAAAAATGGCTCAGGACAGAAGACAGCAGAGCTTCCAAACATGACTGCAGGGATGCGTTAGAAAAGAGTAGGATAGAATGTGGAAGATGACATCAGCCAATGCGGTTCTCAGAAAATGGTGAGTGGCTGCCCTGGCAATGGATCAAGAAGACATTGCAAATCTGGCCTGAATTGTGGTTGGGACTGAACAAGAAGAACACCTTAGCAAGCTAATTGAGACCATGTTATGTGGACAAATAAAAGATTTTCTCCATTAGCAATAGCACTTAAGACTTATATATCACTTCACCACGCTTTACAGCTCTCTCTAAGTGGTTTACAGAGTCAGCCTATTGCCCCCAACAATCTGGATCCTCATTTTACCATCTCGGAAGGATGGAAGGCTGAGTCAAACTTGAGCCTGGTGGGGTTCAAACTGCCGAACTTAACTCTAAATGGAGAGGTCATTTACAAAGAAACCAAGAAACAAATTAGTGGGCCTATCAGGATATTTTAGGATGGAGAAGCAACCATTTCTGTATGTGCAAAATGTAAAGTTTTACATTAAACCATATTTATAAGTCTTGCAACAATCCCAGTGCTATCCAGTAATAGTTGCCTAATGAACTTTTTTCTTTTACCATTTTGCCCTCCTTTAAACTTTGGCTGCAGAACTGTTATTCACATCAGTGCTCATTAATAAAATGAACCTCTGTTCACTTGGGATAAATTTTTCAGGTTCACATCAAGTAGATACCATTGACTTTATTGTCCTGCTGCAAAATGTAATATGTTCAACTATTAAAAATTCACATCCTACAATGATCAAATAGGTTAAGACAATGATAGCGATTGGCAAGATGGTAGGGAAAAAAACCAGAGCTTATAATCCTCACAATAATTTCTTTAAAAAAAATAAATAATTTGGATACCTTTTGAAGATGATCCCCCAGAAGCTATGGATTTAGTAATTCCTGGCTTTGCCAGACGAGAAGTTAACCTTTGTACTGCACCAATGTAGTTATCATACAAGGCCTTTCCATACTGAAAAATAAGTACCACAAATATCTGATAGATTTTCCATCATAAAAAAATGAACATGCATTTCTCTGCTTGTTCCATCAAATCTTAACAGAAATTCTTCTTTGGTGGTTCACTTGAAATCTCTTCCATAAAAACTATGAACTAGTAAATAGGACTGTAACCCAACAGGGTGAAAGCCTATTATTTGTTTGACAAAGTAATTTATCATCCCAATACAAATTCTGTTCTATGTATTCTATGGTCATGTTTATTCACTAGAGTTTTATCCCTCAGAAAAGGATTAATGCCTTTTTATTTTTATCATTCCATTTACTTTCTCCTTTACTACTGAGAAATATCCTTTTTCTTCTTACCTTTGCAATTCTGATACCAGTTACCCAAAGTTGTAGAGACTCCTTGTCATCACAGCACAGGTATTTGATGTACTGTGACTCCTTCTGTATTTGAGGATGCTATAAATGATAATAGCAATAGTAGTTTTTTAATCATTAAAAATCTGCTGAAATAACCCAGTAGACAAGCCAACTTCCCAACGAAGTTTCTTGTCTATCACTACATCTTAGCTACTTTGAACTACAAAACCACTGAAAAACCACAGAGAAGAAAACAGTATTTTTCATCAATCCTTCCAAAAGATTAATGGTACACAACTGAGAGTTACATGATTGTTAACTGGTATTTAAAGATCTGTAGTCAAACTTGGCGTTTTAAAAAATTATTCACTTTTCACCTTGTCTTCGTTTTTGTCATAGCCATTTTAGACTGCAAGTTTGCAAGCCAGGGCTATCTTTATTTTTAACTGATTACAAAGGAATTGGCATAAATGTGCTTTAAATAATGAAATGTCAAATTAAAGGAAACTAATTGGATGTGCATCTGTAAATAAATCAGACAAAGCCATATTTCAGAACATCACAGATTATAAATATTTATGCTCTATTCAAAGGAAATTTGACTTGAAACATCTTATAATATTATTTAGCTAAAAGTAATTTTAAGCACATGAGAATTCTGAAGTTAAACCTAATATGTGAACAGTTTTTAATTGTCATCTGGAAGTAATTAAAACAGGAAGACAAATTTACTATCTGCATTTTCCAAAACCAAACAATTTTTCTTCCTTTCCTGCTTATTTTTTCTCCCTCATTTTACCTTTCCATCACCTTAGGACCTCACATACTCACATTTATTCAAGACCATGAGCAGGATGTTAGGTTTCATCACTCAAACTCCCAGGATTAAGTTACATGTCAAATTAATTCTATGTGATTATTGACAAGTATCAACAATGCAAAGCAGTCTGTAAATCTTTTCTTTTATGTACACTGAGAGCATTTGCACCAAGACAAATTCCTTGTGTGTCCAATTACACTTGGCCAATAAAGAATTCTATTCTATTCTAAAACTTTTCTTCTGACACGGATGTACAAACACTAGTCCAATCTATTAACTAAATCTTGAGCTAGAATGTCTTAAAAAAAGAGCTAATAGTTTTGCAATAACATGGTAAATCCAGCAGATGGCATCAGATACTTTTCTATTTTTAAATGTTTACTTTTGCTACTTTGATCTCTGTATCACAATAAAAAATAGCTTGATTGCATCTTAAAGGCCAACGTATTCATTAGACATAAGCTTTGTGGAGTAGAATCAATTCATTATGAAATGAACTGGCAGAAATATATACAGAAATACGGAAGCAAAAGATTATACATTTTCTTATAATGTTTATCTTTTTATATTTCATTTTCTGAATAATATTAATAGCTTCATCACGCATCTTTATTTTTTAAAAAATAATAAAGATAAACTATTCTTTTTCTATCACTTAAACCCATCTCCAGAAGATGTTTTTCTCTCTCAGAAAAAGAGATGTGTTGAGGGGCAAGGCCTGACATGATTTTGTTAAATTTGTGAGTAATATTTGATTCTCACATACCGCAATTCAACAGAGCCTTAAATGCTCCAATAAATTCATTTTTGCATTTTACCTTTAATTAAAATACTTTTAATTTGTGATAGGAAGGGAGAGCTATTTCATAAATTCAAAATGGAACTGTATATAAATTATCTTAATCATAATTTGTTGGGGTGACATCGTACGCTGGACAAAATCTTGGGCAGCAAGAATACTGGGCAAATACTATCTCAAGTAATAGCTTCTTGGTTATAATTCTCAAAATAGGGAATAAACACTGGGAACTCATTTTAGTGGTTTCTTTTTTTGACTGACTGCAGCAGAAAGACCAAAAATTGAGGCTGCTTTATAATTTCATTGGTGGGAGGACAGATGTGGAAAGAAAGCAGGACATGTGATTATGTCAACTTCAATGACTTCACCACTGAGAGTAAAAGAAAAAAAAATTAAGTGCCAGGAAGTGACCCACTCCTGGCCACCTTAACAGAATAACGGAGTAACGAAGTTGGAACAGACCTTGGAGGTCTTTTAGTCCAACTTCCTGCCCAAGAAGGAGACTCTGTACCATTTCAGACAAATAGCTGTCCAATTTCTATTTTAAAATCTCCAATGATGGAGCAACCACAATTTTTGGAGGCAAGCCCCTCTACTGATTAATTATTCTCATTGTCTGGAATTTTCTCCTTCTTTCTAGGTTGCTTCTCTCCTTGATTAGCTTCCAACCATTGCTTCTTATCTTGTCTTCTGGTGCTTTGGAAAATATGTTGAATCCTCTTTCTTATAGCAGCCCCCCAATAGAGGAACACTGCTATCATGTCTCCCCTAGTCCTTCTTTTCACTGGACTAGATATACCCATTTCCTGTAACCGATTTTCATATATTTTAGCCTCCAGTCCCCTAATCATCTTTGTTGCTCTTCTCTGTACTCTTTCTAGAGTCTCAACATCTATTTTATATCGTGGAAACCAAAACTGGATGCAATATTCCAGGTGTGATCTTATCAAGGCAACTTTTGAAGGAGCTAAGAGACAGCCCGAAACAGATGCACTGTTTTTAACCATGATAGACTGTCAAGAGATGGGAGTTACAGTACGAGAATGGGTCAGCTGTATAATACAAACGCCACTATTATGCTTCCATACAATGTTAGAAGATGCTATGATCACTTTTCCTTTTCCTTTATCATACTTGCTTTAGAAAGACTAGAAAGTAGCTAAAAGTAGCTTTTAAAGATTATCAAATGGCTTTTCATGTTTTTTAAATTAATGAATTAAAAAGGCATTTAATAAAATCTGTTTGTCTGACAAGTGCTACCAGAATGATTTTTAACTGTTTTTAATAGTCTATCATATGGTTATATTTTTATTATGCTATTTTCAACGACTCAGACAAGGGAGGCACCAAAACAAATCCCAGATATCTTTTCCATTTTATTTCAGGGAAAGCCGCAAATGCTATTAGTAAACAAGCAATGTTGCTACCCACACTGTTGTTAAAGAACCGCAACCCAATTTGAGAAAGAGCAAAGTCTGAAAGAATTAGGAAAATGAACTGTATGGGCTTTGAAGAGAAGTACTAAGCAATGGAAGTGGGATAAGAGGACGCTATTGTGCCAGTTTTCTCCCAGGGTACCAATTCTTTCACCCTAGATTAATTCCACATTATGCACCATTACTCTCAGGTTACTCAAGCAAAACTTGTGCCAATAAAGCATAATTAAATTCTCCTGGCATCCAAGAGACACAACAGACTGACTAAATGAGCCAATTTACATATAGATTACCTTACTACCACCAGCTGTGAAGATTTTTTTTTTAAAAAAAAAATCAGAAGCAAGGACTTTATGTTGTTGGTTTTTCAAATTTTCTGAAGAAATACTACACAACATAGTGCCCAGAACCTGCATTTGAACTATAAGCAAATGCTATTGACAAAATTTTATCTTTTGAGTTTGAGTAGTCTTTTCTCATTTAAACCAGGATTGCAAATTCTCTGATTATTCATTAGCACCAATAAAATAATGGCGGCTGAACACATTTTTGCATATTTCAAAAAGAGTAATGGTTTTTAATTTATTTCACTAGATCTGACACTCTTAAATAGTTGGCAGGATTAAACATTTCATAAGGCTGACCCCTGTTATTTGGCTACCCACATTATGGAAAATTTAGCTTTCCTTGTTGAAAGCATTTTAGCACCTTTCTGTAACTCCCAAGATATGGAATGAAGCAAACCATAATCTTAGCAAAAGGTAAATGTAATTTCTGAAAATCAAAAGGAAAATTATTTAAATAACTCTGAACAGCAAATGAAAAATATTTCTTTTGATGCCCTTTTTAAAAGCAGGGAATAGGTAACAATTGCAGCCTCACAGGAATCATATTCGGGGATGTAACGATAAAGACCTTTTCCCATGTATTTGCGCCAATCAGTCCCTAAAAGGACAAAATACTTAAAGGATTCTCTCCTTCCAATCTTAAAACTGGGAAGTTCATGATAAGACCTCAGACAAATGGCCTGTAGATTAAACAGCCATCTAGATTAAAGATTAAAACTAAGAATTTAAAACCATGGTAGAAAATATGGCTGCTTATGAGGACAAGGGATGTTCAGGTGTTTATCAACTTCAATAACTTTAAGATATGTGGACTTCCTCTCTCAGGATTCCCCAATCACCATGACATTAAGAAATATTGTTCTAGATGATTCAGTTTCAGCAACCCTTTTTGTAAGCAAATGTTTACATACATCAGCTACATTCATATATTCCCTTCCGTAAAAATCCAATTTACATAGCTCAGGGCTTACATTTCTTACCGGCTACCTAAAGAGCATGTAACTATTATGATCAGTAACTACTAATGCTGTTCCACGCATGAATTATTTCTGACACTATCAAAGTTATTGGTTATTAAGCACATCTTAGAAAAGTAACTGCTGTTGTGTAACTAAGCATGTAGGATACAGCTCTCGGCTTATCACTGTTACCTAGAATTATTTCATAATATTTGGTTTATATATGGTGAGCAAAAGAGAAGAAGAAAATCCTTGCCCTTTTCTCCATACGTATCCAAGTTTTATATCCAGGTGTGGGATGCAAATATTTTTACTACCGATTCTTGGGTGAGGCTAGGTGGGCATGGCCATTTGACTGGGTTGGCATGGCTTTTTGGGGCAGCATCCCCCGCCTGCATTAAAAGATCCCCTCTAAATGACCATTAATTTGTGTGTGAAAGCACTCAGTGAAGATGAACCCACCAGCTCTTGAATAATTTGTTCTGCTGCCATTTTCATTCTTTTCCTAATGAACCCTGACATGGAATCTACTTTTTCACAGCTGCCACACACATGGATTAGACTTCCACTGAACTGTCCATCACAACCCCCAGAGTAGATTGTTTGCTCCACCATGCTTGAATGGTATGCCAAAATATGGTTCATTCACTCAATTTGGAAAATGTATTACTTTTTATCTGTCACTACTCTGCACACCTGACAATGTCACTACCAATAGATGATTTACGAATGAGCCAGCAGTGGTCAAAACACAAACCCATTTCTTAAAATTATAATGATCTCCTTGTCAAACCCTTATGCGGCTACCGAAAATAGTTCTCCTGAAAAATTAGACAATGCATTTTTGCAGTAAAATGCAAATTTATGTACACATTTATCTGGGAATGAGCCTTATCAGGGGTGTCTATACATATAGTCATAACAGTCAAAAGGTGGACCCAATGGTGTGATCGACACTCTGCTTTTTATTAGTGTGTGTTAAACATAAAAATGGCTGGAGTTTTGATTGCCCCTTTGTGGCTGCCATCTTTTTTTTTACTATTCTCTCCAGATATCCCTCTACCTTATTAAACTCAGCAAGGATTATTTTTGAATAGACATTATATGAATGCATGATCAACATATGAAACTCAGTACACAATATACAATACAGTAAAGAGTGAATGTTACATAATACATACCTTTAGGACAAAACAATAATCAGTAGGGGACTTATACTTCGTTTTGTATTGCACACCATGATAAACATTTACGTTGTCAAACTGTATGAAACAAGCCAAGTCTCGGGATGTCTAAAAAAATTTAAAACACAATCTTTAGTTATTTGAATAATTGTCTATGTATTCAAAAGAAGGCCACCTCTTCCACGTTGGATAACTTTCTTGATCTGAAAATTAATGGCAATGCAACTTTTGTAACACATTATAAGTTTAGGAGTAATGGGGAAGATGTGTAGCATTATTCTTCAGAGGACTTGATGGAAATGATTCACCTACCTTTTGCAAAAATAAATCCACAAAAATATTACAATTTTGTTTAAGAAAGATGCAATGAATTCTTAAGGAAGAGGAGACTTTTCAGTAATGCATGCCGAAAGCTTATTTGTACATAGGTGAAAACTTCATCTGTCATTCTGTGCCAATTTGTACTCCTGCCAAACAGAGTTTCTACTATCAGAAAATGCACATTGGCTGTTTTTAATGGGTTGCCATGGCAACAAAGTTTCCCAGTGAAGGATCTGTGGATGAAGTGCCAATCTGAATGGAAATAAAACAGTGCCCAAAGTCTTCCTGGCTCGAGTACATATACAGGTATTCCTTAACTTACGATCTCAATTGAGTCCAAAATTCCTTTCTTTTTTTTTGTTGTAAATTTTATTTGAGTTTTCACAAAAAAAATACAAATAAAACATCGTTTTTGAAAATAGTGTAATCCCGGGTTACATTTCTTCGTACAGACACAAATTCAATTTCATGCTCATTTTTATGTTCTATTCCGTATCTTATTACTGTTTTACATTTTCTGCATAGCTTCTCCCCTCTTTTAATTTTCTCAATTTTATTTTAATTATCTCACCTCAATTCAAATCATTATATTTATATTTTTTGCCTGTCCTGTTTCAATTATCTATTATCTTTTCTCATTAACCAAAGTTCCTCCTGTAGTTACTGATTGGAGTATGACTTGGAGTATGATATCTTTTAAGTTTATCCATTTAACTCTTATTTAGGCTTCAAAATATACCCTAAAGTTATAACCTTCAATATAATACATAACTTCCATTTGGATTCTGCTTGGTACATTCTTAAAATACACACTATATTCTTAAAAAAAGAAAAAATTATAAATATATGTAATTAAAACAACACATTCCATTCCAATTCAATTCTATCATTAATATTAACATTCATTAAAATCTTAACTTCTTTAACATTACTTTTCAATTAAATATCATACTTCTATGGGAACAATTATAAGCTTTCCATAATTAATTCCCCCCCTTCACTTATATTTTATAAAACATTAACTAATTAAAATGTTCCCGTCCTTTCCTAATTCAATTTTCTCTTTTATTTTATTTCACTTATTTTATTAACAAACATTTCATTAAATTACACTAACTATTTTATCCTTCATTTTAATCATACATTGTTTCCAATTTTCTAAAGTTATTTCTATTACTAATATAACAATACAATCTTATGTACCTTTACAGAATCCCTTTTTCAGTTAAAATTTCACCCATTATCTCTAAATAGGTCGTTTCTCTATATCTTGTTCCAGTTCTTTGTAACTTCTTTTTCTTTCCTTCTTTCCTTCTTCCCTCTCTTCTTCTCTCTCCCCTTTTTACCCCCTTGTCTCTCTACCTCTATTTCTCTCTTCTTTATTCCCCTTTTCTGTTGCTTTCCAGTATTATACTTATTTTTCAAATTATTTTTCTTTTCTTTGGTTGTTTTTTTAAGCCTTAAATTCTCCATTCTCTTTCCCCCCTTTCCTTTTTCTTCCCCACATAAAATAGCTTGTTCATTAAAGATGGCTTCTTCTTTGTCCCAGTCTTCTTGTTTTGCAGACATTTCTTGTTGTTTCTCATAGTTCCAAATCTCCATTTCTAAGAATTGAAAAACGAAGCCAAAAGAACCCTTCCCTTCTTGTGCATCTTCTTTATACTTTTTAAGTTCCATTTTCAATTCATCCAGAAGTAGTGCCATTGTATAAATTTTTAAACAACCACCCGATTAATTTTAGTCATTCAAATGCAATCACCAAGAATCCAAAGATCATCAAGTAATCCAAATGCAAGCTGTTTCTTTTTGCTCGTTTTTTTCACTTTCTCTTCCTGGGGTTCTACTGTTTAGTTACAAAGTTTCAGTTAAAATGTATCTTTTAGAAGTCTTGTTGAAGTTTTACTGTAGATTCTTAATTCCAGGCAGTCTCCTCCCTCTTTCCAGATCCTGCCTTTTTATTCTTTTTCTCTCTCTTCCTGCTTATGAAAAAAAATTTTTAGTGTCCAGAAATCTTTATTATCCCTTTGACATTTTGTTTTATTTTCAGCTTAACTGCCTGTTGATGTCAAAGCAGATTTTTCTGATTTCTTATTTAAGTTTCTTAGTTGTCAGTATAGGGAAAGGGAGAGAAGAAAAAAAAACCCAAACCTTTCTCTTTTCACTCTCCTTCGCTGCTTCTGACTCTTCTTTGGGAGCAATGTTATCTTTTTGTAAGTTTAAATTCCAGGGTACCTTAGTTGTTGCTATTGTAATTTAACCTGGTCAGCCAAAACTTTCACTTCTTATCTTCGTCCTGCACATTCTTTTCTGGTCGAATTCTTCTTTGAGGTGACCACCGCTGCAACTGCCTTCGGGAAAGGGAGAAATGGCCAGCTGGGGAGGAGAGATGCAGCTCTCCTCAACTCTGCTGGCAGTCTCCCCCCTCTTCACCACCTCTATGGGGTGGCTTAGCCCCGAAACCAGGCAGCTCGGGGCACTCCACTGGCGAGCCCGGACCGAAACCGCGCACGATCGCGGATTTCTGTCTGTCACCGAAGGAACTCAAACCGGAAGCAAAGTCCAAAATTTCTGTGGTTAAGTGAGAAATTTGTTAAGTGAGCTTTGCTCCCTTTTACGACCTCTCTTACCACAGCTGCTAAGTGAATCATTGCGATTGTTCCATTAGTCACAAGGTTGTTAAGTGACTCTGGCTTTTCCATTGACATTGCTTGTCAGAAGGTCACAAAAGGGGATAGTCATAATAGTCATAAATATGAGTCAGTTGCCAAGTGTCTGAATTTTGATCACATGACCATGGAGATGCTTCAATGGCCATAAGGGTGAAAACCAGTCATAAGTCACATTTTTTAATGCCATAGTAACTTTGAACGATCACTAAGTAAGTCAAGGACTACCTGTAATTTTTTTTAATACTAGAAGCTTTTCAGCACTTAGTGGCAGCTTTGGCAGCCATAATAGCACCAGATGCTTCTACACTGCCACATTCTTGAACCTGGGAAAATGAGAGAGGGGGATTTCTTGGCGTGTACATGGTTAAGACATAATAGCATTCTTTTTCTACGTCAAGGTCATGTTATTTCTGCATCTGGTTGAAGAGTGATTAAGGGAATGTCTCAAGTTGGGACAGATGGTGATTGGGGTATTTGTTGCAATGAGGGTGCAGGGGGTGGATTTGCAATATTTTACCTATTGAAGGAAACCAAGAACTTTCAGATTCGGGATTTCCCAAATGTGCCAGTTTACTACTCTAATAAAGGGAACCTTTGAGAAGATGTGTGTCTTGGAGTTTTATTTATTTATTTATTTATTTATTTATTTGTTTGTTTGTTTGTTTGTTTGTGTCTGTCAAGCGATAACAGGTATACGTATAAACATAGTTATGAATACATGAAATAGATACATATAAGAAAAATAAAAAGATAAAAAGAAACAATAGGACAGGGATGGTAGGTACGTTGGTGCGCTTATGCACGCCCCCTACAGACCTCTTAGGAAAGGGGTGAGGTCAACAGTAGACAGTCTAAGGTTAAAATTTGGGGGGTTTGGGGAAGAAACCACAGAATCAGGTAGAGTATTCCAGACGTTGACCACTCTGTTGCTGAAGTTGTATTTCCTGCAATGAAGTTTGGTACGGTTAACTTTGAGTTTGTCTCTATTGTGTGCTCTTGTATTGTTATGGTTGAAGCTGAAGTATTCGTTGACAGGTAGGACATTGCAATGTCTAATTTTATATACTGTACTTAGATCGGACCGAAGGCAGCGTAGTTCTAGGTTTTCTAGGTCTAGAATTTCAAGTCTGGTGGTATAAGGTATTCTGCAAGAGTAGAGGAGTGGAGGACTCTTCTTATGAAATATTTCTGGACTTTCTCATCTGTGTTAATATCAGATATGTAATGAGTTATTGGTTGGAGTTGAGGTTTTCTGGAATGCTGACACTTAGTTCACAAGAACAGCTGAGAAAGGGATCTTTCTTAGGCAGATACCGTTAAAAAAAAAGTGAGAATCCATCTGACTTAGCGCTTTCAAATAAAAAACTGCAGGGGTACCCACAGGCCAGAGAAAAAAACTCAAAGGGGAGAAAAAAAGAATGATTGTGAGAGCCATTTTGATGTGTTTGATCCCGGATTAAGGACATTGCTGTGGCCAACTGGGGATTTGGGGGGGGACCACTCAGGAAAAATATGCACCTGTGTTAAATAGAATCCAGAATAGTTTCTGAAAGGATCTCTAGAAAAAAGGAGGAGCTAAACAGAAGCAGCTCCTGGGTGAATTCTCTCCTTGCCCTTGCCCAAACAATGGCAGCTTTCTTATCTGCAGTTTGGCATGAAAAGCTATACCAGTTTATTTTACTTCACTTTCTTTAAAATTAAGCAAAAATAATTATATTATTTTGCAGTGGAGGACCAAATGCAGTTTAGAGATGTTAATTCTTTTCGTGACTGAATTTTTTATGAATGCAATTTATTATTATTGAAAAACAAAAATAGTAGTCTATAAAGGGAATGAGTTCAAAGGAATTCTGCCACCCATTCTCCATATTTGCCCAAACAGCATCTCTCAGGGGCACCTCCTCAACAGTTACCAGGATGCTGCATTGTCTTCCCTTTTACAAATTGCTTTAATGTTTCAAAACATTTTTTTGACATGCCTGACCTTGGTCTTTCCTTTGGGGACGTAATAAATGCCTGAAGCTCGTAGAAGAAAATATCGCCTTTTCCAGGACTTCTTTCCATCTTCTTTTAAATAAAGGGCACCTTCAACTTCTGGCACAGCAACAGATGTACCACAGAAGCTTTCCTGCAGAGGGAAAAAATGGTGAGATAGAGCAGCAAGTGAATAAGCCAAGTGTCTTACAACATGGCTTGTTCAGTTGTGCTTCCAAAAGCCTGAGTCTCCATTCATCCCATCAGCTCTGATCTTTCTTTCACCACCATCAAAAATAGGACAATGCTTGATCCCCTGTACATGTGAATAACTTCCTTGAGCTCTTGAAGAGGCAGGCGTTAACCAATGGCTGAATTTGAGATAAAAACTTCGGGCGGCATGGCTTTAAAGTAACCCTCACAAGGCTTATACTGGTTTGGGAAGCTTCCCCAAATTTCCTTCATGAATAATTGCCAAATTGTACAGGGTTGAGCTTCAGGGTTTGATGACCACCTTGCTTCTAAAGATACCAGTTGCTGGCAAAACATCAGGTAATCTGTTGTTTAGACCATGTGTCAGCAACCTTAAACACTCAAAGAGCCACAAAGGTCCTAACCAGAAGCCCCCTGTTCAATTCTGGAGCTGACCAGAAGTCTGGTTCCCCCACCATAGAGTCTTCTCCTAGGACGATGTCCTTTTTCCTCTGCTGACTGCAGGTCCGGTTTCCCAACCATAGAGTCTCCTCCTAGTGCAGCATCCTTTTTCCTCTACCTTTCCTCTACCATATCAATTGTGGAGCTGACTGGAAAACCCGCCCCTTGCCATAGAGTCTCCTCCTGGCGCACCATGCTTCCTCCCCTGCCCCAATTGGAATCTCCTCTCAAAATTGTGGCAGCGACAGGGAGCCGCAGCAGAGGGATGAAAGAGCCACATGCGGCTCCAGAGTTGCAGGTTGCCGACCCCTGGTCAGATCACTGTATTAAATCCTGAAGCCCAAAAGAGCCCAGCTATGAAAGTCTACAACAGTTTATTTGCCAAATTATTACCCATATTTTCTCAAGGAATATTTGCCAAACTTACACAGATATCAAGGACTAAATGCTGGTCCTTCCAAAATGACCTGCAAGTTAGTGCCCTCTCTATTTCGAACCAACTCTCATCAGTTCTGATAATAATTTCTAGTATGGTAGGTATAATCTGAAACAACTGGAGGGCACCATTGTTCTATAAGAAAAACAAGGCTTCTACAGCTTACACGCATCAGAGTCCAAAAGTAGCCATTCACCAGGTGGTGGAAAGTTTTCTAACACAAAGCACACACAGACCCAAGTATTAAAAACAGCACCATGCATTTTGGCAGTGCAAGCAGATGTACTTACCACCTTCCAAGCTCAAGCTTGAAAATAACTCCTTTGGGATTTTGAATACATGAACTTTTTCAGAGCAGTGTCATATTTAAAACACTGACAGACAGAGCTTTTAAACAAAGTTAGTAGAATTATTTATTTATTAAATATATAAGCCTGCAAAGTTGAACATTTTAATCTGTTAGCCTGCTTTAAATAGGAGAAAAGGTAAACCATTATTTTGGACAACCTCACAGTAATTAGCAAATGTTCCTCTTTAGTTTGGCGAAGCCAAGACAAACCTTTAGGAAGGCCTGGGTCTTCATATATATTTGGAATGAGATGGCAAGTTTCCATGTCTTTGAATATGCCTGTCATCCCTTTAAGGTAGCCCAGGCAGGAAACCAGAACCATGAACACTAACTCTACTTGTATTGCAAGGTTACAGGAACAAATCATTGCAAGGTATGAAATCAGGTCTTCTCTCCCTTGCCTTTCCTTCCCAGAGAACTAGGAAGACATCTCCGAGATGCCTTTTCTGTCCCTATTCCTTCTGTGGCTGAGATATCTCTCCTCGGTCCTTTGTCATGGATCTATCATAGAATCAATTTGTTCCTAAACTCACACAACAGTCAAAACTGGTTTCCGTGGTCCTGTGAATCAAGTTCTAGCTTGACTCAAATGGTCAGATTTACTTTCCTGATGTTATACATGTTGAAGATACTTGATTTTTAGAGTTTTAACATACAACTCTGAAGTCTGAACTTCCTGTTTTCGTATTGCATCAAATGGAGAACTGAAATATTTCAGTTCTATTTCAGGAACAAGGCAGCACTTAAGTTATTTTACAATCAAATGTGCAGTTTGTTAACATTAATTTACCTCCAATAATGCTTCTTTGCTTTTCTCATTCATTTCCTTGCTTTCATTTTTTCCTTTGCTTGACAAGTAGAAATTCTAATAAAAAAAAAAAACAGATGAACCAATAAAATAGCCGGTTACTACTTGAATAAGCCCTCAAATGTGACTGAGACATTATGATATTAGGTCAAAGCTGCATTTTAGTTATCTCTCTCATCAGCTGCCTATTTTAAGTACTTACAAGTAGTTTTCATTCAAATAAAAAGTTCTAAGCAGAGAGTTATCATCCAAGCTAAGCATGATTGAGAATCTGTCTAGTCCAGCAGAGCCCCCACTAACCAAACTGCCCTAGATATTGCTTCTCCTAGATCGGTGTTTATCCATGTGGACTTCAGCGCCACAAATTCCCCAGCCATTATCTTAAGAGAATTTGAGAAGTTGAAGTCCACATGTCTTAAGACTTGTTAGGATTGAGAAATACTGCCCTCAATCATTGTAACAGGATTTTCTCCTTTTTTCTGCTCTGGGGCACACATCAGTTGAAAAAATCTACAATAGAAAAAGGCAGTTTTTAAGTATTCCAATTCCTGTCTCAATGGATCCAGCTTCCAATGGTGATGAAAACATTCATTTCTGGAAGAGGCTTATGGCTCTTTTAAATTGGGTCATTAGTGATGGATAAGATAAGAATCCAATGTTTACTGCATTTCCTAGGAAAAGTCTTCCTAAATTCAAGAAAATTAAAAGTCTAAAAAACACTAGGAGAATCTCTTTCTGTAGTCCAGATTAGTTACAATGAAGTTTGGACAGTGAAGATATGCTATTACAGCTATTATTCCTTAGAAGTCTACCAATGCTGGGTTGTTGTTGTTTGCATTTTGTGTAGATACCAAGTCCAATCTTCACCAGCAGTTGAAATAAGATAAGAATCTTGTGTCAACCCAGAAGTTGGCCGAATTGTGGTTGTTTTCTTTTTGTAGATTTTCTCAAGGGACTTTTTTCTTCTCACTGCTTCAGGGCTGACACAGCCTAGAGCTAAGGGGGCAGGGAGGGGGGAATAGAGATAGCTGAGGTGCTGTGGCCAAAATAAAATTCTTTCTTTTGCGAATCAAGGACTTTGGTGTAGGTGTTCAAGAAGCGGAGACTGAGGAATCCAGGGGGGCAGGGGGGAGTGACAAAGTTTTACTTTTAATTGGGTGTAAAACCAGCAGGAACTTAGAACCGGTTTTCCACCAAAAACATGCCAATTTGATATGTCCCAATAAAATGTTCTTTAAGGAATATGCCTGCCTCGTAGTTCTTATTGAATGGGATGTATTACTTGGAACCTTGACACTTTGCTTGTAGAATGAGCTGGGTGTCCTGGAACTTACAGTCCTACAAAATTAAATAATTTTTTTGCTCATTTTTTTCCTTGTGTCCCATGTTTAACAAACATGGAAGGAGAAATCAAGCTGGCCCAATGTGAATATTAAAATATCCCAGAAAGTGTTTACGTTTCTTATTCAATTCTTTCTTTTTGAGAAAATAGAGCACTGTAGGACTAAAATTATTTCTTCTAGGCCACCCTTCATCCATCAGTACACAGGAAAGCTGGTATGCAACGAATGAACCAGCTGGGTAGTCATTATCTGTATTTTCACTGTTGAATGACTGCACCTGGCTCTTCCTTATTAACTATATAACATCCAGCTAATTAACTGAAAAAGAAGTGGATTCCCTGGCTCACTGCACTGCACTGCACAGAGACTTTGCATCAAATGATGTCTTTCCCACTAAACAAAAAACACAACACACACTGCCCCCCCCCCTCGTGGCATATATCCTGTCTGCAACCTTAGGATAAACCTAAAATAAAGCTCCATTAACTGAGACACTCAAATTATGCCAACAAAAAGCAGGTTTATTTTGCTATCTTTGAAATCATTCATAACCTTAAAAAGGAATTTGTATTGATTCATTTACTGCCATCAAGATGTTTGGAATATGTATGTTTGTTTGAAGTCCAGTTACAAACCAATTACAAAAATACAGATAGAGAAAAGTGCTACACTTAGCTAAAGGAAGCTAAAAGGAAGATGACTCTGAATTGACAGCAATGTCCTTCCAAAAGGATGCAAACAAATTGTCTGCTGTCACCAAATTTAAAATGCCCTTCCTATTTTAAAGTTAAGTTATTTGAAAGAAATAGCATTTCTTTTTTCTAAATAAATATATTTTATTTCGACATATACAGGTAGTCCTCAGCTTATGACCATAATGGAACTGCCTGTAAGTCACAATAATTGTAAAGAGCATTACCCACACCAATCAACCTAATTTAATGGCAGTCATTAAGGGAATCTGTTGTTCACTATGGGGCATATTTGGCAAAAAACAGAAGTATATGCCAGTTTTAGGCAAAAACATCATGAATCGTGGTCATGGGATCAGAGTGAGTAATGCATGCAACAGCTATAAATTCAGGCCACTTGGCGAGCGCCCAAAACGCAGCCATGTCTATAGCATACTAAATGCAATACCCTCCTAAATAAGTTTAGGAGCCAAAACAGGTGTTCTGATAACCAGGCAAGACAATATTATATATCTTTGAAAATTTCTGCTCAACTTTTGCTTCTGAATTGTTCCTTAAAATCAAAATAATAAGTACCATGTCATGACCTAAACCAAATCACTAGTGGACACAGTTCAGGTTCTTTGTTTATTTTTTCCTGAAAAGGCACTGATATAATCATTCTAAGAGTGGTTAATCATTGATTAGAAGTACATTTTCCAAAATATGATTTTGCTGATCCATACTTTGTTTCTTCCTCAACCCCCAAATAAACTTATTTCTAGTAAGAGATGAATCACATGAACAACAAAACATTTCAGAGAACATTTTAACGTTTTATGGAAGACAGGGATTTTGTACACAATTATTTATGTCTCAAATAATTTGCTTTCAGTATCACACAAAACATCTGTGAGGTTTCTTCACTACAGCTGTTCTTCATTATCAAAGCTGTATTATTTTTAATCATAGGCAGGCAATGTGTGAATTATTAAGAATGTGGATAAGCAATTTGTATCTTTGATTAAATTCTTATCTCTATATTACAGAAGTGAATAAATCCATATCTATTTTCTGCCCTCCACTGGTGTAGCTATAGCCGAACAGTCTTAAACTGCAATATCAGGACATTTTAAAATGATAAATGAATTTATAGGATATCCCCTAATAAATAACCAAATGATAAACAAAATTGCTCTGACTGGCAGATGGTTTTGATAGATGTGTAGACCCAAAGATTTAGCTTCCCAAAGTTTGCTCTAGTCTTTACCTACCCAAGCCTGCTGCCAGTTTTTATACTGCTACTAGCTTTTCTTAGACAAATTATTTTAAGAAATGTGGTTAATCTCAAAGACAATTTGTCCTGTTAGGAATTCAGAATTTATAGGGTGGTAAGTCTCAGTCATGTTACTTTACCTGAGGGTTTTTAAATACAGCATATTTTTCATTTTTCACCAAGAACAGTATTTTATTTTCACTGTCTCGAGTCCAATGGGATAAGACTTCAATCACATTTTCATGATCTTCAAAAAATCTTTCTGGGGGGGAAGGGAAGAGAAAGAAATATGATTTAAAATGACTGTCCACCTTAATATTTAGGCCTTTTTTTTGTTAGAAACAAAGAGTAATTTCTTCAAACACAGAAACTTCCTAAAAGTATTGATAATTTTCGTTCATGGATAAAGAGCCTTATTTGTTTGTATGAAGTGAGCATCTGTTTGATTAGCCATTTTTCCCCTCTCTATTACATATGTATGAAAACAAAAACACACACCAGCCATTCATAGCTTTGGAACCCAACAAGCAGCACACTTCTCATTTAATACAGGCTGGGTGGCTGCAACCAGAAACTGCTCTCTGGGAAAAAACCGTACAAATATCAGCAGATATAGCCTGATGGTTTGAAAATTACCGATTTGTAGCTCAGGATATATTTCATAAAGGCACCAGTTTATATTGCAATCACAGTGGGTTTTTTCAAAGAGATTGTCTAAGACATCACGTGCCACTTGTCGTTCATCCACCATTAGAGACTTTGTGCTGTTATCATTCATGTGCACCTTGACAACAAGCTGGGGAGAGAATAATAGATCAGTCAGTTAATTTCAGCCTGGAAGAAAAGGCCCGAGTACTCAAAAGTCTGCCATGACTGATAAAAATGGAAGATTATTGCAGATTCGAATGCATCCTGTATATCACAAATTGGACTGAGAAATATAATGCATCTCTCATTCATCACCCCATCAAATTTGTTCTCTGCTGCCTTAACGTATGCTTTTGATTAAATAAGATTTTTAAATGAATTGTGAACTTGGTTTTGGACAATACGTTCACCAAGACTAGCGTTTAAAAGCTGGCTTTGCATACAAATGAAATTATTTGGTCTTGACTCTCACCAAATTAATGCAATTTAGTCATTTCTAACATTTCTCTTTGATTTTAAGGGGCTCCAACCAGAGGCACAGAAAGCAGAAGATATTTTTTATGCCATGGGATTTTTTTTTTTGCCTAAAAAAGGGTAATTTTATGCAACTGTAGTCATAATTTGGACATATATTGAAAATTCAGTAAAATTCAATGCTGGAATTTTCAGCATTATTTTTATTATAAACTGTCACTGTAAAGCTCTTTCTTTTATAATAGTCATTTTCATAAAATCTTGCTATGTGTGTGAATTAAGCCTTTCACGTAAGTCTGTCTTTTATCCTGCTTGTTGCAAAGGATGCTGCCTTGTTATTCCTTGATCTAAGTACTAATAAGGTTCTGTACTCTTATTTGATGATTTGATGAACATCATTAGGTTTGCCGGTGGAAAAAAGAATGCTCAGAGGAAGCAGCTCTGCTGGTAGATAACAGTAAACATATAGAACAAGAAGAATCAGGACTGTTAGGGAATCAGAACTTAGAATAACAAAAACTCATTAGAATATTATGATCTCAGAAACAGAAGAAAATCAAGAAAGAACAAGCATTTGCTGTGCTTGTTTTATGTGCACCCTTTAAAAATTAAGGCAATTTAAGAAATTATGATATCCCAAAATATATCAGCTATCAGCAACTTATAACATTATTCCTCCTACAGCAATCCTGTACCCACTTTATTGGGCATAAGATCCAGACAGGAATTCCAGTCAAGGCCAAAATTGGCTGAAGGGGTTGATTGCCATATCCCAACCATTAACTGGGATTGTGGATAGGGTCTTGCTTCAGAGTAGAAATAAAATAAAGAGTTTTGCTGGATTAGACTGAACACCAACAATATGCAAATTAGTATGTTTCCATGGAGGCCAACCAGTTGAATCTGGAAAACCCACATAAAGATCCATTTATAAATGCATCCTCCTGCTTATCACTGGTTTAGTCTTAATGACTTGAAGCACTGATAGCTTATCTTCCATACCTACAATTGTCTGCAACAGGGGTGTCAAACTCGATTGCAACAGGGTTATGTTTGACCTCGGGTGGAGGGGGGACAGGAGGCATGGCCAGCTTGACATCACTCATGTCAGGGGTGCCTGTGGGACCCAAGGGTTCTGCCAGTGAAAACGCTCCCAGGCTCAGTTTTTGGCTGTGATGGCCTCCTGCAACCCTTTGCCAGTGAAAATGGATCTCAGGAGGCACTTGTGAGCTCTATTTCCAGCCTCCTGCAACCCACCACCAGTGAAAATGGAGCTTGGGAGGATCACTCTTCCGATCTCAGTTTTCATTGGCAGAGGCACTGTGGGCTTGTCCTTCACTGTTTTCAGGACGGGTCCTGCAAGCCAGATCTAAGCATCCCATGTGCCGGATCCATCCACAGGTCTTGAGTTTGACACCCCTACTCTATAACTAGATTTCCTTTATTATTTTCAGCAGTATGGTGGAGTATTTTTTTGTAGGCATGAGTTCCTGATTTTGGGCAGTGGTGTAGGCAGATCTTCAGGACATAGGGAATGGCGCTGAAGGACAAGAAAGAAAAACTGGCTATCTGGTAAGGCAATGGTCAGATAAGTGGGACTTGAGCCCAGTCTAAAAAATAATTTTGAAAAAGAAATCCTAATTCAAATGAAGATAAAGTGAGAAAGAGAGAAGTACATTCAGACTTGCAAGGTTCAATTACAATAAAAACAATTCTGACCCATCATTTCTTGTCTAGTCTATCTTATAGGGTTAACATCACAAAAGGAGCAGTCCAAAAATATGACCACAGCATTTAAATATCCTTTACGATATGACAAAGAATTTAATCATTTTTTTCTGTTATAAATCTAAAAGTTACAGTTTGGATGTATTTGTAATTTGGAGTAACTTTCCTTAAAGAGAACACCACTCCTGTCCCTTAAACATGGCATTTAAAAAATGGTAGTGAACAACAGGTAGTGGATAGTGGGCAGTACAGCCATAGCAATCCTACCTTTTTAACCTTGGCTTCCTTTAGTTTTTCTAATGCTAGTTTAATCTTGTCAGCTTTTGCTTGTTCTTGTGCTTCCTAGAAGATGGAAATAAATAGTAAATATATAATATGCTTGTCCATCATCATGTTATGATTTTTCCCCCAAAAAAAGTTCTTACAGCATTTTATAAAGTTTCTCTAAAACAGTATGGACTAACATATTATCCTATTTAAAAATTAACCCAAAATTAAGATTTCCCTCCCCACCCTCTTTCAAGTGTACAGTCTCATCATCTGCAGAGAGTTGTCCTTAAATGTGTTGCTCCTTTCCTTTTATCAATCACTGTACTGTATCTTATAGCAATAGTGCGTTCTTCCTGCGTTTATTGCTTTGCTAAGACAAAAAATGCTAAATCTAATTTTTGTCCAGGAACAAGCTTCTATTCTTTTCCCTTCTCTCCCATAAGATGGATCAATTCATGTCACTATGGTGACATCATCACTTCAGGTTTGTAGGCGGCTAGTTTTTAAAAATAAAATTGTGGGCAATAGCCTTATGACTATGGTACATTGCTATAAGACTTTTTAAAATTAGGTCTCAATGTACTCATTCTTCATCTTTCACTCATCATTCTACCATTCTCTGCAACTGTAACTGCAGAATCTTGTGTATTTGAACAAGTAATTTTCTCTTCAACTTAATGTGGCAATTAATTCAGGAAACATCTTGCCTCTTCAGGATTAAAATATCAGTGAAAATATCATTGTATTGACCATACTCATTTATTCTCATTGTAGTTTTCAGCAATCACTGAAAGTAAAGCTTTCATCTTCCATAGAATAATCACTGGCCTGTTCCACATAAGATTTTCTCAGCCTGAATTATTTGCTAGATTTATATCCTGCCATACATCTAGGAGCTTAAGCCCACGCACATTACAGTCTTTCCTCAACCTTTTTGACTAGCAAAGCTTCCAAAATTGTACTAAGATTAATAATCTTCCAGAACAAATATTACAAAAGTTAGATGTTCTTCTAATGCATCAGAAACTGACATTTGATAATCCAGTTTAATCTCATGCTGGTGTGCAAACAGTTTGAGAATATTAAGATAAAAACTTATTTAGGGATCTTCTGGTTGCTAACCTTAGTGAGTGGCTTCGGAGGAATGGCTAGAGGCGGTGGCAATGGCATTAGCATTTCTGCAGGAGGGGCTGGTAACTTATTCATACCAGGTGGAGGAATATTACTCAGCAATGATTGAGTTCCACAAATAGGAACAGTCTTTGCAGGTGGCTGCACTATGGCACCTTGTTCATTGTAAGAGGTATTCTTTGGTTCTTGTAATGTTGTCTTTTCTACTTCACTGATGTCTGCTATAAGATCAGCCATCAAAGTATCTAAATCAGTATCTTCCAATGTATTCAAGGACTCTGTTACAAAAAAAAGATAAACATATCAGAAATCTTCTCTAATGTTATAAAGGAACAGTACTTCCATATATATCATTAGATGGTTTTCCAGACAGCTACAGGCAACACATATAGACTCAACAGTTCTTGGGATTCTTCTGAAGTAAAGAAACACCCTTTCATTAGGTGATTTATCGCATTTGAAAATATGCTAGAAAAACCTGCACATGCCTCCTCTTATAAGAAAGCATCCCTACTCTTTTTTTTCTGATGGATTGTCTACAAGTTTATAATTCCCAACATGAATTATTATTTCTAATTGAAGCAGTAATGATTAAGTTGGAAAATGTATTTCAAAATTAAGGTTGAATTTACTTTACTTTGTTGTCATTGCACCTCATACAATGAAATTAAATACCATCTTCAGTGTACATTATGACTGAAAATAAACACAAACACACATCCCTCAGACTCCACACATTGAATTGAAAACTCATGATATCGCATTAATATTGCACTATACAGCAGAATTCAAAAGAGCTGCTGCCCTGGGATAGAAGCTGTTTTTCAGCCTATTTGTCCTTGTTTTTATTATCCTGTACCATCTGCCAGATGGCAATAGTTTAAAAAAAAAAGGGTGCCCAGGAAGAGATGGATCTTTGAGAATGTTTTGAACTTTCTTAAGGCAGCAGGAACTATAAAGCTCTTCCAAAGAGGGGAGAGGGCAACCAATGATCTTCTGGGCAATGACATTAATCCTCTGGAGTGGGTTATTTTAGGTTTGATATTTGGCAAAGTACTAGGTAAGCTCTGTGCAGAGTTGCAGTACCTTACATTTTAGAAAATAATTTGGTACTGAGATGGCTCAAAAATAGATCACATTTTTCTTCCCTTCCCTCGCTTAGCATTTCGCCTGATTATAGGTCTTAGAAAGCTTGCAAATATATTGAAAAAAACTTCTATTATTCTTCAGCTGTATTTTATCTTTCTATAGTGAATGAATGTCCTAATTAAATCAATAGAAAATTTGGGGAAACATTCTGAAACTTTAATTTTTATAATGTCAGCCTCCTATATTTATCTTTTGAAAACTAGATAGACCCTCTGTTTTTATAATTTACATAAATGACCTTTGCAATCATATTAAAAACAACTGTGTCCTCTTTGCTGATGACATAAAACTACTTAACACCACTGACAATATAGCTGCCCTACAAAGTGACCTTGACTATGTGTCAGAATGGTTGAACAATTGGCAACTTCAAATCTCAACCAATAAATGTTCTGTCTTACACACTGGCAACAAAAATCACAACAACTAAATACAAACTGGGTGGATACGGCCTCGTAGATGACCCTCACTCTGTCAAGGACCTATGAGTACTTATTTTAAAAGACCTAAGCCCCAGAGCTCACTGTAACAGCATTGCCAAAATGGCGTTAAGAGTTGTTAACCTTATTTTGCAAAGCTTCTTCTCCGGTAACATTGAACTGAAAACCAGAGCATACAAAATATTCGCCAGACCAATTCTCGAATACAGCTCATCTGCCTGGAATCCACACAATATAACGGACATTAATACAAGAGACCAGAGGTATATCACGAGAAGAGTACTCCACTCCTCTGTTCGCAGTAGAATACCTTATGCCACCAGGCTTTAAATTTTGGACCTAGACAACTTAGAACTACACCATGGCTGACCTAAGTTTAGTACTCAAAATTGTCTGCTACAGCATCCTACCTGTCAATGACTACTTTAGCTTCAACCACAATAACACACGGGTAAACAATACATACAAACTCAAAGTAAACCGCTCCAAACTCAACTGCCGAAAATACGACTTCAGCAACAGAGTGGTCAATGCCTGGAATACTCTACCTCAGTGGTTCTTAACCTGGGCAATATTGCCTCCCAGGGGGCGATTTTGGTTTTCAGGGGGGCGAAGGAACAAAAAGGGGCGACGCGGGGGTGAAGGAACGGAAGGGGGGGTGATATGGGGGCGATGGAGCAAGAAGTTTTGGGGACACTTTTGAGACTTTTTTTGTACAGTGAACTGCTGTATATGTTGTACAAAAACATCAGATCACTCGCTATTAGTGGATTGAACTGTTTTAAAATGTTCCTGCAGCTAGCTTCAGTACAGAATGCCATACATATGTGAATACGCATCACTCATCTTCATGCACGTTGCGCAGCAGCCTATCACTCTACCCATTAAATTTGTCTCTCTCATTTTTGTTGCTTTCCTTCTGTAAAAACTTTGTGTCTTTTTAACCCTTTTTACAGTGTGCATGAATATATATTTTCCTCAAATCTTAATTTAGTTTCAGAGTTTTCGTCTTAAAAATCTTAGTTCCTGCATTGCGGTTTGTTCTTATGCCCTTTTTATATTTCTTTTTGCGTCTTAAAATTCACTTGTAATTAAATCATTACATGTTTATTTTTTTTCTGGGCATTTCATTTTCTTGCAATTGAATTTTGTTTTCAGTGGTCATTGCATTTAAGTGTCTTGAATAAATAAGATAATAATGAAATACATGTACCACGAAGTTTGGGAGTAAAGTGATGGGTGGCATCACAATTTTTCACACAGTTGAGATACGGGAAAAAGACTGGAAATAAGTTATTTGCATCGATGTGTCCTGATGCCAATTTTAAAGAAAACAAAAAATGTGTTTGCATAAATTGAAGAATTATTTCCCCGTGTTGTGATTGAGAGGTTATGTTGGGGGAGGGAGGGCGATGATAACTTCCTCAATGGCTCAAGGGGGTGATTCTTTCAAAAAGGTTAAGAACCGCTGCTCCACCTGACTCTGTGTCTCTTCCTCAAACCCCCCAAACTTTAACCTTAGACTGTCTACTGTGGACCTCACTCCAATCCTAAGAGGTCTGTAATGGGGTGTGCGTAAGTGCACCAGCGTACCCACTGTCCCTCTCCTACTGTTCCCATTTATTTATACACATTTATTACTTACATATTTATCTGTTATGTTCATACTTATACTCGTTTTCGCATATATGTTTGATGAACTAAAATAAATAAATAAATAAAATTCACTGGACGGACACACCTACACACAGGCTAATTAACAAATAATTTTGGAAAAGAACAAAACCAGTGTAATTTTCTGCTTCTTATACTTCACATTAGAAAGTATGCCAATGGACTTTTTTTTAGTACTTACCATTTAAATCTTTGAAACCAACTGCAAAATTAAATTCAGCATCAGATGATTTTTGGCGAGCAATAGGCATGGCTTCCACCTCAGATGATTTCTGCTGAGGAATAGGCATGGCTTCCACTTCTAAGCTCTGATTTAAAAAAAGAACAGTTTTATAATTTGAAAGCCTTATAATCTCCTATGATGGGAAGCACATTTATATTCCTGTGGGCTGTTTTTCTCCATTGGAAATGTTTTGCTTTAGAATTATGAAACCTACAATGTTTTTCTCCAGAATATTTTCTTCAACTACAATTATCTCTCTCACACACATATATGCATATACATACCAGTATGTATAGTTTTTGAACAATGGTTTATTGTATTCTGTATGATGAACAACATAACACATTTGAAGATAAAAATTAGCACATGAAACTTGGCTAATAATAATCTGCCCCCAAATTCCTTTCTTTAACAAAAGTGTTTATTGCAAAAACATTACGCAGAGGAATGTAAGCACATAAGAATTTAAACAAAATCATATCAGATAACTGTCCGGTCCAGCATTCTCTTCTCATAGCGGACAACCAGATGTTCCTAAGAAACCCACAACCATATATAAAAGTGACACTTTTCTTTTCCAGCAGCTAGTATTGGTATTTCCTAGATATGCTGGTATTATAATTCCCAGAATGCACATTCTCAGTGATTCTGGCTAAAGTCCCAACAAATCTAAAACTTTATTACATTTACAATATTAATTCCTTTTTCTGACTCAGTAATCCTTTAATTTGGGGTAGAGTGCACAAAACTATTGTAACACTAAAACACTGACTTAGTAAACCATTAAAATATTAAAAACATATAATTTGTTATTCTGTGAATTCATTTTTTAATTTTATTATAAGTCAATCCCAACATTTAAATTTTGGGCAATGAGTATAAGACATTGCTTCCAATTTTTACCTCAGGAAATATTGAGCCATTTCTTATTACTGTGCTGTATTTGCCACTTACACTTACAAAGAAACAGATGGATGGATCTTCAACCATACAATCATAACCATCATCTTGACTTTTTGATCACTCTCTGAGGAAACCCTTGATGATCAAAGTTCATTGTAAAACTTAATTGAATTTAATGTGCCATCAAGTTATTTTCAACTCCTATCAACCATATATATTTTCTATATGATAATCTATCCCTAACCTGGTCCTTCAGTTTTACCAATGGTGCACTGTAGCTGAGTCTTGCTGCTAGTTGTCCTCTTCTTCTCCGATCATTAGAGCTTTTTCCAGAGAACTAGGTTTTTGCATAATGTGTCCAAAGTAGAATAATTTCTTCTCTTAATGCACCTCTCCTATGACTATCTCAGTTGATAATCATATTTACATGTTTAGATAATGAATTTCATAGTTTATCCATCCTTTTGACTGGTTATGTACAAGATGCCAGCTTGCTGGAAGCTCAGTTAGGTTAAATATGTACTAAGATACAGAAAATGGGTTGAATTTATTAAGCTCCCAGTTAAGTTAATGACAAATAAACATATTATGCTAACCCACCCAGTGTCTAACTTGAAATGTCTTACTATTCATCTTACAAGACCCTTGTAAGATAGTGGAAGTAGTACAATTACTTTTTTGGCTAACTACTTCCCTGTGCTGAGCCTGCACACAACTTCTTTCATTGCACAACCCTAGCAAAATATTTAGCAATGCTAACATTTATAGGGAAAATGCTAAAACTTGGAGGAGGAATCTAACGCAGCCTCTTCCACCACTGATGTGAAATGAGATTTTATAATATTCTGTCAGTTTTTATTGTTCTTCATATGCTTCAAGGATAAATCACATTTTCCCAGATCTATTTTTGTTCTGAACGTTTAAAAAAGCAACTATTGGAATCAAAGTTTGCTTGTGGGAGTATTCCACTCACAGTAAATCAGTCAATCCCAGCACTGACAAAATATTTCTTTATCAGGAGCTGTTGACCAAAAAGAATAGGATAATCAGCTGCTTCTACAATTCAGGGCAGGATGGAAAATGGAAGGACAGAAGAAAGGTGGGAACTGCAGTGGAAAATGGGAGTTCCCCACAATCAGAAGTAGAGATCTCCCTAAACAGAAGAATACCAGGGCTGTGTAATATGATATCCAAGGACATAGATAACCAATACAAATTCCTAAGTATATTTTGGATTGTACTCGCATATTTTATTTTTCATTTGCAAGCTAGATATAAAACAAGAAGTAGAAGTATTCCAAATATGGGGAAAGCTTTATTGAGAAGATAAAAATGTACAATTGTTCCACTCTTTGAAAGAAAATAGCAGACACGCTGGGGAAAATAGAGAAGGAAACTTTAAAAGACAGAATAATATACAAATAAAGAAATAGAACAAAAGGAGAACTGAGGCAAAAATCTCTTCAACCTTATGGCTGCCTCCCTTGTTGTATTTATGAGGAAGCTATCTCGTTAATAAGGGTTTAATGGCATTTTTATGAATAGTTGATTACTACTTTAGATTTATTGGAAAGATGATCTGAAAGTTAAGGCACCAAAATGGAAGAATAAAGACAGGCAAAATCCCCCCAAAGATCAAAACTCTTGTCTAATGCCATTCCCCATCTTGCCATTTTAAAATAGCGAATTCCAGCTACGGCCAATTTTCCAATTTTCCATTACCCTCAAAATATGTGCAAGTTTTGTGCATAGGCTACGTGCCTTATACTTATCCGAGGTCACACTGCAAAAAAGGAAGGAGCCAGCCCCTGTGTGCATGTGCATACAGCCACACACCCACACAAAGTAACATTTGGCTGTAAAATAAATCCTCCCATTTATAGCTGGAATTAATCAGTAATTTCTCAATCATAATTTTACTCTGGGTACAAGCAAAACACTTACATAAAAACTTGGCTGCTCTCCATCAAACAGAAGCAGCAAAAAAAAAAAGAAGTCAAACATATAACGAAGATTGTGCAAGAGGAAAGCAGAGGTCTCCAGAGGAAGAAAGGAAAAACAAGGAACAAGACTACATAGAAATAAACCAAGAAAAATCTTGTGGGGTGCAAAAGGACCAACATGTTGTCACCAGCAGTTCAAATGACTGAAGCTAAATAGAAAAGGCTCTTCCAGAGGAGGAGCATATTATATCAGCTCCAGATTCCATGTTTTCCCAAAATATCTTCCTTAATATTAACACAATCTATAAAAGAATATATTACGATCCTGCTTGATTCATTTTCTGATGGGAGAAGGAAGAAGTAGAACCAGGGGCTTCCAGGGCTTGGAGTCCTGGAGGTAGCAATTTCAGCAGTGTTGAAGCCAATAATTCCATTCAGTTATGATAGACAGCTCTATTACTCTGTTGGATAAGTCCCTAGCTCGACTTTCTTATCATCATCATCATCATCATCATCATCATCATCATCATCATCATGGCCACTACATTAAGAAGATGTACAGTGCATTCAGAAAGTATTCACTTTTGTCATTTTTGTTATGCTACAGCCTGATTCTACAGTTGTTGTAATTCACTTTTTCTCATTAATGTACACTCAGGAGCCCCTAATGACAAAGTGAAAACAGAATTTTAGAAATGTCTTAAATTTATTAAAAAAAGAAAAAAACAAAATTTACATTGGCATGTATTTAGATCCTTTGTAACAACACATGAAATTTAGCTCAGATGCCTCCAGTTTCTCTTGATCGTTGCTGCCAATTTCTACACCTTGATTGGAGGCTGTAGTAAATTAAATTGATTAGACATGATTTGGAAAGGCACCTCTCTGCAGAAGGCCTCACAGCTGGCAATGCATACTGTGGCAGGGCAAAAGTCATGAGGTCAAAGGAACTACTTGCCGAGTTCAAAGACAAGATTGTTGCAAGGCACAGATCTGGGTAACCTAGAATAAAATTTGTGCTGCACTGAAGGTTCCTAAGAGCACAGTGACTTCCATAATTCTTAAATGGACAACCAGGATTCTTCAAAGAGCTGCCTGGTCAAACTGAACAATCGGGGAGAATGCCTTAGTAAGAGAGGTGACCAAGAACCCGATGATCAGCTCTAGAAATCATGTGGAGATGGGACAGAGTTCCAGAAGGACAACCATCACTGTAGCCCTCCACTCCGCTGGGCTTTATGGCAGAGTGGCTAGATGGAAGCCTCTCCTCAGTTCAAAGTACATGAAAGCCTGCTTGGAGCTTGCAAAAAAGCACCTGAAGGACTCTCAGATTGTGAGGAACAATCTGCTCTGATGAAACCAAGATTGAACTGTTTTGGTCTCCGTTCTATGTTTGGAGGAAACCTGGCACCGCTCATCACCTGCCCGATATCATCCCAACAGTGAAACATTGTGATGGCATGCTATGGGAGTGTTTTTTTCAGCAGTAGACACTGGGAGACCGGTTAGGGTTGAAGGAAAGCTGAATGGAGAAAAATAAAGGGATGTCCTGAATGAAAACCTGTCCCACAGCGCTCAGGACCTCAGACTGGGCTGAAGTTTCACTTTTCCTAAGCACACAACCAAGATAACACAGGAGTGACTTAGAACAACTCTGTGAATGTCCTAGAGTGGCCCAGCCAGAGCCCTGACTTGAACCCTATTAACATCTCTGGAGAAACCTGAAAATGGCTGTCCACCGATGATCGCCATACAACCTGACTGAGTTGAGAGAAGTTGCAAGGAAGAATGGCAGAAAGTCAGGTGTGCAAAGCTTGTCACGTCCTACCCAAGAAGGCAGTAATTGCTGCCAAAGATGCTTCAATTAAGTACTGAGTCAAGGGTCTGAATGTCCATGTGATATTTTAGTTTTTTTTCTTTTTAATAAATTTACAGACATTTCTAAAATTCTGTTTTCACTTTGTCATTATGGGTCACTAAGTGTAGATTAATGAATTTCAACAACTGTAGAATCAGGCTGCAGCCTAACAATATTGACAAAAGTGAACGGGGTCTAAATGCACTATAGCTGGACAGCACCAGGAGTTGTCATTGTTTGTCAACCTTGGCAACTTTTAAGATTACATGGACTTTAACTTCAGGATTTCCCAGCCAGGGAATTGAAGTCCACACATCTTAAAGTTGCCAAGATTGAGAAACACTGATCTACATGTACCCAGTATCACTGCTACCTGCCAGATCCCCAGGATTAATTAACTTGGGAGGGAAACGTAAAGTCAAATACATGAACAAACTATACAATACAAACTCCAATTTCAGCATGAAGTAGGCAGGAAGGTTGCAGTTTTTTTCCCCTTCTATTTTGAAAGATGCAGTTGGGTATGCAAACTAGAAAAGCATTGATTTATTCCATCAATTTAAAAGTCTCACACAGGGAAAAAGTTCTAGCATAAAGAAAAGAACATTTACAATTTAATAAATATAAAAAGCAGAAACTGAAGAGGAAGAAAATAGGATTATTTGTTTTATTTCCCACGGGCATACTTACCTGTGTTAGCAAATCCATTTCTCCCAATAAATCACTGAACATTTGATCTATGTCTTCATAGGCTTCCTCCATCTGAAACCACAAAAATATGAAATGGGTGTCAGTATCATATTTTACTATCTACAAAGAATCTGTAAACTGTTCTATAGTGCAAAATATGGAATTCAAAAAAACTTTCCCCTAGCTTTTACTGAATTAAATGTAATTAATAAATGATTCTCATTTTAATGAAATGTGATTGTTGATTTTATAAACAAAACATGTAATATTCCTGCCATCAATATAGAAATGACTTGCCACTGTCTTCCACTTTTTTTCAAGATAATCTTTGATTTCCTTAGCAATCATTCAAACTTAAGATGACCTCTCCTCCCCAGAGCTGTTTGCACTTTCTCGTATTTACTTCCCATATTTGGCAAAAACAAAAACAAATCCACCCATAGGGGAAAATGGATTTGCTTAACAACTGCAGCGTTTGCTTAATGACCATCATAAAAATGGTCATAACTTGAAATATGGTCATGTGATGCCTCAACCTATGGCAGCAAGCTCAATTTCAGGCTCAATTAGGAACATAAATTTAGGACTACTGGTAAATAGTTTAATTTTTATTTAGGGTAAAAAAACTATTGGGATTATTGTTATCAAACAGCACCATTCCAATATGAGCCATTGATCGTATCATGTCCTATTTTATCAGTTTGCAAAATAAAACATGATACAATCAATGGCTCATACTGGAGTGGTGCTGCTTAATAACAATAATCCCAAGAGTTTTTCAGTAAAAGAGTCCTCCAGAAATTTCCCACGTTATTCTATCAATTCTCCAGGAACAATGGACTGAAGAATGCATGCTATGTGAAAAAACAGTGCAAAGTCCTCCATATTTCTTGATTGCCATCTGATAATCATCCAGATATTCTTAGGTATCTCAGTCCAGATACCTAAGAGAGAAAGGCTTTTCAGGCACTGAGGCGGGAGGAGGCTCATATATATTGAACGGAAATATGAATGGAGAAGAGCATAGGGATACCTTGAATGAGTGAGGAAGTAAGGGATAACCTTTCCAGGACCTAGGCCTGCCGATGAGAAAGGGAAGAATTAAGGAAATTTACCTTCCTCTTCCTCTTCTACTGCTGTCCCCAATTGCTGTTTTCCTTCATGAAAAAAAATCTACATAATGTAGAATGCTAAGCAAAGCATCTTGTTTCATTTTTATCCAAGAAATAAGGAATACTGCAATAAAGAAAGGAATGGGAGGACTTCAACTACAAAGAGATTCTATCTTCAATCTAGGGCTCACTGTATAATTTCCCAGAAAAATATGCAAATTAAAAAATGCAATTTGCAAGAGTTTAGTTTGAGGAACATTTGTTTCTAAACTAGTGTATTTTACTGGAAACATGCAGTGTTGTCTTCTAACAGGTAAGAAACAAATAACAAATGCTTCGAATAGCACCTAAGAAAACATAGTTCAACCAGAATAAAGATGAAGATTGATCATGACGAAACACTGCACCATTTATAACCCTTCTACTAGCTGTATATGGAACTGAGTCAGTTTATGAAAGAAATTAAGGAATAACCACATCATTAAACTGATTATTTTTCCCTCTCAATTTTTCCCTCCACTATTATCCATAGTTATTATGAATTGTGTCATAAAATTATTCCTGATAGCATAATTACTGATTGAATTCAAAATTAACAATATTGTTTTAGTTCATATTATATCCATTATTTTATGGAAGAACTTTTTATTGTTCAATAGTTTTTATTATATTTATTTGTATGTGTACACATACATTATGTGCACTAATAACATGCATTTCTAATAAGTGCATTTTTGTTTAAATGATGCACACCTGAAGAAGGAAGGAAGGATTTTTAAAAATGCCTATTGTTTTGTTGATTTGTCAAATGCTTATACTAAACAGAGTACATTTACTGCATCTTTGGGAGGTATATTTCATTGTTAAATTTGTTTAGTAGTTCCCTGAATGTGTTAATTAAATAAACTAAGCCATAATCCCTCCCTCTCAGGCCACAAAAACAAGGATCCAATGTAATAGGAAGTTACTTGGCTGGTGAATTCCTTGGGGGAAAGTGATTATATTAGATAAAATGTTCGTTTTGCCCTTCTCAAATATTCATAATTTCTGTTTTATGTTTATTCAATCTATTTTTAATTTTGCACATTACCAGAGTCACCATAGAGTTCAGTAGCTTTGCAGAATTGATAAATAAACAGCTTTCCCATATAAAAAAATAAAAATGCAATTTTCAATTTTCTGAATACTAATGAGAATAGCATATCCTTCCAAACCTGGAACCCAACAAATGTTTGCAATTTCCAGAAGCCAACCCCTACATGCTAGCATGAAATTCTGAAACTTATAATCATCAGACTTTGAAAGAGCCAGCTGATAATCTCAGAAGACAAGTAAGAAGTTGACATGGTAATGTCAAATATCTTGTTCATGCATTGTGAGAAAGTCATGAAATGTTAGTTTGTGGAATTGATGACAATTAACTCGTTTTACCCAATGTACCAGCCGAAACCAAATAAATTACATTATAGTTTAATGTGTTAATTGAATCAGGGCTAAGAATTCATGAGAGCTAAATGCATTACTGCTACTATGATTCATACTATTTTTCTGAAGTATCAGGAATCTGGCTAAAGCAATCTGCACTTTATCATTTCTTAGGGAACAAAGAACTCTATCAGCAATAATTAGAGATACTAGGGCTGAACAGTGTTTCTTTTTTTCTGCAGACCATTCCCAATTTTTACAAATTATGGAGGTCACCAAAAAAGTGCTTTTGTTTGTGTGGGTTATGTTTATCAATAATACTGGGCTAAAAATTAAAACTGATGTATTCATTGTCACTACTCATGAATGTTTAATGAGATTTTAATATTGTGTTATTTTTCAACATAGGCTGGCAAATAATTTTGAGAAACACTGGGCTAGAGACTCTTTAGACATGCCTTCAAAATCTGAGGAGAGTCAAAAATCCCAAGGGAAAAAGTCTATTCAAAGGAGCATTAATGATCTTATCTACAATCCATTTTTTTCCAGGTGATTCGGATATCATTTGCTCTATTAAGAATTTATATGTCACATTTCCCAACAAAAGCTTTCTCAAGGCAGCAATCAGGCTGTTCTGTGATTTCTAGGACAATTTATTTAGTCTGCCCTGCAAAGAGCAGCACCATTAGCAAAATAATACAGCTTTCACAGCTTAATGGAAAGCAAGAAAATCAGGAGATAAATGAAACTTGGAAGGTGAGCTATTCAACTGAAGAACCACCATCAAGGACTGTCTCCAGGTATCCTGGGCTAGCAGTTACAACTGTAGGTGGTGAGATGTGGATCAGAGTTCTCTGTGTCAGCTCTCTCACTTCAGTGAAGAATTGGAAAGTTCAGATAGAGCAAACAAGCTTATTTCAGAAGTCAAAAGTCCATGTAGATAAACCCAAGATCTAATCATCTGATTTGAATGTAGTCTCATTTCATGTAGATAAGTCCAAAATCTAATATCCAATCTGAAGGGACTCCCAGTCTGAGAATTAACTAGGACATCAGAAGTAACCCATGTTGAGGAAGTCAGGTCCAAAGTTGGAAAACCATCTGCCAATAGAAGTCTGATTCTCAATTCTTTTTTATTGTACTGACTCATGCCTGTTTTCCTGACTCATGACCCTGTCATATGAGAAGCCTGTCAAAATGTCTCTAATCTACTCCCTTGATCTTCCTCTACTTGTGACAGCTAGGACATTTTTCCTGCTCAGGATCTCTGTATCTGACTGAGCCTGATGTTGTGTTTCTATAACAGGTGTTGATTCCTGATTTCTCTACACATTCAGACTCTTCCTTCAACTGTTTGGCTCTTGAGTTGCAAGGTGAAAACCTGTCATGCTTTGCTCCTTCAATTTACACATTGGGTTCTTCATAATCATCCCTTCTCAAAATGTTTGCACAGGATGGGTGGAAATATCAGTAGATTGTCAGGGTTCTGACAGATGCCATAATTAAATCATGAGCCTTAAGCCAAGCTTCAAAAGAAATCCAGTTGTTTATTAGGAGCTTCATGCCAGCACGGATCAGGTGGAGCCAACTCTGACCTCAGTTAATTCGTGCTTTGTTTCTGGCCGTTTCCCCCTCCCCCCAATATGTGTCATCAGTCACATTCCCCAATGAAGTAATTTCGCAGTTTGTAAAAGTCACTCCCTCCAGGGTTCCTGTGGAGATGACCTTGACGTATTAGTTGGAATGTACCTTGTTTTGACTGAGGTACCAGCTGCTCCTTGATGCAAGTTCGTTCTCCCATCCCCCTTGCTCATGACATCTCGACAGCAGTTCAGGGACGCTTTGCGAGTTGAAATAGATATTATTCTGCCAGTGGAGAGGCACTCATGCATATAGAGCATGGTGTCAAACTTGCAGCCATCATGTGACATTTCTCCCATTTGCGGAGCTAGGGTGGGCATGGCCTGAGTGTGATGTATCTGGCCTGTGGATCACCAGTTTGACACCCCTGATATAGAGCTTTCTAACTTGTAGTGACTGAAGCAATAGTTTGCTGTTGAATGCTTTATCACTGCCAACAGCTCGGCACTTAAGTTTGGACCAATTGAGCTTTCTAGATTGTCTTTAGAGACAGGCCTGTGCATTTTTAATGATAAAATGCAACACACTAAAAACTTCTGTATATTTGTTCTCTTTCCCTTACTTCCTATTGGAGATTTGAGTTATTATTTTTATTGCAGAATCAAACAATACAATCATAATTTATTTCCTGATATGTATATCCATAATAGGTACGACTGCTTGAATAATGAGAATGCATAAAACAAAAGCCTTTAGAAAGAGAGCTGGGACATTAATTGGTTATTTTGAGGCCTGCAGACATATATGCTGTCAGTGCAGAAAAATTTATAGCAAATATTTTTATAATAGTCACCATTAATAATTTGATGTTTTTCAACAGAATAGACAAGTTTGGGTCTTTTTTTCTGTTTAAACGTGTTTGATTCTTGGAGACTGTTTAACAAGAAACAAAAA